TGCGGAGATGGCTGGGCAGTCTTGCCCACACGGGCATCGCTGTCCAGGCACCCGCTTTCGTTCTAGGAACCATTGAGCTGTTGATCAACATGGGCATCTGGAGTTTCTCTCCCCTTCTGATGTCATCTGTCTTAGAAATGTTGGTGGCCCTTGAGCCACACACCTGCTCACCCCCCCCCCAGGTCTCTTGTGTTTGGGGGTGCGAGAGATGCTGCTCTGCTGAGTTAGTCTCCCCATTTTCATCTGCTGGTTTTGATTGTGGTTTGCCGTATTCCGTGTGTGAGTGTGAATCGTCCATGTCTGGTGCAACGCTGGATGGTCCTGTGCAGCCGGTTTTGCACAGAGAGGGCTTCTAGCACAGAGGCTGATTCCCCCACTAAGGACATTGGTGGGGAGGTCTTTGCAGAACTGTTGCCTGGGGTGAGGAGCAGCCCTCTGCCGAAGTCTGTCACCTTGGCTTTCCTCCAGAGCTATCTGTGGGATAGTTCAAGGTTTGCGTTCTTTTCAGTGTGGTTGGTGGAGGCCTGGAAAGGACACGAGCCCCCCGCCTCAGGTATCTGCCCTGCCAGCTCTTTTAGGACCTGCAGGATCCAGTCCCAGTGCAAACTGGGTCACCTTTTCCTGAAGTGAGCCTCCCTGGCCAGGGAGGGGAGCTGGTGTTTTTCCAGAGGTCTGGCCTGGCTTTCCAGATTCATCTTCCCAAGTTTTTATACCTTATGCCCTCTTTCCAGGGGGTCCCTTACTACCCTGTCTTCGACTTTCTCTGAATGAAACACGTGAAAACCCTTGTCCTTCACCTTTCTTAGATGAAGGTTGGCAAGTGTCCACGTACGCCTGGCTCGTTCTCCTAGCCAACCAGTTGCAACCATGTTCTTCCACACAGACAGGCTGCCTCACATCACGTGGTCCCTCTGAGCGTCGCCTCTTCCTCTGATCAGTTCCTTTTTGTTGAAAGGAATGTTTATGCACCACTTAATCAAAGCTCATTAACCCACAGAGGCTAATCTGGATTCCCCTAGCCCGGTGAATAATCAGCATTTAACTCTGCCCCCTTCTAGGCTAACTCCCATGTGTGCTAATCCAGGCAAACTCGCTGCGGCCATCTCGGCTGCTTGGGCCCTGGAGGACACGGCCTCCTAGCATGTGGCTCTCCCAGCGCAGAAGACCAGCATCCTCGAGGAGGCACGTGACCTGCTGCCCAACGAGGTCACGAATATGATGTCATTCTAGCTTTTACCAGAGGTACACAGAGCTCCCTGAACCATCTATAATTGCCGGTTCCGGTTGCTGACGTGAGTGGGCAGACCTTTAAGGATTGAACCATTGCAGGTCTTCTGACCTGGGGAAGCCCTGAGTTGTTGCTTTGTAGCAGAGATGTTCAAGAAATGGATGGAGCAGAGAAAGGAGCCCCGCTGGGTGCCGATTCCTTGCTCTGCTGTTACTGTGTGATCCGATCCTCTTCTGCGGTCAGAGATGCCCTCCTGTGGCTTCTGGCTCCTCTGCCAGCAGTCTGGCTGTGACTGGCCACAGATTGCCTAGCACCCAATGGCTGCCTGGGATCTAGAAAGCTGCAGGCTCTCAGGGCACGGGAGCCCCATTCTGGGCCACAGTGGTGGTAAATGCAAAATAGGCCAAGGAAGGAACGACTTCTGGACCTGCACAAAATATTCTCTTCTTGGAATTAGGGGCAGAAAAAATGACACCATGCCCAACCTTTTCCTGAAAGCTATCGTGTTATCCTGTTGCAGCGAAAGATTTTGTGGCAGGCGTTTATTACAGCTTAGCTTCTGCAGTCCATTTCAGTAAAGGCAAGAATAACGATTCGTGAATCTGAGAAACAGACTCTCCTTCAGAAACGCTTATTTGTTTCTTTAAATGCCGACCCTGGGTTCGCTCATTGCATCAACCCAGAATGTGGTTTGCCTGCTTTCTCCTTAAGTCTTGTGTGACCTCCGGCACTGAGGTTACTGTAGTTAATCCCACAAAAGTTTTTGATGCCTGAATGTTTCAAGGGCACCTAATCCCACCATCATCAAAGTTCAACTGCAGAAAGTCGGATGCATCAAAAGCCTGTGAGGGAAGACAATTTCCTTCAAAGCATCTGAGCAGGGAAAGCAGGCTTCATTTTCTCTGGGGGTCCAGATCTTCCCCTGAGCCTTGGCCCTGGCATCAGGAAGAGCCTGGAAGCCCAGCAAATAATGATGGAACCATTATTCCCTCAAATAGCTGTATGTAGTGCTCTGAATGCAAGAGGGCAGCCATCAAAGTCTCTCCATACCCAGAAGAAGTGCAGAGATGGGGTAGCAAAATTCTTACAAATTTCTGTTCATTTCCTTTAGTGTCCAACTTTCATGCTCTTAAGTGCAGCCAGTTCTCTGAAAACCTCACCCTTGAGGGATCTCTCATTCAAGCAAGTGAAACCCAACCAGCCCTTTACTTGGGCAAGTGCAAAACACATCAGGCTATTAAGGCAGCATTTAAAAAGAAAGTGTAAAGATGGCAATAAAGCTAATATCTCCTCAATAGTTGGAGAGAAAAAAATCTGGGTGGGCTTCAAATGGCAAATTCAAAAATGGATTCATGCTTGTGTGTGAACTTGAAAAAGGTCCATACATGGTTACATTTGCCAGACACTTCCTTTGCAGCCCCTGGAATTCTCTGCTAAGAGAAATTATTACCAGCTTCTGGACATTTTCTATACCAATGGTTCTCAACCTTTTTAATGCCGCGACCCCAACCGGTCGTAAGTTGAGGACTACCCAACCGGTCGTAAGTTGAGGACTTTCCCTGCCCGGGAGTGCCGCGCATGCGTGGTGCTGCCCCCTGCACCGGCCAAGCGTAGCTGGCAAGCGGCAAAGACGGCGCAGGCCGACCACCGGCTGGGCCACTAGCTGGCCCAGCCCAAGGGAGGTAAGCAACCCTCCCTGCGCCCGCCGGCCTCCCACCTCCCACCCCTGGCCCTCTTTTACTTACATTTTTAGTAGTTGCTCAGCAGGGAGGGGTGGAAACTTCCAGACAGCTCGCCTTCGCTGCAGACAACTTGCAGCACCGTTTGCAGAATGAGACTTTTGGCGGGCTCAGCAGGGCAGAGATAGCCTGGACAATTCCTTTTGGCTATTCAAGAGAGTCTATTCTATTGGCTTTCAAAAGCCAATAGAATAAAAGGGAGTAGCACAGCTAAGGAAAAGGGGGAAAAATGGCGGACTGTGTTGTTTGGCGACCCCCATGAAATGGTTGTTCGACCCCAAATGGGGTCGTAACCCACCGGTTGAGAACCGCTGTTCTATACAGTACATTGTAAAGCATTGATTCTTGATTGAGCTTTAAAGCTGAGTGGTAGCGTTTTATGTTATTTAAGAATTTATATACTACTTTAATCAAGTCTACTTTTATTATTTGTCACGAGGTTTTACATTATTGTTTTGAAACGTGATGCTTTTATGATCCTTGAAGCTAATGTTTGATAGCCAGGACTATTAAACTGGCTACATAAGTAAACTCAAGCAGGGATTTTGTTCCTCTTGTGTCTGGCGGCCATTTACAGCCCTGGTATCTTGCCCAATGCTGGTAGATTTTGTCCAGAGTGAAATTTCAGAACCTTAAACTCTGTCCTCTTAATTGGGCCCCAGAATCCAGGAGGACTTTGTGTGATTCACAGAGACCTACCATTTTCCTCATTCCTTCAGGCTTCAGGAGAATAAAAAGCACAGTAGAAACCGTCCCATTAGGGAGGACATGAAGGTGGCCCTTTTGTTACAGACTCTGATCTTTTTAAACACCTGGCTCAGTTCCATGAAATATGGAAGGTTTCCCTCAGGTGCAGCTTATGGAAGCAATAGGTAGAAACGGGCGTCTGCCCTGTCCATTATTCACTGCCCTGTTTCTTTGACTAAAGATCTGAGGGAGTTTTTCCATCCTGACCTGGAGCTGACCTGCTCCACTAACCCAGCTCCTGCCTGCCCATTTTGTCTTATTTTTTGCGACTCTTTCATAGCATGGAGGACAAGGAAAGCCAAGGGCCCATGTCCCTCTGGGGAGTCATGCCTAATGGTCAGAGAGCGTCAGCCCCTTGGAATAAGAGCTACTGGGTGGGATTGGTCAACTTCCTCTGAGACGGTTGCGATCTGGGAGGCAGATCCAGCAAGCACGGCCTCAGTGAACTGGGTGGGAGCACCTGCTGCTGAAAAGCCACTGTCTATGGAGGGAGCAATTAGCAGGGCTAAATTTAACCAAAGGAGCATCACTCCTTAGCATCAAACCCAAAATGGTGCCACCATTTCATTTTTTAAAAGAGAAAAGTACAGGAAAAGTAAGTCTCCTTGATGAGAAAAGATTTTTTCTGGGGGAAACCTGCTCCTTGGATCTGGTGCTGATGATCAGAGGCTGGTCCGAAGGGAGCAAAAATCCTGAATGCAGGGGGGGGGGGATGAACACACAGCACCTTGGACAGCACCCTGGGCAGGTGGAAGACTGGGTTCGGCCTCCCAGGGCCTCTTCCTCCTGGTGGCAGGCGTTTGGCCAGTCTGCAAGCAAAGGGCTTGGAGTTGCTATGCAAGGTCCTCCGAACTCCTTTGCTCCAGAGTTCAAATAAATGACCAGGTTTGTGATCTTTTGGGTGTCTTTCCTTCGTTACATGCACACGTGCACTGATTTGTCCCTATTTCCTAGAGCAGAGTTTCTCAGCCTTAGAGAAACCTTAGCCATGCCTTAGAGACCAACCTTCCCATCCAGAGTAGATTCCAAGACAGCTGTTGAAGGAGAGTTGGGTGCCTCTGGGTGGTGGGAAGGAGCACCCCAGAAACCACAACTGCAGTTGCTCATTTGGGAGGGCTGGGACCCAGAGAATGTGGAGAGACCAGGCAGAGGGGGGCCTGGGAGGCATCTGGAGGAGCTCTTGGGGGGGGGGGCGAGGCCAGTGGAAACCAGGGGGGCTGCTGCTGAGGTCCGGGGCGAGCAGAAGAGGCCGGGGGGGGGGAGGCTCGGAAGGCAGGGCGAGCAAGCAGCACGCCCTTTGTTTCTGGGCCCATCAGACGGCTGCCCCCACAGGCCCTGCCCCGTCGCCCTCTCCTCGGAAGCCTCTCCTGTGTTAGAGGACGGGGGGGGGGGCAGCTGCTCCCGGGCTTCTGTTGGGGATCCGGACAGACCCTCCCTCTCTCCCGGGGCGGGCCCGAAGGAGGCAGTTTGGCGGGGCTCAAGCGGCCGATCTCCTGCTTGCCACCTGCTGAGGGGGGCTTCCAGGCGAGAGGGCTGAGTCGGGGGTCGCAAGGACGCCCTTCCCCGCGCCCTACAGCCCCCGCGCCGCCAAGCACGGGCGAATGGCCGCCTCGGGTCTGAGGAGGATCCCTCCCGCGCCGCGGCCCCTCCTCGCGCCCGCGCCCGCGCACTCTCGGCCGGGCGCGCGCGCGGGGCGGGGACTTCGGCGGCGCTGACGGCGGCCGTTGCAGGAGACCTTCCGCGCCCCCTCCCGCCGCCGCCGCCGTCTCCGCCGCCCCGGCTCCTCCCGCGCCGGCCCGGCATGGCTGCCGCGGGACCACCGCCTCCGCCGCCTTCGCCGCAACTGGAGCAACAGCAGCAGCAGCGCCTCGGCGGGTAAGCAACCGGGAGGGGCGTCGGGGGAGGCGAAGGACGAGGACGACGGTCGGGCGGCGGAAGGGAGCGCGGCGTGGCCGGGGGGGGCGAAGGCGGCCCACCGCGCTCCCCCCTCGCTCGCTCCGCAGCCGCAGCAGCCGACCCCGCGCCCCCGCCCGATCGCCCGCCGGTTTAGGCGAGGATGGAGCAGGCGCGGGGGCGCGAGGGGGGGGCTGCCGCTGCTGCGGAGACCGGTCTCTCGCGTTGCCATGGTGACGGTGCAGGATGGCAGAGGACCCCCATTTAGGCGGGGGGGAGGCGAGCGGGGGCGGAGGCTGCTTCCCCCTCCCCGGCCCGCCTGCCTCCCCTGCGCGCCGGGTCTTGCTGCTTCTGCCGCGCCGCAGCCAAGGACGGGGCGCCCGAAGAGGGAGACGCGCGAGCTGGGCGGCTGCTCCGACGCCCTCCCGGGCCGGGTGGGGCCGCTCCTCCTCCGCCTCCATGGGGAGCCTGGGCTGCGGGCACCGCCGAGGTTGCTCCGGGGCTGGCAGAGAATGGAGAAGCTGACCCGGAGCGCCCGGGCGCCGTCTCGCCTTGCCCTAGCCTGGATGGCGAGGGAGGATCGGGGTCGTCCGCCTAAAAGGCGGGCGAGCCCTAAAGCTTTTCCCCGGCAATGATATGGGAGGAGGGGGATGTGCCTCTGTTTGTCCCCCCACCAAAGTTGTTGCGACTCCAGTCCGGTGTTGGAGTGGCTGAGGCACCTTGAGCATGAGCAGAGCGCCTTCCCTGTGCCCACCGAGCTGGGGAGAGGTGCAACGCCTCGGCTGCCCTCTCCCCCAGCCTGGCTCCCTTTGGTGAATGGCACCAATATCCGGCCGAATTCTGAGCTCCTTCAGGGCACCTGGGGGGGCAGAATGAGGAAGGGGGGCAGTGATAGGAAGGAGGCCTGCCAGGAAAAGGCAGACTGAGAACAGGTGTTCCATCCATGTCATCCAAAGGACTAGTAACTTGTTCCTCTGCATTTGGGGGAAGAACAGCTCTGAGGGGACAGCAAGCCATGCTGAGCCTGGAGAGCTTTCTTTCTTTCTTTCTTTCTTTCTTTCTTTCTTTCTTTCTTTCTTTCTTTCTTTCTTGTTTCCTTTCTTTCGGGGGCTGGCCTGTTCCAAGAAAGCCACAAGGCCCGTTTATTCACTATCCAGGGGAGGAGAAGGCCCACGCATCTTCCCCTGTGGCTCTACTGAGCCGTTTCCTAAGGGGCTTATAGTGGCAGTGCCCAGATTTGGGAGGGCACTGGGGGCCCAGCCTTGTTCAGGAGCAGGAATGACTTTCTGGTCATGCAGCAATGTGAACCAAGGGCAAGACCCTGACTCATGAGTAAACAGTACGTCCTCAGCCGACAGGCAGCCCAGGGGCAGAAGGTGCCCAGGCAACTGCCTACTTGGGAAGCAGCCCACCCCCACGTGACAGGGACCCGCAGCTGGGCTCTGTGGGCAGAATGGAGTGCGGTTGTTGATGCCTTTTCTGGGTCTTCCATCTGGGCAAACTAGCTGTGGAAGCGGTTGCTGAGCCACAGATGCCAGTCGGTGGGGTAGTGGGTGAACTTTGCCCATGTTTTTCCTGCTCATTTAGAGCTGAGAACTCCTGCTTCTCCCTGCCAGGTCGTCTCTCCTGGGATGGATAGCTGGCAGGTTCAGTAGCCAAAGTCTACTTGGGCGGGAAGGAGAAAATGTGTTATTTCCCCCTTGCATATTTATTCCTTCACCTCTCTCAGAAATACCTGTCTCCTCAAATGACTCGTTAGGATGGAGACCTGGGTTTCTTTCTTTGTTTGCCAAGTGCTTCATTTTATGCCTTTATTTGGACAACCGCCCAGTGAGATGGGCTGGGCTAACCCCGTGCCCTATGGGACTCCTGGGGTCTCAGGTGCTGTTGCTGAATCAGCCATAGAGACAAGAGGTGGTCCTGGGGCTTCCACAGCAGGAGGAGCAGGAAGCAGAGTGCCCAAGGCTTTCGTGCTCTCCCTTCCGTCAGCCTGAGCCCACACAGGAGGGGCTTGGGTGGAGAGGGGGCCCAGACGTGGAGCTGGTCGCTGCAGCAGCTTAGCCTCTTTGCCCCAGCAAAGCAGGGCTGGGGGTTTTCCAGGGACCTGCTCTCCACGGCTCCCCAGGGTGGCCAAGCATAGAGGCCACGCACCAGAAGAGAGGCTGGGGTGGCAGGAAGTGCCCGTGTCAAGCAGGGGGTATAGTTAGTAGTAGATTTACCCCCAAGTCCCCTCCAATCCCTGGCTCTCCTAGTTCAAGGCTCAGGGAAAGCCCCTCCCTCTGGGATCCGTGCCAGGGAGAAAGAGCCATTTTGAGCCAGCAGCAGTTCCTCTACAGGCAGCGACTGGCAACGGATACCCAAAACGGTTGGTGGGACGCGGTGGGGGAAATTGGGCGGCCAAGACCTCGTCCACCTGACAGCCCCTGCTTCCTCTTAGCCCCCCTTCCCCCATCAAGGCTCTTGCCTGGACCACAGACTGGCTGCAAGGTGTGAAAAGGCGCTGTACATGACATGCACTGAGCATGTGGGAAAGGCCACAAGCATCAAGAGCTGGTGAGGGCTGCTTCTGATTGGCTGTAAGCTGTCTTCCTGGGGGGGGGGACTCCAGATGTGTGGGGACAATGGCTTTCTCCACCACCACCACCACCATCAGAGGAAAATCAGGCTGCCTCTGCAAGTCATCAGGTGGGCAGCCACTCTTACTGACAGCTGTAGTGGGTGATGGCAGAAACGGACAAGGAGGGATTGGTTCCCTGTTGCTGCTTGCAGGAAGAAGACAAACTGCATTCTTTGTTTTAAAAAACCAGCTCATGTGTCTCTCCTGCTGCAGGCAGAATCTGGAATTCCCTGGGCAAGAAGGGTGCCCCGTAGAGCCACATGGGACTGAGACTCCCAGAGCTTCTGCCTTGGCACAGGCAGGACTTGACTGTGGGTACCTGTGCTTTTCCACAGCCAGAACAAAGCCCTTGGGCCAGCGGGGAGGAGGGGAGACATTCAAGCCAAATTCCCTGAGAATCAGGCACTGGACCAAATCCAAAACCAATGGAGACCCCCGCTAAGCGGACTCTGCTTTGGTAGCTCGGCTGTTGCAGCTGCAAATGAGCGGAGCTGCTTCCATTGGAGCGTGCTTAGCTCAGAAAAGGGAGAGGTAAAAGGGGTGGTGCAAAAGACCCCTGTCTTCACTCTGTCCTGTGAGAAGGACCCCCTTGCTGCTCCTCACATCATGTCAGCCGTGGCTAGAGTTCCTTGTGGGTGCCATTCCACACCCCTCACCCTGCAAGGATCACCTGGACATCGGTCTCCAAAAGAAATGCACTTGCCTTCCCACTCTCAACACTGCCCAGGCTGGAGAGATGCTGGGCTCGATGTATGTTGCCCCCACACACACCCCCGGTCAGCCAGAGCAGCCCAACAACGTTCTCCTCCATGGAGGGTGCAGTTTCAGACCCTGCTCTTAGGCCAGAAGCCCTGGAGCCCTCGGAGCCAGCGTTGAATGTGAAGCCCCCACAGGCCTTGGGTGCAAGAGAAGACCGCTTAGCACTTGGTGGGTGAGCCTTGGCTGCTGGAAGGAACCTGTGCCCAGCCCTCTCCTTGCAGCCATGGGTTGACTGGCACTCCTGGAAGCCCCTGCATGGCGGACGCTGCTGCTTCCCAGCCTCCATGTGGAAAGGGAGGGGCCGTGGCTCAGGGGCCACACCTGGGATGTGTACAGGAGATCCCAGTTTGGAGGTGAGGGCAGAAATTGCTGCTTGCCTGGGATTTTGGGCTCTGCAGACAGTTGAAACAGATTCAAGTGAGACAGAGGTTAAAAGAGGGTGACTGTGGGTGAAGATGACACACAGTCGCTAAAGAATGTGGGTGCAGTGATTGGATTTTGTCCTGCCTTCTGGGGGGGGGGGTGACTGTCGAAATCCATCCGCTGATGGTCCCTAGCCCGATGCTTGGCCCCACCAGGGAAGCCGCTAGCCTCCATTGGTTCTTCACAGCAGAGCAGTCTTCCTGACCTCTGACTGCCCTCCAGGTCAGTTGGGTGACTTCTCCCATCATGAACAGCCAGCACTATGTGAGGTGTGGTGGATGTAAATTGCAGCCAGCAGAAGTTGGAGAAGACTGTACCGGACAGGTCGCTGTTCCTCCAGCAGGAAGCAGCTTCTCTGATCTTCCAGACCTTTCCAGGCTCTGCCCCAGGAAACCAGCAGGGGGTGCTGACAGGAGAGTGGTCACCGGGGCTCACCGTTGGGCCAGCAGTGATGAAAAGGAAGAACCTCCTGCCTCTTTCAAGACTTGCAGGCTGGGCCAGATTATTTGGTGCCCAGCTTCGTTGGTCAAACCCCAGTTGTTTGCACTAACTGTAATGGCTTGTTTGGTTCTGCTTAGTGTATTGCATGTTGTGGCTTGTCTGTGTTTGCAGGCTGTGTGAATCTGTGTTGTGAAAAGGGATATCCCGGAAGAAGAATTGACTGGGGGGAGAATGTGGGGAATGTAAGTTGGCCAGACAAGTCATTTTCCAGGGATGGGGGCACTCCAGAGAGAAGCCTGCCTCTGTTACTGACAAGTGGCTACTCTGTCTCTGGATCCTTCCTTCCTTCCTTCCTTCCTTCCTTCCTTCCTTCCTTCCTTCCTTCCTTCCTTCCTTCCTTCCTTCCTTCCTTCCTTCCTTCCTTCCTTCCTCTCTTCCACCAACCACATTCTGCTTGTGTTCTTCTTCACCTCAGAAAGTCCCCAGTTTCCTCTGAGTATGGCTTGAAGGGGCCCATTGTTTCTCCTGGCTGAGCAGTTTGCCCTTTGCATCCTCTCCTTGGAGGGCAGCCTGGGAAAATTTGGTCAGCTCGAGCATTTGGTTTTGCCTCCTTCCAGATGCCTTTGCTCTCCTCCTCTGCTCTTGGGAGTCCTCTGCGGCCATCTTGTCTTCCTGAAGCCAAGTGCACCGGAGGATGCAGGAAGGGTTGCCCGGGAACCTCTGAGCACTGGAGGATCTCCCTGTTTGTGACGGCTGCCCCTCCCCTTTTCCTTGGACATCTCCAGGGTCAAACCCTGGCTTCTCTGGTGGAGAAAACTGGGAGAGCTGGACAGTCTTACAGGAGCCTCCTATGTGCTTTTGCTCCACCTGTCCAAGTACTGTGGAGCAGTGGAGATTTGGGCAGAGGTTTCTCCAATTCCCCCCGGAGCTTTGCAGACATTGAACCTCTTGCATGAAGAACAGCTGGCTAGGGATGAGGGGAATTGTAGTCCAGTTCACCCAGAAAGCATCAGCTGAGGGAAGGCTGCCTTCAGCATCCTGAGGCTGCTTTGTCAAGGCCCCTCGGGGACCTTGGAGCCAAATTCAGTAGGGCCCTGGCCCAACCAGAGGCTTCTTGCGCAGCCATCAAGGCAGTGTGGGTGGGGTTGTGCTTAGGCAGAAATTCACCAGGATGAAAGGTTATCTAGATAAGCTTCTTTATTTTGACCTGGCTTGATGGAGACCGAGCAGAAACATTTCTGATGCTTAGGGAAGTGAGAGGGCTCCACGTTCTAAGTGGGGACAAGGCTGCCAGACCCACACCTACCCCTCTTGAGGTCTGGCACTCTGGCAGGCCCAGAGCTTGGACAAGGCTGTGGGATTCTCTGTCACTGGAGTCACAGAGCCTGGGACAGTCCAGATGATGACAGCCTCTGCTGCAGCCACGCTGGGATTGGTTTGCCTCCACCATGGAGTGCCACACAAAGCAAAGGGGGCACTTTTACCAGGGAGAGACTGGCAGCTGCAGGGACCTGGAGCTCTGAAGCCCAGCAAGAAGAAGACTTCTTCCTCAAAGACACTTTCTTGTAGTAAAGTCAGGGGTAAATTCCCAAAGATCCCTCCTTCTGGCTTCTCAGCTCAGGACTCTTCTGAGCCTTACCCAGCTCTGTCTTCTTTCCATCTTCTTCTTCTTGCTCCACAGGGCTACAAAAGCCCCATTTGTCTGCCTTAGTGCCCAATTATGCTTGCAGCAGCTTCTTGTCCAGACTCAGCAGTAGAGACAGGCTTTGTCACTGAGTGGGACAAACCTCAAAGGATGCCCAGAGAAGGAGCTTTCTTGCCATTCCAGCTGGATGGCTGTGCATGGAGGCTTTGCTCTGTCCTGAAAACAGATCCTTCCTCACCCTTCTGGGTGAGAGAAGTCGCTTTGGCTGCTTCTCCTTCTTCAGGGAAAGCCATAGCAAAGACTCTTTGATGGATAGCATTCCAGATTTCTGGAAGAAATTCCATGCATCATTTTATTCTGTGCCATTAGAGGTACGAACTTCTCCAGATGGCCTGGAATTCCATTGGGAGGGCACCAGGTCCCATAAGGCTCTCCCTTGCTTGGGTAGGAAGCCAGACGTGGTCCAAGAAACCAGCAAGAATGGTGGCTAAACCTGGCTGGTCCAAAGCAGCCTGTGGGTCTGCCCACCCAGCGGTGCCTGGTCTTCTTGGAAATGCAGCGGGTGAAGTGCTAACAAAGACGCTGGTGCTATTTTTGTGGGTGTTACTATCATCACCCTGCGTGGATACCCAGGGAAGAGCTCACTCATCCAACTCCATGTTTTGAGAGCTTCTCGGGAAGGTGTAAGTGTGCGGTTTCAAAAGATCCATTGGGGTGGATTTAGGATTGGACAATAGACCTTCCTTCCTTCCTTCCTTCCCAGTTTTAAGGCACTTGATTCCTCCACATCCAATTCTTACAGTAGCTTCTTGTCCATTGCAAAGGTTCCCCCCCAAGAGTAACCAGATGTCCCAGCCATTTGTTTTAAGAGACCCCACATTTTGGCATGATCTCCACAGTCAAAGAGCTTGCTGAGGTCCATAAAGCAAGGAGGAACCCCACTCGGAGCAGCTCTCTATCATCCATGACAATTCTTGTCCCTGCAGTCCTGCTCCATATTTGTTGACACAGAGCTGGTAGCAGTTTAATTGCTGTTTCTTTGCAGCTCCAGGGGTACTTCTAGTACTTTCCTCCTGATAACTACTTTACTTTCTGAGGTACCCCCATTTTCAGTGGAGCCAGTGCCTGAATAAATTGCTTCTCTACAAATGTTTCTCTAGTTCTGTGATCCTGTTTGCAATGATTCCAGTGTAATCTTCCCATCTTCTTTTAACCTCATTTGCTTTTGTTAGAGCTTTGGATGATTATCCGTGAGTAGCTGTACATTTTCCCGTGGTTTATCTGATCTCTCTAAAAGCATCATCTCTTGTTTATTTTTCTCAATTCTAGACATTTTTTTTTGATACCTTCCATTGTCCTTCCTTGTTTGATGCTGCGACTCTGCATTCAGAGGCTGTACACTCTTTTTTTCCATCCAAGCCTCTCATCTTCCATCTGTCTCTGACTTTCATGATAACTCCTTGGATTTGGGGAATGCATTTTCTGCTTTGGTTTTTGCAGAATCTCTGACCTCTTCCCAGAGTTCCCGAAATTCAATTTCACGTAAGTTCAGTGTAGTGGATGTGCTGTTTCAATGGATCTTCTATTCTGACCATATGTTTGCCTGGGTCAAAACTTCTTATGAGACCTACGCTCTTTAATTTTCAAAGTTCAGCTTAAATATTGGATACAAATACTTCTCAGTCTGCATCTGGAACTGTCCAGACCGACATCTTGTATTTCTCTGTCTTCTTTCCTTTTATATGGTCTGCTGATGCTGATGTTCTCCAGCCAGTGAATCTGGGCACATCACTGGCCCTTGTGAGACTCAGAGCTGGAGCCAGAGATGAGCTCCCCTCCGAAAGTCTGCTAACTTTTCTCCTGCATCACTGCGCTCGTCCAGCCATGATCGCCCTCTTACTGCAGGTTCTTTTGCATTCATTCCAGCCCCCCTTTACACTCCCCACAAATCTATTCATTCTTATCTTGTCATTTATGGGACCACGGGATGATCCTTTCCAGAGCCTTTCCAGCTCCTTTGCTTCAGGCTGTTGGGTGGGTGATCTCTTGCCCAGATCTGATTTTGAAGTCCGCCTAAATCCATGTGCTTCACTGAGCTCAGAGGAGGGGCCTTGATTGACAGCTGTCCCCTTCCATGGCTAGAAATGAGGAGCTGCTTTCCATACTGACCCTCCAGTCTTGCCTCCTCTTTGCGCCCAGGATTCTTCGGGGGGGGGGGCAGAGGAGTATCTTTGACCTGAGAGGGCCTTCATCCTCAGCCTTGTCTGAATGTTTGATCCCCCCATACCATTTTCTTCACAGCAATGCAGAAGGGGGCCCAGATCCCGAAGGAGGGTGGGCTGAGCTCTGTCTGTCCTCTCCCTGTTGTGGGGCTCTTAGCCTCAGCCCTCCTCTTCTGAGCTTACCCGCAAGGGGAACAATCATGTAGCTAGCAATTATTTGAGCTCCTTCCAAGGCTTTCTTCTCTGTTCTTCTTTTTCCCCACCACAAACGTCCCCCAGGTGCCCATGGCCAAAAAATAGTTCTCTAGAATTTGGACAGCTGGATGTAATTCCTGGGAAAGAGCAGCTTTTATTCCTTTAAGGGTACTATGTAATTTGGATAATTTTGCATGCACTTTTTGCGACCAGGACCTGCGTCTGCCTTGAGTGCTTAGGAGCTCCGGGGCCTTGCTATCATGCCCCGGAAGGAAATGAAAAGCACAACCCAGGAATCCCTCCTTGAGAGCCACCTTGCACGTTGTTCTCAGGACTGAAACTGGGGTCACCCAGGAGAGGAAGAGGTAGTAGCCGAGGCCCTGAGAGACTCCCCAAATGGGGAAGGAAGCCATCTTGTCATAAGGCCCACCAGCACAAGAAGGTTTGGTCCTGGTGTCACTCAGTTGGGAGACGCTGGTCCTAGTAAGCCATCAGCCCAGATCATGCTGGAGTCACCGCTGAGCCTCCTGCTGGGGCAGTCCTGGTTTTGAATGGGGGCCAAACATTGCCCTCCAGATGGGGTGCAAAGAGGAATCTGTCCTTGGGGCTTTGAGTCTTCTTCCCCAAGAACCGAACTTCTGATCAGACACCCGACTTGTGGTTTTTGAATCTTGCATCTCTTTCTACAAGAGAAGGCTTGTCAGGTGGCTGAACTTTGCCCCCTCCAAACTGGTCACTATTAACCTGCCTCTCTCTCCCCCCCCCGTCTCCTCTTTGTAGAACCACCTGTCTCCAAAGAGCTGCATCTGCAGAGAGGAAGAGCTCCTGAGCCGTGGGACTTTGGCCCCTGCCTGCTATTACTCTTGCCTGCCACACAGACCCCCCCCTTGGAGGGCCCCCCTTCCTCCTTGGAGGGTCCTTTGAGTCACCGAGTGCTTGAGGCCCACTGCCCAGTACTGCCCTCCCCAGATCATGTGGCAGTCATTGTGCCGATACCCGCTTCTCCTCCCGCCGTTCTCGCAAGTGACCAAGGGGGCTGCCGGGTGGGGCGCACACCTGGCCCTCTGGATCCTGGGCCTCGCCTCGGCCGTGGTGCGGATGGAGAGCCAGGCCTACTCGCCCACCGTCAACACTCACTACGGGAAGCTCCGTGGGGTGCGGGTGCCCCTGCCCAGCGAGATCCTGGGGCCGGTGGACCAGTACCTGGGGGTACCCTACGCCGCACCTCCCATTGGGGACAAGCGGTTCCTGCCCCCTGAGCCTCCACCATCCTGGTCGGGGATCCGGAACGCCACCCACTTCCCCCCAGTGTGCCCGCAGAACATCCACACCGCTGTGCCCGAGATTATGCTCCCCATCTGGTTCACCTCCAACCTGGACATTGTGGCCACTTACATCCAGGACCCCAACGAGGACTGTCTGTACCTCAACATCTACATCCCCACCGAGGATGGTGAGTCCCCAGCGGGGTGCCTGTAGGACATGTGTGTTGTATGTGTGTGTGCACGCGTGTTTCTCTGCGGTTTGAGCATGCTGCCATCACTTGCTCTCCCCCCGACGCATGGCTGTCTGTGCGCATCCGTTTCTGGCCATTCTGCTTATCCCTCCCGGCTGCCATGTGCTCCTTCTCGCTCTTTCTCCACATGGGCCCTTCCTCCTCTGCTCGTCTCCCCCCCCCCAGCCCCCATCATCCTCATCCTTAATTGGGTTGGCAAGACAGGAGTACTCTCGGTCAGCTGCAGGGTGTCCCAGCCCGTTGGGGAGCAGCAGGGAGCCTTAGGTGCCCTCAGGCTTGGCTGAGGGTCAACATTCCCCCAACCTTCTCTCTCTCCATCCTCCCTGCCCCCATTTCCAGAGGGTCCTTGGCAGGACAGTTCTGGTGGGGGTCTCTCTCTGTCTCTCTCTCTCTTCCAAACCTCGCCCAGTCCTTGAGCTCAGCCTTAGCAGGTCCCACTCCCTGGTCAGAGGAGGGTCTCCACTAGCAGGGTTAGCCAGAGCAGGAGGGGGGGCTCTTTGTGGTGAGGCCGAGCATCTTAACCCTTCCTTTCCAGGGCTCCCCCGTTGGAACTGTAAGTAGCCCCTCCTGAGCACACTTGGCCTCACCACAAGGGGGTCCCACCAAGAGAATCTGGCCCTGTGGAGGGGAGCCCCTTACCTGGCAGCAGCAGCACTGGGGGAGCCGGGCCCCTCCCCAGGCAGGGAGGAGGGAGCTTCACGCTTGACCAGCCCTCCTCTCCTGCACCCTTCTTGGCCTCAGAGATGCCCCCAGAGCAGCTGCTGCTCTGCTCCCCTCTGCCCTCCCTGTGGTCAGCCCCAAAGGGGGTGGGGGGCTGGGTGGGAGTGGAGTGGAGTGGGGAGAAGGATGGGTTGCATGCCCACACCCTCCGCTGGGGCCTCCTGTTATTTTGTAGTCTTTTATTCATTTTACAGTAAAACGGATTTCCAAGGAATGCGCCCGAAAACCCAACAAGAAAATATGTAGGAAAGGAGGTAGGTAGCGAGCCGGGGCCTGGCAGAGGGCACAGAGAGAGGCAAGTGAGAGAGTGAGCGCCAGGGGGCGCCTGGCCTGCCCCATGCCACAGCAGAATGGAGGTGGGGGGCTTATTGACTTGGAAGGGCTCTCTGGCCAGTCCTCCGGGAGAGCACCCTCTCTTTTTTGGGGGGGTGGCATTCCCACCTAGGAACAGCTGGCTGGCATTGGCTGCCTATCACTGGGGGGGGCAGAGGAGAGGGCTCCCTTCTCCCCTGCCCCACACTGGGCTGGAGCTGGCTTTGCATCCAGAGTCAATTGGAAGGCGATTCTGCCCAGTTCCTTCTCAGCAGTTCTGGGAAAGGCCATGCCAGTGGTCAGAGGGCTGAGGATGCCCTGCTTCTGGACTGCTTCTCTGGCCAGCCCAGACACTGTAAGAGTGGAGTGGCTGCCCCACCACAGGAACCTCCATGCGGTGGGTGCCCTTTCCCTGCCACTGTGGCCCCTGGGTCCCTAAGCAGGTACAGGGCAGCACACCCTGCGCTGGGCTCCTCCCTCTGCCTGGCAGAACGGCAACTCCACAGCTCCTTCCTCTCTTGAGCCAGACTCCCCTTGCCTCCGGGGAAGGCTGGCCTCAGGGCTACCGCTGGGTCTGCTTTGCCCCAGTTGTCTTTTTGGACCTCTGCCCCCCCCCAGCCTTGGCCCCCTGGACAGGAGTGGAGAGGGGCAGGCAGGGAACCTCTGCAGCCCCTCAAGAGCTCTGTGCCCCCCTCCCTCCTCACAAAGGGTCTCGGTTCCACCCATGATGGAGCAGCAGCTTCAGCACGGGCAACCGCTTGTGCCAAAAGCCACCCTTAAATCTCCTCTGTTATTCCTTCACCAAGGCCGGGCATGAAGGTGCCAACCTTCTTTTGAGCTTTTGGAAATACCACCCAAGCAGGCCTGTTGTGGGGATGGCCGAAGCCGCTCTGGGCTCTTCTCCTGCTCTATTCCCGCTGCCCGGGGGGGGGGGGGTAGGGCCTGGACAGCTCTTCCCAAGGAGGAAGAGGAACCGGATCCCTGAGTTTTGAAACAAAGGGAGGCGTTCCGGTGGGAAAAAGGAGGAGGGGGGCTCATTTCAAGTGATTGGGCTCCAGAGGGCAGGTCCCCCAGGTGGCGGACCCCCCACCGCATCCCTGCATGTTGGGTTTCAGCTCCTGTCATGCCCAGCCAAATGGCCAAAAGCATGCAGCAATTTAGAAGGGCCTTCAGGGAGTGGAGGAGGAAGCCAGACAAGCAGCTAAGGGAGGACCAGAACTAGTGGACGTGCCAGCACACCTGCACACAGACACACACACACACACACAGGGCTGGTGGGTCCAGGCACATGAGGCAGCTTGGAAGCAGGTTCCCATCCCGGCAGCTTAAGCAAAGACTTTTCCACCCCAAGGTAGCGTCCTCTGTTTGAACCTGGAACATCTGCTTGGGTTCTCCGCCTGGGATGAAGGGGGAGGGGGCGGGAGGCGTCAATTCCTGTGGCTCCAGTCAAACATAACTGCCCAAGAAGGGAAGAAAGACTGTGACTGGGCTAGCAGTCTTCCTGAAGTAGTGTGGTGGTTTGTAAATCGTGGCTTACTGCATCATACAAACCCAGTCCGTGTGGACCATTCAGCAAACCCTAATCACCAGTAAGCAAGACATGGCTTAGCTCAGGCACATGACTGAGAGCCTAAGCATTCTGGGAGAACTCTGCCAGTAGCATTCATTTAGTCGGGGAATATGGTTCAGTGCATTGTGTGAATCCAACCAGTGATGGCTTAGCGTTTTGTGTATGCAGCTACATACTTTGTCTTTGACTTGCCCATTGACTAATGCTGACGTAGGACTCTCCAGGAAAGAGAAAGTGGGTCTGGAGAAGGTTAACACTGAACAGCTTCAAGGAGGAGGCAGCCCCCCCCCCCAGCATCCTGGGCCACCATGTGCAACGGGGGCATCAGAGAAGCTGCCTTGAGGCTCCGTCTGGCTTCTCTCCCTTAAGGACTCTGGGGCCCACTCAGCCCGATGTCACAAAAACAGGAGGGGGAGAAGGCTCAGTCCTCAAGAAGGAGGGTATTGCATGCCTTTTTTGGGGAGCACCCCCATAAATACCAAAATAGCTATTTCCCTTTCTTCTTTGGCTCGCGTCTGCCCTCTTTCTTCAGGAGCACGTCCAGCCCCGCTATTCAGGGAGGGAGGCCAGGTTAGGAATGGCTGTTTCCCCACGGGGAGTGACTGCAAATCAGCTTCTGGCAAATTCCCTGCAGCTTATGGGAGTTGTGCCCTTATGGGACTGATGGGGCTTCTTTTAAGTCTCTCTGCCCCTTCACAGCTGGGCCCAGTTTAGCTCAGATGTTTCCCCCTCGCTGGCTCTCCACTGTGACTGCGGATTCTGCTTGTGTTCATATCCTGGTTAATCTGTCAAGCAAGAATTTGCATCTCCCACCTAAAACTGATGGAAAGGAGAAGGTATTCATGTCAGCTGTCCTTGGTGCCCCTCTTTTGCGCCATCTCTAAAGCATTTTCGTTTCATTCAGCTTTGATGTGGCGTGGCAGGTTCCCAGCAGAGCAAAGAAATCACCCCTTCCTCATTTCCTCCTCATCCTGATGGAAGATGGACATACCTTCTTCCCCCCTCCCTCCCTCCCTCCCTCCCTTCGGCTGCCAGGGGTCAAAGGTAGCCCGTGCCTGGGCCAGGACTGGCTTGGCTCTGTCGGCCATATTGCGCATGGCTGCTCCATTGCACAGTGCCTATGAACCCTCTACCAGATTTTGCCCATAATCCCCGGCCCTGGGCTGATCCCTCCAATGCAGCTTCTCAGCTGCCTCCCCACAGCTTCCTCTGACTGGGGTTTGGCTGGACAGTTGCTCATCTCTGGATGCCCCACATCCGTGTAATGGCCTGGGCAAAGTGTCCTCCTCCCTGCCCCCAGATTGCACCGGGGGTCTGGAGGAACATGGTTGGGGCCGGGCTGATGCGCCCTGCAGAGCCACGAGCAGGAGGACCAGCGCAGCCTCTCTCTGCCTCGGTTTCCATGGTGACCGTGCAGGCCTGGCATCTGAGCAGCAGTGGCTGGAGACAGGAGCGCTTTGTTCTGCTCTCAGCTGATCCAGGCTGGAGCCTCATTGTGTGGCGGCTGGGCAGAAGGGAAGGTGGAGGCGCATGCAAGTCTCCCAAATCTGTCTCTTTGGGTTGACCCAGGACTTTGTCCTATACGGGTGGAGCCATCGGACCTCTCAGAGGCTGGATGGGCAGCTGGGCGCTTGCTGACTCTTCCCTAAGATGGGCAGGGCCTCTTTGGCATGCTGGACTGAATGCTGCCCAGGGTGGCTGGCGGGGCCAGATGGGATAGCAGCCTTCAGTGTGCATCTATCTGGGGTGCTGCAGATGTTTAAGGTTTGCTTCCAGGAGCACATAGAGCCCCCAAAGCATCCTGCCCAGGCCTTCTCCAGCCCCCTTTTCTCAGGGGAGCAGCCAAGAAGGGACATCTGCAGGGCAGCAGAAAGAGCCCATACCTGCTGCACCTGGTTGGCATGTGGGCAAGCCAAAGTCTGGAGGAGTTTGTGGCAAGGGCCAGTTCATATTCAAGAGCTGGGGGTAGTTCTGGAGGTCACCATAAGACCTTTAGGGAGATGACCACAGCCCCGGCCCTCCAGGTGCCATAGGCTGGTGCAAGCAAATGCACAAGTCTTGTTGTACAATCCTGAGTGGAAGTGACCTGTCATGCCAAGGGCACGAATATTTGTCCCATGGCATCACAGAGTTTCCACCCTTTGGCTGCTAGACGGTGATGCCCGTAACAAGTATGCCCGGCCCATGTCCGCATCCAAAGGGGGCTTGCCGCTTGAGAGATGCCACCCTGAACCTCAGGGCCCATCCAGGCTGGCTCCGCAGGGACAGATCCAGTGGGCTGCCCCCTCCTCCCTCCTTCAGGCGTGACCTCTGCAGCTGGCCTCCCCTTCCCCGTGAGCAATGCCTGGCCTTCTCCCTGGCCCTGGGGACGGGCCCCTGCTGAGGAAAGCCTCTGCCCCCTCCCCAGTGCTGCTGCCGGAGGTCTGAGGGGTGCCGGAGGCTTAGCAGAAGCCTGAGCCAGGTGACCGTCCCACCTTCTCTGCAGCCATGCTATGTTTGAATTCTCTTTTGTTTTCTTCCTTCCTGTTTTGGTTTCTCTTTTTTGCCCCCTTCTTCCTTTTTGTTCGGTCTCCTCGTGTTTGGTCCCCAGGCTCCAGCGCTAAGAAACAGGGCGAGGACTTAGCAGATAATGACGGGGATGAAGACGAAGGTATTTGCGTGTGCCAAGTGGCTGTCGATGCATGAACCCACTCTCTCTCTCCCTCCCCCCTCCCCCCTCTCTCTCATGCACGTCCTCATTGCTGCTGCCATTCCAAGAAGCCCCCCCCATTTGTGTCTCTGTCTCTCTGGGTGCTCAGTAGTTGGATGGGGAGGGAGCCCTGTTGCCTCCTACCCTGGGTTGCTTGCTGGTTGGGAAGGTGGAGACAAGTGGCTGCAGGGTCCTTCTCAGCTCAGACGCTCTGGATTTCTGGTCTTTCCCTGTGGGCTTGCAGGAACAGTGCCTCTGGGAGAAAGTGGTGCTTGCCATTCTCATTCCCCCCCCCCACAGACACACACAACACCCCCTGGGTCCAGCCTGGGTCCTCAGCACCCCCCCCCCCTGGCTGCTTAAGGGCTCTTTTCCCCAGCCAGGCACTCGGGGAAGAACCTCTGCAAAAGGCAGTGGGGGGGGCATGGGGGCACCGCGCTTTGGAGGGCAGGAGGGGCACTGGAAACATGGCTACAAAGAATGCCATTGGCACTGGGCAGAGGACGAAGTGGTGCCCTTCTGCAACAGAACGGGATCTGCGGCTTGCCCCTCTGCCAATTTCTGCCCATGCCACGGGCAGCGGTGTCCTTGGGCGTGGGGAGCTCGCTTCGCTTGCTTCCCTCCCTGCAGGGGCTGCCATTTAATCCTGAGAAAAGCATCCTCTGTGCCAGATGCCCGTCAATTTTGCTTGAAGGAAAAGGTCAAGGTGACACCCAAGAAAATCCCAGCCAACCTGTGCAAACAGCTTGGCAGAGAAGTGGGAAGAGCTGCTGAGGACCCCCTTCGGGGCATCTGCTGCCCTTCAGGCGCAAAGAGGCACCTTTTCTACACTACTCCCAAAAAGGGAACGTGAATGCCAGCACAGCTGAGCTGGTGGGCTGGGTCTGGAAGCGGACGCCCAAGGCGGAGGGAGGCCTGCTAGCCAGAATGGAGGTGCTTTTGGGAGTCACAGTTGGCAGCCCTGTTTGGGCTGTTCTGTACTGTTGGGCAGGTTGTTTGGCATGCCAGGGGCCATTCTTGCGGTCAGCACTGCGTCTGTCCTGGGTTGAGGACAGTGAGGGGGGGTGAATGGACAACCTCTTTCCTTTGCTCCTTTCTCAGCCCTTGGTGGGCTTTGCTGCCCCCTCATCCCCTTGGAGAAGCTCTTCCCCAGGGACCGGCCAACCATGTCCCTTCTTGGTAAGGGCAGATGAGGTCCCTGTCTTGCCACGAGGCACTTCCTGCTGATTTTCTGCTTATAATGTTTGTACTTATAATGTCTGCTTGCTTTAGGGTGGTAGGCATTCTGGGACTCTCCCAGTTGGATAAAGAGCCCCCTCTGAGCATCCTTGACAGGGCAGTGCCAAGTGGCCACCTCTGCCCTGGGATTGTTGCTCCCAGGAGCGTCAGCTCTAAGCTGTGTGGGTCCCTGGGGAGCTGAGAGGCTGCTCCTCCTGCTGCGTTGAGGGCATTGACGGGATAGGCAGGGCCGACTGCTGTGGGGGCACAGGCTGCCATCCCAGTTCAGGTGCCAGGGGCATTTGACTGAAGTGAGCAAGAGGGGAGGGGGATGGAAGGTGAATCTTGCAGGATTGTTGAGTGTATCTCTGCTAGCAAGTCTCTGGTGAAGCAGCAGCTTCTCAGAAGAAAGGAGGGGACAGGCTACTCCCTTCCCACCACCCAGAATATTTACACCCCAGTGAAAGGAGAGGTGCTATTTCCAACCCTTCCTCCCCCTGGTGACAGCATCTTTCTAGGGCTCAGTCCCAGCCCCTGAATCTCACAGCTGGCTGCTGGACAGTGGGCCCGCCAGAGCACAAGGGACCGCAGGGAGCTCCTGCAAGCCTTGGGACCTTCTCACATTGTCTGCCAGGCCGGAAACCTGTGGGCAGAGCTTGACGTCCCTGCTGTGCCTCTTCTCCCATGGCCTCCCTGGGAAGGGTTCAGGTAGCCCAAGGCTGGGTGCCCAGCAGGTCATGTCAGACTCCTGTCTCTAGCTTCTCTCTCTTGCAGACATCCGAGACAGCGGGGCCAAGCCGGTGATGGTCTACATCCATGGGGGCTCCTACATGGAAGGCACAGGGAACATGATTGACGGCAGTGTGCTGGCCAGCTACGGCAACGTCATTGTCATCACTCTCAACTACCGTGTGGGAGTCCTGGGTATGGAGGCTCTCACAACGGAGCTGCCTGCACTCCAGCCCAATGGCGGCCCCTGGAGAGGTCGTGAAGAGCCACCACATCCCTTAGCAGTTTGGGCTGGGGGCATCTGTGGGGAATAAGTACAGGGTCCCGCAGGGAGCAAGATCCCCAGCTTTGGCACCCCCAGTTTTTGCACTGGTTCCCCTGAAAAGGTTCCCTCCCTGTCTGGCATCTGGCCCCCAGGACAGGCCCTCGACCCTCATCCGGGCCGAAGTGACAGATGTGAAAGCCGCCCTGTGTTCCTAGCTTGGAGTTCCCTTGTGTTTGCCCATTACGGCCCCGCAGAGAGCAAGTATTGATCTGTGGTTAAATATTGTAAAAACCCTGTTTGCCCATCTCCTCTCTGCACTACTCAGCAAGCACCACTAATATGCCTCCCCAGAGGGAGTATCCCATGGTTCTCTTGGGGTGCTGCCAGGTCACCTCCAGAAGCTGCCTGTCGGATCCTGAAGGTTTCCTTGGAACGGGAGGCAGGCAGGGTAAAGGCTTCCCTTCCACCTTCTTTCTCCTTGAGGTTTGTGCCTGCTCCACAGACAAACAGCCCCGCCCTTGACTTTCGGGACAGCCCTTGGCCACCCTAACTCCAGATGGTGACTTGGCCTTCCAGGGTGCCTGGGTTGAGGCTGCAGCAGTCTCCAGGCAGAGGAGAAGGCTGTTCCTGGGTGGATTTGCACCTGGGTCAGGAGCCTAGAAATGACACGCTCGGCTCGTGAGTCTGCATGCCAGGGTGCTGAAGCTGACCTCAACTCCTGCGGGATTCACCTCAGATTCGTACAATAAGTTTCAGCTCATTTCCGTGTTGATCCCTTTCCTGGGCTTGCAGAAATCACGAGCTCCCAAATATTTCAAAAACTTGAAATCACTAAGTTTTTCACTGGCCTGGCATCGGAGAAAGCCAGAGAGGCATTTAAAGCCCGCTTTTCTAGGCCCAGTCTAAGAGTAACGTCCAACCGAGGACAGAAAGGTCCCAATGAGCAGCTGAGCGTCGGGACAGATGGCCCCAAAGACGGGGAGCAGATTCGTTCAGTCCACTCAGGCTGAGGAAAAGGCACAGGGGCCTCTCCTTGGCCTCCTCGGAATGGCGAAAAATCTGGAAATCTCACGTGGAGGAAACTGAGAAGTTGTCCGTTTGCTGGGGCCTGGTCAGCAATGGGGAGGGGGGATGGAGGGTCTGGCTGAGGAGCCCCATCCCGGCTGGGGAGCAACCAGCTTTCCTCTGCTTGCCTGCAGGGTTCCTGAGTACTGGCGACCAGGCGGCCAAAGGCAACTATGGGCTCTTGGACCAGATCCAGGCTCTGCGCTGGATCAGCGAAAACATCGCTTTCTTTGGCGGCGACCCTTTGCGCATCACTGTCTTCGGGTCAGGCATTGGGGCTTCCTGCGTCAGCCTGCTCACCTTGTCGCACCACTCCGAAGGTAAGGGAAGCTGCCCCTCTTCCTGCACCTCCTCCTCTCTGGACTCCCCATGTTTTTACCATAGATGGTTTGTTCCTGTAAGAATGTGGAATTACGGGCTTCAAAGTGCACTTGTATCTTTGCATTCAGGATTACAAGGGGGGAGGCAGCAATAGCTTCTATTTCAAAACTCACAATTGAAATTTACAAAGACCATTGGAAAACAGGCAGTAAGAAACGCTTAGAGGCTGAAGCAGGTTCTTTGCCATGGTGAGACACAGCAGATGACAGGTGCACAGGCAAGATTCCTTCAAATGGAACCGACCTCGGGATATTCCCTTTGCCAAGCCAGCTTCAGTAGTTTCTCCAAGGGCAGTTGCTGACAGTCTTCAGAAGCTGCAACCTGTGGCCAGATACGGTCCAGGAGAGCTTGGCCAGAGGACTTTCAGTCTGGCAGAGGAAGTCTGAAAGTTTCTTCTTCAGAAAACACAACTGCAGAGATGGGCCCAAGGCCAGGCAGGAACCGAGCCCCCAACATGCATGAATTAAAACATCTGCCAAGCAGCCTTGAAAAGTCAGGCTGTGCAGCCCTCTTTGCCCCTTCTGCATCTGAATCCTGGCTGGCTGATCTTGGGAAGAGTGGGAACCTTTTTGTAGATGGGGGGGCATTCTCTGGGAAGATGGAGGTGTGTCTGAGGTGGGCTGGCTTGATGCTGGGGGCCCTTCTGGCTCTAGAGTCCATCAAGAAAGACTCTGCAGGGTGGCTTTCAGCCCAGCGTCATTGCTGGGACAGCTTTAAGAGTATTTACACTTGTTCCTGTCCCTGCTTGATGGTGTCCATGCCATCCTCATGGATGGGTAATCCAGCATAGATGCTCTCTTGGGGTTTGGAAAGATGTCTTGCTTTTTAATTAGACATTCAGCAGCTTCTGTGTGTCCAGTTTGCTGCACAGGAGTTCCTGCAGTGGCTGAAAAAGTAGTACACCAGCTTCGTTCATATTTCCGTGATGTTTTTATGGCTCCTAGAGCATTGGAATTAGCCAAGCCACCAGCAAATGCCCCCCTCCGCCCCAGTCTAGTTAATGTTATCACCCCTTTGGGATGTTTGAGAAGGATCCGCTGCACAGAAGTCAGGGTGGGCTGCTGCTAGGAAGGTCTGTCTCGTGGCCAAAAGCATTGTAAGATTAGGGCAGGTGGACCAAGCACACGGGTTCCCAAAGACTTGCAAGGATCTGATGGTTCTGTCCTTCCTCTGGGTTCCCAAAGATTTTCTGGACAATGTGCCAATTTGCACATTGGCATCAATGTCTGAAGAGGGAGTGTTAACCTGTGCCCCTACAGATGTTGCTGAACTTCTGGCAGGCCACAGGGATCCTTTCCAGATCCAAGGAAAGGGCTGAGAGTGACTCTCTGAACCTGACCCTCTCCAGATGTTTTGGATCACCGTTCAGCTGCCATTCCACACATCTGGAGTACAGCAGGCTAGGAAAAGCTTAGCTCTGCGTGTTCTGATCAGGTTCAGTCACTGCAGCAGAAAAATCTGGGGCAGCCCCACACTGGGGACCACGTCGCAGAGCCACCAGCAGGGGTGGGCATGAGGCCGGGTGTCATGGTTCCATTAAATGACTGGTAAAAACAGGACTCCAAGGCAAGGGATTTCCTTAAAGAAATGTTTATTGGCTACAAAATTATCAGCACAGTAAAAACTGAAACCAAGTCTGGAGTTCTCTCCCAAGCATTCCAATGTTACAAAGTTGAACTTCCCACCCCAGCATTATTATCATTATCCACATTCCCCAATAGAATATTTTGGCGGGCTTTCTAACGGAAGGCTCAGCCCACAAATAGTAAGGCAGCTATGACCTTGGTTCCCATGGGACAAATTATTGTTTAGTCTAACCTTAAAATCACTCATTCCCCTCTCCCAGTACTGCGGCAACCGAAAATGAAGAAAAAATGGCTTCAGCCAAGATTGTTGCAGTGTTGACACCAGAGGAGGGGTGTCCCCAGTGGGGGAGAGCCTCTGTATCTCTCACGTTTATTAGCAAGGATGCAGAGGGGAGGGAGGAGGGCCACCTCGCGGTTCCTGCACTCCAAATCCCTTGTTTGCCAGGGCCACCAAAGGGATCTCATCTCCCAGGAATGGAGGGAAGCAAAGGTAGCACCAGGGTCTCCTCGGATGCAGCTGCCTGGTGAGGGAAGGCCTTTCTCTGCTTGCTGGAGGATGCTGGGAGTGTTGCTCAGCCTCCCCCTCCCCTACTGCATTTCCGCCTCCCCCTCCCATGCCAGAATGCATTAGGCACCGGCTGGAATCCTGCCTGCCAAGCAGAGGCCCCAGAGCGACCCAGGAGACGCTCCTTCGGAGGGCTTCTGCCTTCTCTGCACAGCCAAACTCATCCATGTGCTCTTTTGTGAGCCAATAAAGCAGGCAGGAGCCACCCCTCCCCAGATGCAAGAAAGAATCAGTCTTCCACTTTGACCATGGTGTCTGGGGGTGGGGGTTGTCCCCCAGGTGGAGAAAAAAGGCAGAAGCTATTTCTGTGTGTGCAGAGGATATTCATCCATTTCTACTACCCAGCAGCTGGAAAGTGATAGAATTACCTCTGGTCATTTGCAGGACATGCATTTCTGGGGCCTGCGAAGCTCATCCAGAACCACCAGGGGAATATTCAAATAGCTGCATTCAGGGCTGGTACAGCAGGTGGGGGAGGGGGAGGGATGCCCTGGCCAGCTGGCTTCACCTTTTCCTTGCCACGTGGCAGGACAGCCTGAACTAGCCCAGCTCTCCTGTTCAGCAGTAGCGTAGCTGGGTTTTGTTGGATCCCACACCAAGCAGGTGAGGAACCACTGGCCAATGGTCCCTCCCAACCCTGATGCTTCCGGGTGGGGCTTCAACTGCCTAGATATCAGAACTGAGGGCACCAGGTGGAGGGAGGCTGAGCGGCTTTGAGAGGCACAGCTGGCAGTCCTTCCCTCTGGGATGCAGCCTGGCAGATCGGAAGCCAAAGCGGCTTCAGACACTTGGTGGTTGGAAGGTAACTCTGATGACTTCCTCCCGGGGAGCCTGGGGGGAATAAGAATGTGTAAGAGTCTTTCAAGGGAGAAAAGGGCTGCACCCCTGCAAGCTGCACAGTTGCTTTAAGGGAGCGCAGGGTTGGGGGTGGGGGACAATAAATACAAATTATCCCCTTCCCCCAGTTTTGTAGCAAAGATGCATCCCCTTTTTTTACTTGGAGGTCGAGGGGCTGTAGGAGCTGGTGGAGATGCTCCTATCCTCCTTCCCTCTGCCCCCTCTTCCGGCTTCAGCTGCAGAGGCTGCACTTCCTGGACCTTTTTGTATTCTGAGGACAAGCCCCATGGAAGGAACCTTGGCACCCAGCCCGGCCTGGCATTCTTTTGCCAGCCTCAGGGTCTTTGTGGGCCGGCTTCCTAGGCCCGGCATCCTCGGCCTCTTGTGTTCCCGCCAGCAAAAAGGCTCCTTTGTGCCCCTGGGGAATGTGCAGTTTGCCGAGCCCACATTGGCACAGAGTGGGGCCCAGCTGGGCAGGAAATGAAGGCTGTTCTCTGTGGAACACGCAGGGTTAAGTACCACAGCTTAACCCCCACGATGCCAGCCTCAGATTGCCCTGCCTGAGGCAGGGGAGGGGAGAGCACCTCTTCTCCCATTCCTGCCCATTGTTCCCAAAGACTGGGTAGAACAGGACCAGGATCGCTTGACGGGTGCCAGGCTGACATGGCATGGCTGCCAGGGAAGGATTAACGGAGATGAGAAGGGGGTTGTGCTAAGGCCCCAAGCCCAGCATTTGCATCTGCAGCCTAGTCTTGGACGAGGGAGCCGGCATGGCTGGAGACGAGCTTTCTCTGTTGGGCCATCTGTCCTCCGGGTGCCCCTTTTCTTGCTTGGTTGCAATAGAGAACAGCCTGCTGGTGTCGGTGGTGTCCCTTCAGCAGCAGCTTTCTTGAAACCTGCTCATGAGTGGCATGTCCTTTTCTGCTATGCTTGTATTTTCGCCTCACAGGTCTTTTTCAGAGAGCCATCATCCAGAGTGGCTCTGCGCTGTCCAGTTGGGCAGTAAACTACCAGCCTGTGAAGTACACCAGCTTGCTGGCTGACAAAGTGGGCTGCAATGTTCTTGACACTGTGGACATGGTGGACTGCCTGAGGCAGAAGACTGCCAAGGAACTGGTGGAGCAGGACATCCAGCCAGCACGCTACCATGTGGCCTTTGGGCCAGTCATCGATGGGGACGTCATCCCAGATGACCCAGAGATCTTGATGGAGCAGGGAGAGTTTCTCAACTATGACATCATGCTTGGCGTCAACCAGGGTGAGGGGCTGAAGTTTGTGGAGGGCGTTGTGGACCCAGAGGATGGTGTTTCAGGCAGCGATTTCGATTATTCTGTCTCCAATTTTGTGGACAACCTGTACGGCTACCCAGAGGGTAAAGACACCCTGCGTGAGACCATCAAATTCATGTACACAGACTGGGCTGACCGGGACAACCCAGAAACTCGACGCAAGACCCTGGTGGCCCTCTTCACTGACCACCAGTGGGTTGAGCCATCAGTGGTGACCGCTGACCTTCACGCTCGCTATGGGTCCCCCACATATTTCTACGCTTTTTATCACCACTGCCAGAGCCTCATGAAGCCACCCTGGTCTGATGCAGCCCACGGAGACGAGGTGCCTTACGTCTTTGGGACTCCCATGATTGGCCCCACCGACCTCTTTCCCTGCAACTTCTCCAAGAACGACGTCATGCTCAGTGCTGTTGTTATGACCTACTGGACTAACTTTGCCAAGACTGGGTATGTTGCCCCTCCCCAGACTGCTTTTGTGGGTTTTGCAGGGTGGGTGGCTGGCATCTCCCAGAGACTCCCAGAGGGCAGAGCCAGGCACTCTTTTGGAATTCTGCTGTGTGGAATTGGACAGTGAAAAGACCCTCCGCAGTCAGGATCAGGGTGTGCGGGAGGAAATGGGGACAGAGCTCTGGGCTACCTTTAGTCCTTGGCATCTAATAAAGGAGAGGAAGGGGGAAAAGGATTAAACAAATACCTGTTCTCCTCAGGGTCCTTGGACCAGTAGTTTGAGGGCACTGAAGGTGGCTTCTTTCTCCAGTGCCCCTCAAGGATTGAGCCCCTAGATCTGCTTTCTCTAGCCTACTCCCCTTCAGATGTTTTGGGACTGCAGCTCTCAGACTTCCCAGCCAGTGCGATTTAGGAAAAGTCCAGTTTTAATCCTTCAGATTATTGAAACACGAATCTAGGTCTTGGCCAAGCTGAATGAATTTTCGTTCTGAAAAGGCTCAGTTTTCTGCAGCCCTCGAAGACAGAGAATCTGTCCATATATTGGAGCCCCTTGGGGCTAGACACCCCTGCTTGGCAGATATCTCCAATGGGAACAATTCCCCCCCCCAGGGAGCCCCCTGATTAATGGCACACTAGGGATTGCTGATGGCATGCTTTCTCTCTCTCCCTCTCCCTCATTCTTGCTCTCGCTCTCTTTTAGGGACCCTAACAAACCTGTCCCCCAGGATACCAAGTTCATCCACACCAAGGCTAATCGGTTTGAGGAAGTCGCCTGGTCCAAGTACAACCCACGTGATCAGCTCTACCTGCACATTGGCCTCAAGCCTCGGGTGCGTGACCACTACCGTGCCACCAAGGTTGCCTTTTGGAAGCATCTGGTCCCACATCTGTACAACTTGCACGACATGTTCCACTATACCTCCACCACCACAAAGGTGCCGCCACCTGACACCACTCAGAATTCCCACATGGCACGCCGTCCCAATGGGAAGGCCTGGAGCACCAAGCGGCCAGCCATTTCCACTGCCTACACCAGCGAGGGTTCGCAGGAGAAGTGGAACCCCGAGCAGGACGGGGCAGGCACGCTCCTGGTGGAGAATCCCCGGGATTACTCCACTGAGCTGAGTGTCACGATTGCTGTGGGGGCTTCCCTCCTCTTCCTCAATGTTCTGGCCTTTGCAGCGCTCTATTATCGGAAGGACAAGCGGCGGCAGGACACCCACCGCCAGCCCAGCCCACAGCATGCACCGGCCACCAACGATATCGGGCATCCCCCGGAAGAGGATATCCCCTCTCTGCAGACCAACCAATCCCACCACGGAGACTGCGAGGCAGTGCCGGCCCACGATGCCCTCCGCCTCACTGCCTTGCCCGACTACACGCTCACGTTGCGCCGCTCGCCCGATGACATTCCACTCATGACACCCAACACCATCACCATGATCCCCAACTCCCTGGTGGGGCTGCAGACCTTGCACCCCTACAACACCTTTGCTGCCAGCTTTAGTAGTACTGGGCTCCCTCACTCACACTCTACCACCCGGGTATAGCCGCAATGCACACGCTCCGCCTCACTGGACCTTGGGCTGTGGGGCCAGACGTGGCAACTCTCTTGGCTCGTAGTATCAAGTGCTTTGCTCTCCTCATCTCCAGAGCAGCTGAGGCTTCATGGAGTCCAGCAGAGAAGGCGAGACCCCTGGGTTGCCCTTAGCTGAGTAACCCCTTTGTGCTCCCAGGTCCAGCTGGCACTACCAAGGAAGCCCAGGGCAGCCCCTCGCCTCTTGGAACAACTGTAGGTGACTCTGCCTAGGCACCTCCTAGTGGGCACTCTTGCAACAGAGCTTTGCCAGTCTTTCTCTACCAACCTAGAGCCACAGAGAACGGCTCCCACAAGCTTAGCTGCCACCTTGTGGCTGGAGATCGCTGGCACTTCCTGGAGCTCTTGGACAGGTGCCATTTGGGGGGAGGTCTAAGCCCCGTACTGGATCCTGGATCCCTGGTCTTGATGCTGGGCCTGGCAGGTACTGTCTGGTACCCTGGCTCCATATCACACTCTTCATGTTGCAGAGATACTGTCTGTTTGTCTGTTTCTTTCCAAAAGACATTTTTTAAGCAGATCTTTAGTTCTTTAAACACTAACGGAGACACCGTGTTTTGTCCTTTGTAAAGATTTTAAACTAAGTGTTCTTGATACAGCCAATTAGACACACACGTCACCCAGACGAGCACATCCACCCCCTCCCCCCTCCAGCTGCATCTGTGCCAAACTATGAAACCAGCAGACTTCCCTTGGGATGGGCAGTGGCACAGAGTCGACCACGAGGCCCTTTTGTATTTTTGATATGCCCTTCCTAGCCCTGGTGTCCACTGGGCAATCCATGCTCCTGGATCCTGGGAACCAGCAGCCGCCTCCTGCCCTCTGCCCTAGCCAGCTGCCGGACCAGGGCCCAGCCACGTCGGGTGCCTCAGCCTTGCTTCTTGGCAGCCAACAGCCTGCCCTGGTCTCCAACTCACGGCTCCTCCTCTCGGGGTTGGAGAGGCAGGGAAGGAGGGGGAAGGCACCTGTAGGGGCAGTGGGTTGGACATCATGGGGCAGAAAGGGGCTTGCTCTCTGAGGCTGGCTGCCAGGTCCAGGACAGGTACCAGAGGAGTTGCTGGCTGTGGGACTGCTGGTTGACAGAGACCCTGCAGTGGCAGCTCAAAGGCTTGCCACAGGTGGATGTCAGGCCTGGGAACTGGAGTTGGGGGTAAAGAGGGTCAAGGACAGGGTCTGCTGGGAAAGATGGTAGGCAGCAAGCCCTGCCTTGTCGGAGTCTGGCCTGCGAAAGACCTGGTGGGCAGGAGAGCCCAACAGGTGGTCAGCAACACCATCGGCTGGCAAGGTGAGGATTCTGAGGTGGTGGGAGGGGGACACATTGAGGGGGGGCTGCAAGCAACTCAGGCAGGTGGCCAATGGGATTTGATCAAGCCTGTCTGGAAGTTTAAAACTGCGTGTGTCTCCTCTACCGATCGCCAATCTGCTCCTCACTGGGGGGGGGGGATTGTATCTTGGAGCAGAGGAATGAGAAATTCCCAATAAACTGGAAGGGATATTTTTAGCTCCTGGCTGTGCTGTCTCTTCTTGGCCTGGGGTCATGTTGGGGCGGAAGGGAAAGGAGAATGGCACCTATTGCGTCCCAGGAGAGCCCACCAGTCCCTAGGAGGCAGCCGCTTGAGGGAACACATGTGGGGCCTCTGCCCAGCTCATTTCTGCTGCCCCACCTGATCTGCACTGCTGCTGTCCCTCAGAACGGTTTCCCAAGCAGCCTCTGGTTGAGAAGGGCTTTTGATCCACCTGCCTCCTCTCTGGCAATCCTGCCAGGCTGCCTCTACCTTCCATCACCTTGGGATTTCCCTTACCCCCCACCCCACCCCCAGGGTGAACGCAGAGGGCCAGGTTACAATGGGCTGCTGCCTGGGGTCTTTCTCAGCAGAAGCAGCATAAAAAACACTTGGAATAAAGAATAAAGAACAGGTCAGCCCGGCGATGCCCTTGGCCACCTCCTGCTCTCCTGGCCATTCTATTTAGCAGGTAAAATTATAGTTCCGGTTGTTTGTTCCAGCAGCTGGACAGATGTTACAATACGGATAGGGAAGGATGCTGGAAACTAGTCCAGCAGTAGCAGATGGGGTAGTTCCCAGCTCAGGGTGACAATAAGGCTCTTCCCCCACCCAATAATACAGTGAAGCGGCTCCCAGCCACAGCTTCTGCCCCCAGGAGCCTTCCTACCCTGGCAGACTGCAACCAGATTGGGGGGAGGGAGAGGCTGCTTCCAGCAAAAGGCATAAACAATCAACCCCAACATGGACAGAGAACAGGCAGCCATCTGGGATTCTTCTCCATGGCAACCAGTGTTTGCAGGATGCTGGTTCGATCACCCTCCTCCCGTGTGTCCTTCGCTCTTTCCCCTTCTGCAGCGATTGTGCACCTGTGTGTGTGCATGTGTGTGTGCACATACAGGGGCTGTCTATGCAGGATCACATCCCCCAAAATCGGTTACCTTAACAACCTTTCATTGTCACAAATTGCATGGAAGAAACAGCCTGGGTTTCCTCCAATCATCCAAATCATTTCAGGCCAGCCTCTGAGCTGTGGCCTGCATGAAGGATGGAGCACGGGAAAGATGGGGGGAGGGGAGGGAGGAGCAGGCTTCATTTCCAATTCATCAGCATACAACATGGGCATGACCCTCTCGGAGGCACAGGTTTTCACCCTGCAGATTAATTTGCACTTCAGCCTGGCTCACTCCGCAGAATCTCAGAGTCACCTTGCTTGCCAACAGGGAGGGGTGTGGGCGAGGGCTGTTTCCTCTCACTCAGTACCTGGAACCGAGTTTTGCTGTTGCTGCAGAAGGTTGTGGAGGAATGGAGCAGGAGCTGCAAAGCCAGGGAGTGGCCAGGCAGTCCCGACTTAAGGGTCACATTGTGGCCAGCGTCAGTTGCCCTTGCCAAAGAGGCATTTGCACTTTGCCCCTTTCACTTTGGATAAGGGGAGTTGGGCACCCCAACCATGACCAGGGTTGAGGTCTGCTGCCTGCCTTTGCCCCAAATCAAGGCCGGATGAAGACAGGCAATTTGGCCCTCAGGAAAGGGTCGGATGCCCCAAGCCAGCAAGTGACCAGTTTTGCCTGGAGGACGATGTTTAGGGTGTGTGAATCTCAGAAATGCCCCTTTGGTGCCCATCAGCTTCTGGCCTCTGAAGCTTCAGGCCGAGCCTCCGTCTTCTGTTCTGGCAGCACCCCATCGTCAGGCTCTCTGGCTCCAGCCCCTGGTGAGGGTGGACGTAAGCAAAGTGTCCCACTTCTGCCGTGGTTCGAAGGCCATCGGTGGTGGTACACGGGGAGAAGAGAGCGAGAACAATAGAAGAATGCCGAAGGGGGAGGACAGTGTTTGCCCCTTACATTTGCTCGGTGCTCCATGCCACGTGGAAACCCAGCCAGTTTGTGTCGCTTTGACCTTGGTATTTCATGCAAACACAAAAATGGATCAGTTCAGTCATTAAGCTAAATATGTGTGTATGCACAACCAATGAATTACAGATGTAGCCTCTGAACCCGGCTCACTTCAGGGCTTTGCCATCCCCACCACAGGTACAGACCACCAACCCTGATCTGAAACAATGCACGCACATAAACACACACACACACACACACACACACACACACATGGAGAATTCTCAAAACCTATAGCTAGAATAAGGCTGATGCCAGTCCATCTCTGTAAGAATTTGTAAGAAAGGGACATTTCCCTTTCTATACATTTCTGGCCTGAGGTGATCACCACTGGGCAGGCTTTCCCAGCCAGAGAGCATCAGATACAAGCCGCTATAACCTCACACGCAACGTTGTATCCTCATCCTCGGCACAAAGTCACCGAGACTTGCAGGAAGTCTCCTGCGCCGGCCAAGGACCCCCTCTGCCCAAGGAAGCCTCGCTGGGCACCGAACAGGGCCAAGGAGGCTGGCCCCCAGTTGGGCTTCTCCCAGCTGCCGCCCGGAGCCTCCGAATTCGAGTGTGGGGCCCCTCGTGCGTTAGCCACACCAAAACCCATTTCTTTTCCAGTTTTAATTGCATCGATTAGAGGCATTTAGATAACAAATTACTGCATTAAATTTAATTATCTCAGCAATAATTAGTTACACCGGGGCAGAGAGCACGACTTTAATTACACAGCCCCGGATCCTGCCAAGCCACCCCCCCCCCAGCGGGGCTCATTATCATAAATCAGCCCCCCCTTGTGCTCCCACGTGACTACAACTCCCATCGTTCTCAGCCACGAAAAACGACGCAGGGCTTCGGTTCGCTGAGGTCCCTTTAAAAAAAGGCTGCCCGAACATGTGCAGAGTGTCTCTGCTCGGGAGTCCTGCGCAGTCTCGGCAGTCCTTGCATGAAGAGCCCAACCCAGCCCAGCCCGACCAAGGAGGTTCCGGGGTTGCAGCGACCCCCTGACTGGAGAAGCGCCGGCCGGGCGCATCCCCCATGGCCTCGCCGCGAGCGCTGGCCTTATGCTGCGCGCCGCCCGGCGGCCAGCTCAGCGCTCCGGCTGCGGCGGCGGGGCTGTTGCGCCTCTCCCGGTCGCTGCCGCCCTGGCCCGGGCTGGCCCTCGGCAGCGCCGCGCTGGGACTGCTGGCCGCCGCGCTGCTGGGCGCGCTCCGCAGGCGGCCGCGCCACCGCTGCAGCGGCTCTTGCCGGGTCTCTGCCGGGCGCGGCTGGGCTCCAGGCAGGGCGCTCCGAGCAGCCGCGCTCCTGGGCAGCTTCATGGGCACGGCGGGTGAGAGAAGGGCAGCAACCGGCGCGGCCCTCGCCTTCCTCCCTCCCGCTGCAGGCGGCGGCGCCCCGCCTGGAAGGGGGCCGGGAATGAGCCCGGGCGCCATCCCGGCTCTGCTGGCCCCGCATTCGGGGCTTCTGGGGTGGGCTGGGGGGGGGGGGAGGATGTACTTTGCACGCGCTCTCCGGCATGCTAGAGAAGAGCGGCGCCCCCCCCCAAGTTCTGCGGAAAACAGACCGCGACCCTCCGCCCATCTAAAATTGCTTTTCAGATGTAACTTTGAAAGAAAATTATTACATAAGGATGGAATAATTATTTTAACCATGTTTATTTAATTGTAATTACATCTAAAACTAAATGAAATTAGTTTTAGATTTCTGTCTTAGCTTTGCTCATTTTTTAAAAACATACCCTAGTACAGAGGCCAGACATGGCTTCTGCAGGGAGGGAATGAGCCCCTACTTCCCATTCCCCCCCCCCACAATTCCAGCCTGGCCAGGACCCTAACCAGCTCCCCCTCCTCTTGCAGGGATCCTGGCCTGCTCTCTGCTCTGGCTGGCTGCTCCCTTGGGGTCTGCGCCTGCCCTCTGCCGCCTGATCGTGGTAGGTGGTGCTGAGAGGAGCAGCCCAGCTGGTGCTTCAGCCTCCATTAAGGGTGCCTGACCCCCCCCCCACCTCCCCTTTGCCCAGCACCTGGAAGGCCTGTTAAGTTGCTGAAATCAACTCACTCAAAAAAAGCCACAGCAACCTGACTCCCCCCTTCTGCTCCCGAGGGCCGGCTCCAATATTGACCTCCCCCCCCCAATTTAAAGGCCAGCCCAGATTTTTATTTATTTTTTGCAAAAAGCAACGTCCTCGTGGCCTTCTGGAAATGGGCAGGGACATAACCCCAAAAGAACAGAGTGGTGCCCCTTATTTACTGCATGCCCCAAAGGAGCAGCCACTTCTCCCCCCTCCGGCCAGGTCCAGCCCTGCGTTCCTTCTCTCCTCCTCTCCCCCCCCCCCCAGCATTCTCTTCCTCCAGGTTTGGGTGCAGTTTGGGTTCTCCTCCCACTTCTGGGCTCTCTTCTGCTACTCTCTGGAAGCAGCCTTGCTGCTCCGGAACCCCACCAGTCACAGGTATGGAGAGCGCCCCCTGCTGCTGGGTCCCCGTTGGAGCTCTGCAGCTGATTTGGGGGGGGAGGAGGGAGATGTTCTGATGGGGGACTTGGGGCTGACAGTAGCCCCCCCCCCGCCTGGAAGAGCTCAGGTTTGCTGGGCCCTGAGGAGAGCTCTGCTGCCACTCAGGCTCCCTTGCACAATACTGTGGTGGTGGTGGGGGTGGGGGTGGGGTATCTGCACTTCCCCACTTGTAGGGAGCCTCCCTTTGAATCCTTGTTTGCTGCTGCCCCCCCCCCAAGCGGAAGCTGATGAAGTAACCAGCAGGGTGACTGTGTTCCTCTTCCTGACCAGGTCCTTGACACCGTACTGCCTCCTCTGCTGGGGGCTGCCAGCTGTCCAGTGCCTTCTTGGACTTTTGCTGCTGCTGATGCCACGGGACATGGACTAAGCGCCCTGCTTCCACCTTCTGGATGAGCCTTTTCAAAAATGGCATCTGGGAGGGGAAAGTGACCAGGAAGTTTCAACCCCACGTATCAAGAAATGAGACATGAGTCAAAATGGGCTGAGCAGGAAGATCCAGTGAGTAAGAGAAAAGTGGGCTGGGTCCTGCGCTTGTGAAAGCAGGGTGCAGAAGAACCTGCTCCCCAGGATCTGCCCTCTTGCCCACTTGGCTGGCTGCATGCAGCGTGCCGATACTGGAGCTGTACCTCGTCTGGCACCTCTGGACTGCCAGCCAGCGGTCAATACCTGGAGCATCTTACTTGGCTTCTGCTGCTCCTTAGAACCTTGCAGGGACCTCTGGGCGCCTCTCCTGCCACTTCCTAGGCCAAAATCCAGAGGCGTGAAAAGTGCAAGGAGCCTGAGCAAACAAAAGTTGGCCTTGGTTTGTTTAGTTTTTAATTAGCTCTGCCATTCCTCTTATCCCAGCTGCAGCTCACACCACGGATTGGCATGGATCCTGGAAACTGTGTGTTATGCTTCTAGCTGTATTCTGCTCACCTTGGTTCTTTTTGGAAGTCCTGTGCTCTTTTACAAAGCACTCCAAGCAGGTAAATCAAATTGCATTTATTTATATATTTATCCATTGATTGTTTACTAATATGTGATGTCAGCCTAGCCAATGATGTTTTATCTGACAAACCATGATAAAACCACCAGCCATATCCTCCATTATCAGACTTCTAATCAGGAAGCTCCTCCGATTAGCTAAGAGAATAAGTGCTTCTTCTAAACACCATTTTGGAATGAGAGCCCGTTGCAGGCTGGGAAAGGAACAGCCCTGCCCAAAGCAAGCCTGGAGAGGGATCTGCCTCCGGTCCTTCCAGAGTACTGAGAAGAGAGGGGCAATGCCAAGGGGGGTGTAACGCCAGACCTGAGTTCCAGCTGGCCCACCTTGGCGGCTTGCAGGGTGGAGGGCTAGGTGGGTGGCCACACACCAGGTGCTCCCTGGGTCCCGCTTGGACAGAGCATCCCTTTCTGCCAGAGGCCGCCTGGACAGCAGCAGTGGCTCTGTGAGGCACAGCGGGAGCTGAGCCTGGGTGGTTTTTCTTCCCTCAGTGCCAGCTCTCCTGCGGAGGGGCTGGGGGATGCAGACGGCCGGAGAATGGCACCAGCAGCAGGAGCTGGGCAGGAGGTTCACGAGCATCATGGTGGCCTTGGCTGCTTGGTATTATCTTTATTTCATCTGTGAAATGCCATCTTCATGCAATCTGCGCCCTGCCCAAACATGACAGACATCAGACAACCCAAATGCCAGAGTCCCAGTCGCAACACATGCACAAGGCCCTGGCTTGTCTCCAAATATTGGGGCCCTTCCGGGATGGAGTTGTTTCTCCAGGGGCCCCTCTGTTCTTTCCAAAGAGCTGGGCAATGCAGAGCCGTCCTCTCAGTGGGGCCGCTGAGGCTGCCAGGAGCTGCCCTTGTGCTCCAGAAAGGGATCCGGGGCTTCTTTCTTGACGAGCAGGTTCAAGATAAATAAACAGCCCCCCAGCAGTTCAGGGAGCCTTGGGTTTGCAGGAGCACACGAGGACCCCCACTGGTGGGACCAGGCCCCAAATTAAGTGGGATTTGATTAGAAAACGCTCTTATTTTTCAGCTGGCTGGCGAATGTCCTACATGAGCTGCTGCTGCTGCTGCTGGAATTGGAGCCTTTGGAGAGATGGGGCACGGGGCAGCTGCTGCACGGGGCAGCCCTCACCTGCTGGGCTGTTATGGTGGGTTAGGGGCATGTCCCACGTGAGCACGCATGGAGGCTGCAGGACCGCCAAAGCCCATCATTCTGCAAACACCCAGCCGTGTCCCCAACTGCTCCCTGCTGTTCCACAGACACCCCTCTCTCCTTGGAGGGCCTTTTCAACCCTGGGCTGCCTCCTCTGAACTGTGCACTGCAGTCCAGGCAGCTGAGCCCAGGAGGGTCTCTTTGGCCTTTTGCCGTCTCACCGCTCTTAGAAGGGAGGTCGGCCTTCCCAAGCCCTCCTCGTCTACTTGCAGAATTATAAGGGCTCAGCCAAGATGCTGGGAAATAGGCGGCCAAAGGCAGCGAGCCAAGCCAGATAGCAGGATGGGGAACCAGTCAGTATTTCTCCCTCTGTCGCTGAGGGTTTTTTCCTTGCTTCTCTTCCCAGATTATCTTAAACCCTCTTTCTGGAGCCCTGCTGATCCTGGCATTTTCATCCTGGAAAAGCAGATGGTGCACCAGGAAACGGGAGCCCACCTGGAGACCCTCTGTGGAAATCCCGGAGAGTGGCCCCCTCCTGGGCCCTGCCTCGGAGTCGGCCTTAGGTTGCCGGATTGAGCCGGGCCCCCTTGAGGTTTCCAGCCTCTTGGTTTCCTTTGGGAGCAGCACGTCACTGGGTGAGTCGAATGGCCTCAGGTTGTGTTCGGGGCCTTGCCGATGCCGGAGGGCTGGGCAGAGGGAGAAGGAAGGGCGTGCAAGGGACAAGTGGCAGAGGGATCCAGCCTCCCTGGGGAGCTTTCCTAGGAACAGAGCAGCTCCGCTCATCCCCTTGGCTCAGATCCCTCATGCAGCCCCTCCCTTCCCTCCTTCCAGACTTCCTCTGTGAGGAGGCGGCTGGGGACGGCCCCGTCCAGCCTCAGAGCCGCCATGAGCCAACCCCCCCACTGGTCAGCTCCTGTGCCTGCTCCAAGAATGGCACTTGGGCTGGGTCTGCCAAGGGGGGCTGCTCCCCACCAGCCTGGCCAGCTGTCCCCATCCCTGGAAGGCCTGCCTCCCCCACCTCTTCCGGGGCTCAAATCAGCTGGCCGGCCCAGGCAGGGGACGAGGGCCTTGCAGAGAGGCTGGGGCCCAGCTGTGAGCAATGTGTCAGAAGCAGAGTTCCCTCTGATGAAGAAGCTATAAAAAAAGAGGGGCTCACATTAAAGAATGGGAGCCCAGGACTTTGAAAGGCTGGTTTCCATGACATGCTGACCCGTAACCAACTTGAGCCTTGCCTGGATGAAGCCAGGGGGAGGGGGGGGGTGTCCCTCGACCAGGCTTCAGTGGGCCATGCAGACACCCAGACAGATGAACATAAGATGGGGAAGTAAAAACAAAGGTTGTTAAAAAGATTGTAAAGCAAACAAGGGACGTGTCTTTAACCTGCTGGTGGTGGTGGGAGGCTGGCCACACAGGCAGGCAATAAAGCAGTTCAAGGGCTATGCAGAAACTGGCAAAGAAATAGGTTTGGCTGTCCACAACAAATACAGATCTCTTTTCTGAGGAGGATTTTTCTGAAGAACAAACTGCAAGAGACACATTAATTTTTAACTTTGGAAAGTTTATTTGACCTGCCAGAAGAAACTCCGAACATTGGAACAATCCAGACGCAGAATCATTGATCTTCTAGTAAACGTTTGTAATGAGCTGATAAAAATCTGAGTGCTCAGGGAGCACCCAGTGCTTCGATCCATGGAATAAGAGAGTTATAATCCAATAAAATGATAGAAAACCAAATGTTTGTAAGCACACAAAAGGATCATGTTTTGTTGAAGAATGCAACTCCTGCATAATCGGGCTCATCTGCCTCTCCAAGTGCTGATAAAAAAAAATCTGTAATAACCCCAAAGACAATCGATTCTCGGTCTTCTGCCTGATCCCTTCTCTTCTCCAAGTAACCCAGTGGATTTAGCAGCCATGGGATAAGAGGCCAGGTCCATTCTAGGTTTGGTAAATGGCTCAGTGCAGAAATGAGTTTTTACAATACCGGCAAACATTGCAGTGGTGGTGTTCCCAGATAGACCCCAGACCTATTTAAGCTCAGTTGGAGTGAGTGAAGAAGTAGCTGGGGGTTATGGAAACCACCAGATTATTCCAGAGCAGATCTTTAAACTTGGTAAACAGATCTTTTCAAAGAACAATCCTGCTTGGGAAAAACGACATCTTCTGTAGGCATGCTGGCTGGGGTTGACAGGACCTCAAAGATGGAAGGTCCCAGGTGGGCTAGAGCAGTTGCCCTTTTTAAGTGGGAAAAAGTGATTTGTTGGTTGATTGTGTTTATAAACTGCCAGGTTCAACAAAGGTGACGCCAGATGGTTTACAATGTCAGTGGAAGAGCGGACAGAGAGAAACCCACCGACTTCCCCAGTGTCCGGCTCTTCCCGGAAGATGGATAATAACGTCTGTGTTCCTCTGAGGAAGAGCAAAGCGCCAGCAAGGAGGAGTCATTGCTTCTAGGAACAGTTGGGCTCTTTTACACGTTAAGGGGTTTGGGCTAAGCCTAAAGAAATTTCTGAAAAAGGCTGGAATTCCCAGGCGAGGCATGGTTTTGAGAGATGTGTCTACAGCAGTGGCTGGCTGGGGGATTCTGGGAATTGAAGTTCACACGTCTTAAGGTTGCCAACGTTTAGAAAGGCTGGTCGACAGGCTCCGTGTAACCACTGGCCCTTCTTGCGCTGGCAAAAGTGGGACACATTTGTGCAGTGAGGGGGCAAAGCAAGTTGATCGATGGCTCTGGACCTGATTTGCACAGTGGCTGGAGAGAGCAAATATGCCCTTCCAGCATGCTGGGTTGGGACAAGTTTCGTCTCTGCCTGCCCTGCTCATCGCCTCTTGCCAGCCTCCAGTGCCCGCTCTCCTGGGTGTTGCCCTTCTCGGGAATCCACTTGAGTCACAGTACTTCACCGCCCTCATGCCCACCTCCTGCCACACGGTCACAGGTAGCTCTGGGCTTTGGGTGGCTGCTAAACTTTCCCCCAGTTCTCTATAAACACAGGTGAGCTTCTTGCTGATAGTCACCCTGCCTGCTTAATCGGGGAAACGCCACTGCCCACCTTGATGCCCCAGAGGAAGGCAGGGCACGGGCTTGGTTTTTAGCCTAGGCATCTCCAAGAGTGCCACTCCTTGGAGAGATACATGGGCTGTACATGGAGCTCTTGATTCTCCTTGGCAGACTAGGGGTGGGGATGAATACCCAAACTTGCACTACCGTAAGTGGCCCTTCAGTCCCTCTCGTGCCTGGCATATCCCCCCAAATAGCCAGGGCTATTCAGAGGGGGTGTCACATCTGGGAGCCGGTAGGAAGTGTGCTTAAGAGATGCAGGCTGGCTTGGGCAAAGCAGAGCCCTGGGACTAAGACTTACAGAGCAGCCTCTGAGCAGCGGGGACTGTGGCTGGAATGCCTCTTACCCAGGCAGAGACCCCGCCAGCCCTTGCAGCAACTCCAGAAGTCAAGCCAGCAAGAATCCTGAGGTTTTGTTGCCCTGGCTTTCAAGAAACTGCTCTAGCCCTTCAGCCAGCGAAGGGAGTGCCTCGTCCTGCATGCAGGGCAGCTTTGCCTCCACCCCTCAGTGCTTTTGACGGGCTCTGGACTGCCTTACAAGGGTTAGTTGGAGCCTTGGAAAGAGTACTCAGGTGCACAAGTTAATGTTTACAAGATTGCAGAGGCTTTTGCAAGTCATGGAAACTGGCAGCTCGCACAATGTGCAGCCCTGCAAATAGCTGGTTGCAGAGAGTACTTTGATGGGCACCAGGAAAGCGTTCTTGGGGTGAGCTCACACTGCTAACATGGACATGTCTCTGTGAGGAGGAGCAGACCTCTCTGGAGGCGAGTCTGGCCCTGCTCTAGAACCTGGGACAGCGTCACAGGCGGAGGGTCAAGGCTGGGCAACCTGCTGGTGGCTGGGACCACTGCAGTGGCCGGCATTTTCCATCTTGGGGGGGGGGAGTGGCTGGGGTTCTTTTGAGGCACATTAAAGCCCATTCTGGGTTTTTCACTGCTGTTTTTGTGAACTTGTGTAAAAATAAGAAAAATGGTAGCAGTTCTGACTGGTGAGTGCTTTGGGGCTGTGAAAACAGGCTTGGAGGTTGCAGCCTCTGGCCAGTGGGCCCCAAGGCAAGCAGGAACCCCAGAAGGTGGATTCTGCTCCCAAAGAGTGTTTGGGGCCGACCTATCAGGTTGGAGGTGCCCTTGTGGGTCTTTAGTCCTATGTGAGGAAATGCCACCCAGAGGGAGGATTTCTCAACAGAAGTGGGTGGGCCTGTCCCTGGGTATAAAGCTCCCGGTCCGGTTGGCGAGAGTCTCCCAAATCAAGGTTACCCTGGACTGCTCAGCACCACCTCCTGCGGCTGCGACAGGTGAGCCTGGGACAAGAGGCGGGCGGTCAGAATCCAGGGTGGGCTTTGGAGACTTCTCTCTCAGCCATCCCAGAATTTCACCCTCACGTTGCTTTTTTGCTTCACCTTTTAGCTTTCCCCACGCAGCCTCGATTAATGGCAAAAGATTGAATTATGTTTTCTCAAACAAGTCTAGAAATTAAGCAATTCAGCAGAAAGGGAGGGAGAAGAGGGAGGGCTCTTCTGATCAAGGGGGCTTTTGAAAGTCCTGGGATTCCCCCTCCCCCCCACCTGCCAAGAGCTCTAAAGGTGACCTCTTTGCTGAGCTGCTCTGATCAACCCCGGGGGTCTCAGGGCCTGGGGGTGCCACACGCCTTTTCCCTTGTCTGTCCTCTCTCCCCTTTGCAGGTGGTGGGGAAATGCGGCCAGGCACCAAGACACACACCCTCCAGGGGCTTCTTGGACGGGAGGGCCTCCGGAAGCTCTGCCTAATGGGGGCAGTGGCTGTTCACCCCTGGCCTTGAGCGGAGGGCCGGCCCCGGCCCCCTCGGTCTCTCCCTCTAAGTCAACTGGCAGGAAGGAACTATGACGTCAGCAGCCGCTATCTTGCCTATCTCCCCACACCTACCTCTGCTGGCATCGCTTTTATTTGCCTACCTCCGGCTTCTCAAGCAACAATGGGGCTCAGGCATCACACAAAGAGAGGTTGGAAATCGCAATCCAACAAAGCAACAATTGGCCAATCAACAAACAAAGCCACTTCCAGAACACAGAGTAGCTTCTCGTAGCAGCAGCAGCTAGAGACAAGGCAAAGCCCACCTGAGTGGCTGCCCCCCCCCCCGCCTCCAGGTTCTGGCTTGGAGGGCGGGGAGGGGCTGGTGAGCGCCAGTGCTGGGAGGGCTCTGTCGACCTTTTCCCGGAAGCCCCTTGTTGAGTGGCAGTTGCCAGACCGATGGTCCCCATCACCTAAGTCACGCTGGGCCTCCTTGGCCAGCTTTTATTGTTCAGGCACCTGTGTTGGGTCACTACGCCACACAATGCCCATTTTTCTCATGCCCCGTCTGTTTGAAGCACAGCACGTGAAGCAGAAAACCATGGGCAGAAAACGCTTTTTATGTTTATCTTCAGATGTTGCCACTTTGTCTGTGGGCTCCCTCCCCCAAATCTCAGGGACTGAGAACACGGAGGAAGACCTTTGCTCCGGACGATCTCTGGCCCTCGATTTGTCTGTTTATGCTGGCTTAATGGTTACCTTTCAGCTGCCAGCAGCATTGCCACATTCTCCGCTGGGTTGGGACTGGGAAGGCTCAGCTGAGCAGCCAATCCACCCCCCCCCCGCCTGGGGCTTGTGGGCGCTGGGCACCATTGCTTTTGTGTTCCAGCATCAAGTGCAGTTGCCCTGTGGGAGACCTCCCACAGCCACTCGCTGACCCCGGGCCCTCCAGGCCGTGTGCGTGTGTCTGACAGCATGGAGGGCTGGGGGAGAATTCTGCCCCACTGGTGGGTGGGAAGGCAGCTTTTCCGTCTGGGACTCCGGGGACCGTGCTCTGGGCAGGCGCACAAAGGAAAGGTGTGTGCATGATGTGCGTAAGGAAGGATGTTCTGGAACAGGGTCAGCCTTTCGAACTGAGGGTCGCTTTGTCTTTGGCCAGTCTTGGCACTGGGTCCGGCACTGACTTTGCACCCCGGAAGGAGATGCCAAGAACCTCCGTTTTTGCAGAACATGGTACGGCTGACGTCAAGCAGCGCAACAGCCGAGGCAGCTGGCCATTGTCCAGCATCTGGACCTTTGGCCCTGGTGCAGCTGCCAATTGGGGGCCCAGGAGGGGAAAAACCCACCCACCCCCAGCAGGATCTTAGGGAACCTTCTGCTCCGTGCCCAGCGAGCCTCTACGAAACAGGCTCCTGGCAGAGCGTGGGACCAGGTGCCGAGGCCGCTTGGGCAGGCTGGAATGGCACACACAGAGACTTTGTTTGGCCAGGGTGGGCGGAAGTCCTAACAGGCGGTCTGAATTCTAAAGTGTGTTGTTTGGTGGCCGATAAAAGGCTTATTGTATGCAAAATAGTTTATAAAGCAGCATATGACTTTCTCGAGATGGGCACAGTCTGCCGGAGGCATGCGCCTGTAGAGGGAGCCTGCGGCTGCCTTGCGGAAGGACCGTTCCCCCGTGGCAAGGTAAGGGCTGGTCTGGAGGCTCATCCTCGCCCGTAAGGAATGAATGGATTGGCTGGGAGCTGCTGGAGACTTGCAGGGGGTTTTGGGAAGAGGGCAAAGGCTGGGTATTGGGAGAAACCCTTCACTTTTAGCATTCTCCATCCTAATTTAGCAGGGCTGCTAGCAATAGGACATCTGTGGTACCAGCTGCTTTTAAATCACTTGGGCTTATTATAAGCTACCCAAAACTTGCTTCTCAAACTATTGTATTTCCGTAACTGCTCATCAGCTTGCACGGTCAGTCAATGCAATGGCTGTGTTGGTGCAGCTGGCAAGGCCCTCTAATGAACATCTGGAGAAGAGAAGCACTCTCCCACCCGGCATGCAGTCCGATGGCATCATGTTGCTTCTGAGTTTGAGAGCTCATGGAATGTGCCATCAATCTCCAGGCTGCGAAGTGACCCGAGCGTTGCCTTCCACCCTTCTTGCAGAAAAGAACCTGGAATCTCCATCGGCTGTCTCTGGAGGAAGGGGCCAGGCTATGGGGAACGTCTCGCTCTCTGCCTCTCCCGGGGAGGGTTGGGGCTGCCCCGGGGTGCCAGGCTGCCCAGAACCAGTCCCCACTTCCAGCCTGGCCCAGCATAGCTACTTAGGCATGCAGGGCTGGGGTGTGCAGCCATGCCCCTCACAGCAATGGAGGAGGCAGGCAAGGGTGGCTTCAGCCCCAGGAGCCTCTGAAGAGGAGCGGAAGATTGTAGTGGGGTCCTCTCTTCTATGGAGGGGCAGTGCCACGCCAATGCCAGCCTATGGATTTGGTGGCAGCTGCCAAAGAAGCTGTTGAAAACTGCCGGTCCGTGTGTGTCAATCCTTGGGTCGTGGTAGCCAGGTCAAGAAAGAGAAGCTGCGGGGGGGGGGTGTGCCAGGAGTCTCTGTATTGCTGTAGGGCAGGAGAGCCATTTCTCTCGGCCTCACCTTATCCAGAACCAGTTGGGAATGGGGGCACAGGACAATCCTGGGAACCAATGGCAGAGAGATGTTTCTGAAAGCAGGGCCGCCAAGGGCCATGCGGAAGAGAGGTCTAGCCTTTGTCTTTATCACCACCAGGTGGTTTGTGGCAATGCATGAAATAAAACAAGGTAGGAAACAAAGCAAAATAATTAAGAAGCAACCCTTTGCTCAAAGGCCCAACATCCGCACTCGGCATTTATTTCCAGTAGTGCAAAAGAGGCTCCCTTCAGGCCACCCTCCGACTTCTCTGGCTTAAAGGGAGTGGTGATTGGAGGGGGGGCAACACAGTGGTTCTCTGCACTCCCACGTGGGAGATTAAGCCTGGGGCCCTGCTCACTCTCTGACCAGATCCGGCACTCTCCTTTCAGGTCTGAGGCGCCATGAAGTGGGAAGGCTTCTACGCCCTGATCATCGGGGTGAACCGCCACTCCACTGCCATCGGCCGCATCTGGCTCTCCGTGGTCTTCATCTTCCGCATCATGGTGCTGGTGGTGGCCGCCGAGAGCGTCTGGGGTGACGAGCAGTCTTCCTTCACCTGCAACACGCAGCAGCCCGGCTGCAAGAACGTCTGCTACGATTACTATTTCCCCATCTCTCACATCCGGCTCTGGGCACTGCAGCTGATCCTGGTGACCACGCCGGCCCTGCTGGTGGCGATGCATGTGGCCTATCAGCAGCACCAGGAAAAAAAGCTCCTGGTGATGACAGGCCACGGGGACACCAAGCACCTGGAGGAAGTCAAGAAGCACAAAATGCGCATTTCTGGCTCGCTATGGTGGACCTACATCTTCAGCGTCGTCTTCCGCATCCTCTTTGAAGGCATCTTCATGTACATCTTCTACATGATCTACCCTGGCTACCAGATGATCCGCCTGGTAAAGTGCGACGTCTATCCCTGCCCCAACATCGTGGACTGCTTTATCTCTCGGCCTACCGAGAAGACCATCTTCACCGTCTTCATGCTGGCCACTTCTGGCATTTGCATTGTCCTCAACGTGGCCGAAATGGTGCTTCTCATCGTGCGAGCCTGTGCCCGGCGCCTGAGCCGAAACCACAACCCTTCCTCGGGGAAGGGCTCCTTCCTGGGGCACAAGCTGTCTTCAGAGTACAAGCAGAACGAAATCAACCAGCTGCTGACCGAGCACGACGGCTCCCTCAAGGACATTCTCCGGCGGAACTCGGGGCTGCAGGAGAAGAGTGACCGCTGCTCGGCCTGCTAGAGGCCTCGGGCTGTTGGTGGGTCACTTGACTCCGTCTGGCCTGATGGGGAGCAGCGGACTCTTCTGGCTAGGCGAGCTGCCTTGTCATGGCTGCCTCAAGCCTTTCTGGGGGAATTGGGCTACGGCCTTTCCCCATCCCTGCTGTTACCAGGTTCCGTCTCACACTTTCCTCCCGTTGGCTTACAGCCTCCATAGTTTCTGTGGATTTTGCAGGCACCGGACCGGCCTGCGGAATGCCCTGGTTGCAGCTAGACCAAGCCCAGCAGCTGGTGCTCTGCAACGTGGCTTCTGAAGGTTGCTGCCAGGAAATCCAACTGCAGCCCAGATTGCTGGCTGCATCTTACTGTACCAAAGCAAGTCACAGTATTAAAATGGTTTTACAGGTCCTGCCTTGTTTTTCCTTTGAGGCTTTCACGTCAGCACATGGAAAGTTGCTTTATCTGAGAGATGTAGATCTTTCTCTGGTTGAATTCCTGGCCAGCCACTCTTTGTTGAAAAGTCTGCCGGGAGGTGGGAGGAATCTTCCCTTTCCGAGTCTGGCTCCAGGCAAAGAGCTCCTGCCAGGAGCCTAAGCAGAAGGTGTGTGTGTGTGAGGAGAGAGGCGACAGCCAGCAGGACCCTTGACTGGTTGGGTGGGAGCAAGCTGGCTTGCCAGCCAAAGGAGAGGCTGTGAGTTTTGCAGAGATGGGGCAAAAGGTGCACGCCAGCAGAACAGCCCAACTTCCCAAGGCCCCGCTTGCTGTGGGGCTAGTAGCTGAAGGCCAGCACCCTCCCCCTGTAGAAGGAGGTATAATGAGCCAGGCGAAGTAAAGGCAGAGGAACCCTAGAATGCCAAAGGCAGCCCAACAAAGCTCTAAGGGCACCCGGGCTTCACTGCCGGATGAGGAAGGCCAGGGGCTGCCAGCCCCACAGGGGTGACAGATGCTTGAAGCTCTCAGTCAACCAGGGCAGCTGGGCAATTTCGCTGCCTGAGCCTGGTTCCTCTGCAAGGGGCACACTTAATGCAACTTGTATGACTTGCTAGTCCATGATCTCCCTGGCAGCTTTCCTCGCCCCAAGGGCTGCCCAGCCCCTTGTTGGCCTCCACCCTGGCCTGATCCAGCCATCGGTCAGCCCGTCCTTCCTCCCTTCTTGCCCAGGCCCTTGTGTGCTATCTTGTCCCGGATTCAGGCAGGAACAGCAGCAGGAACAACAGGAATGTCCATCCTGGGCAGGAATCCCACCTGCTCCGCAGCCACGGCCAGGTGAACCTCAGAGGCACAATGGGCCTCTCCCACAAACACACACCACCACAGGAACCAGGCTGAGCCTCCACCCAGGCTCCTTTCCTGCCGGCCAAGACGCCAAAGCCAGGGCCTCAAAGCAATCTCCTTTTCTGGCAGGGCAGCTGGCAGGGCTCCTGGTACTCCACTCTGCCTGCGTCCCGGGTGCCCTTCTCTCTCGCCCCATGGCCCAGGTGCAGATGGGATGCCTCCTCTGGGCTGTGGCCCTCCAAATTCCTAGCTTGCACAGACACACAAGTCCACTGGACGGCGCCAGCCTGGGCAAAGCCAGCCTATGGTTCTGACCACAGCAGCAGCTCTGGAAACTCTCTGAGCTACTGCCCCCTGATGGCCAAAGGGTGAATGGGAGATGAGCACCCCAGATAGTTTCTCCCAGAAACAGAAATCCAGGGTGCTGGCTGCCCACTGGTCTTGACCGCCTCCTGGCTGACCTCTGGGGCCACAGCACCAAGCTTTCTCCTTCCTCGCCAGAAAGAGCCAAACCCAGAGAGAGCTTTTGTGCCTTTATTTGAAATGAACGGTTACCAGAGAGAGACGCAGGAAGGGCAGGGAGCAGGTCTTAACGTCCAGTATATCACAACGTGACAACAAGGCCCGCACCTGGCTCACTGGTGACACGGACACTGCAGGGCTGGGCCAGAACAATGTATATACAGGCTCAACAAACAGCACCACCACCACCACCACCACCACCAGCCATAGCTCACATAGACAGGAGGGGACCCGGGTGCAAGGTGGCCTCTGAGCCCCTGGAGGAGCAGCAGCAGGCTGGGACCAGATGTCAGCAGAAGGGGAGGAGGCTAGTGACCCCGCATACAAGAGAATGGGCCCTTGGGAGCCACCATCTCCCTCCCTCCCTCCCTCCTCCCCTCCCCATGGCCAGAACAGGCAGAGGTCGGGGCCCTCGATCCAACCTCCAAGTCAAGAAGCAGCCTGCAACCCCTTCCCTGCCAGTCCGGAGAGAAGCCAGCCAAGGAGGGAGCCACAAGGAGCGTGGGGAGGACGGAAGCACCAGGGGCCCATTCGCCAGGATGGAAGAGGCAGCGGCCGAGTCCTCTGTGCCCGTCCACCCAGAAAGGGAAGGGCTGACGGTCAAGCTGTCCCCGGTCCCTGCAGCTGGGGGGGGGGAGCAGCACCGGAGCCCACCTTCTCTTGCAGCGAGGGCAGCCTGGGTCAGTCCATGTCATCATCCAGGCCTCCAGCCCCGCGGCTGGGCTCCTCGTAGATCTCACGGACGGCCAAGATGCGATTCAGCATGCTCTCCAGCATGCTCTTGTCCATGGGGATGACCGAGTACCACAGGGGGGACTCCGCGATGCAGGAGCGCTCCGGCTGCAGGTAGAAGACGTCGTTGCGGCTGCGGAGGCTCTCGGGGCTGCAAGCCAAAGGAGGAGAGGCTGGGCTCAGAAGAGGGGCCTGGGCCTGGGTGGGCCGCTTGAGGGAGTCACACCCCTCAGGGTCCTCCTGCCCCACTGTGGAAAAGCCACAACTGGCACCCTCCGCTTCCCCCCCCCCACCAGCCCAGACCCTCACCATTTGGAGAGATAGAACTCGTAGAACTTGACCGGGCAGCGCAAGGGGTTCAAGCGGTTCTCCCGCTGCTCCGAGACCGGCGTCTCCTCCTCTCTCCTCCGCTTGCCAAGGCTGCTCTCTGTGTGGAGGGGCGGCAGAGACATGGGGTTGAGCGGGGGTGGGGCCGGGGCCGGGGCTGGGGGAAGCAGAAGGCGGTGTCCCTACCTCGGCCCTTCCGGTGCCGCACGGGCGTGTAATAGCGGATGCTAATGACTTTGGCTGCGCCCCGTGGCGTGGTGCACTTGCGTGACTGCCGCACCACGTTGGTGAAGGAGAGCTGCATGTGCTCCTCGGCCGTTTGCAGCCCGAAGAACTTGGTGTTGAAGAACATCAGGGTGTTGAGCAGCACAAACGGGGAGTAGACACCCAGCTGCTTGCACTCCCAGAGGTGCTCCTCTTCCACACGGGAGAAGACCGTGTCTGCAAAGGCACAGGACACAGCGAGCAGTGAGGGGGGGGAGGAGGCCTGGGCTCAAAACCGGAATGACAGGGGGGGGGGCTGGGCTCCACAGAGCCTTGAGCAGCCTGATGCCCCTAGCGGAGCAGAAGCAGAGGTCACAGGAAGAGGCAGCTGGCGTGCCTGCCTGTGCTACAAATGCTGGGAATCCCACCCCCATCATCCTAAGCCTTTGGAGCCTCCCAACCGTTTGTGCAGGTTCCCGCTCTGATCCGAGCCAGAGCGGCAGCATTTCGGTCCCAGCACAGCACTGGGAAACTTTGTGGGACGTCAGAAGAAGCCTTCCCAAAGCTCTTTGCCTTTCAAATTTGAAATGGTTTACACAGAATAACACTCAATGCTCTCCAGCGTCTCAAACCGAAGATCTTCACCCCCCCTCAAGGCTGCCTTATCTGAGGATGCAGCTGAAAAACTCATCAATCCAGGCCTGTGGGGAGACCTGGCCAACCCCAGCCTAGAGGGCCGGTCCCTTCAGCAGCCTTGGCCTCTCCGAGAGCCCCCCCCCCGTCCCAGCAGACGCTCACTGTTGGGCAGGACCGTGGGCTGCCAGCCACTCAGCATCTTGTTGAGCTCTTGCACAAAAGTCAGGTAATAGAGGTCGGTGAAGATGTTGACCATGCGGTTGTTCTCCAACAGGTACTGGAAAGGCGAAGGGCCACAAGGTCAAGGAAGCCACCCCCAACATGCCTCTCGCGGGGTCCTCCTTCCAAGGACAGAGGATCTCCGGGGCCAGCAGAAACCTCCCCTCCGAGGTTCCCCCCCCCAATGCTGCTCTGAGGGCTGCTAAGCCTCTCATGGCCGTGGTGAGGCAGCGGCTTCTTTTTCACCCCACAGAAAAAAACGGCCCCCCAGGGAAGAGGCCAGTCTACAGAGAGGAACCCAGCCAACAAGAAAGCCTTGTCCGTGGAGAGGGAAGGGCCAGGCTGAGACGGGAGCCCTCACCTGCTGGATGCCCAGGCACAGGTAGTAGATGCTGTCCGGCTCGTAGCGCTCCCCGTTGGGCCGGGTGATCTCCTTGACAAACTGGGCCAGGCCGTAGTTCAGCTCGGCTGCCGTGCAGGCCAGGATGTCCTCCTTGATCCGAATGGGCTTGGCTGCGGGTGGCAACAGGCCAGGCTCACCTGGGAGCAGACGGGGACACCCAAGGGGGGGCTCAGCCCCCCATGCCCCCCAGCTCCCCTATCCACATGTCCCAGACTTACGTCCAAAGCGCAACTCGTCGCCCTTGCTGGTTTCAGCACCCACGTACTTGGCCTGCACCCAGCTCCTCCAGGCGTTCACCCCGTAGGAGGAGTTGAGGGCTGAGCCGCTGGGCTGGCTGCTCACCGAGTCCCTGGAGCAGCTCTCCGACAGCACCAGGCGCTTCTGGCCCTGCGGGAGGGGGCGGGGAGGAGGGAAGGGGGCTTCTGGTGAAATCAGCACCACGATGGCATCTACTGCCCAGGCCTGCCCAGAGCCCGTGCCGTGCCAGGCAGCTGGGGAGAAGCCCAAGTCCTCCTCCTGCAAGCTGTGTCCAAAGAGCCTCCTGCTCTGCTCTAAGTCAGAACACCTTTTCTCCAGGTATTGCTCAGACTGACAAAACACTACAGGCTGTTTTTCCTCCATGCAACAGACCCACTGCAGAAGATTCTCCCTGGGGAGACATGACAGAGGGAGCCCCGGTTTGCTTTCCAGCATTTTCATGTTTGTCTTTTTAGCTCAGGTGAATTTTTCTTAATATTGTATTTTGATAGGACCTCATGGAGCTTGTGATTACATTAGCAAACTACTTTTCATATCAGAAAGCCAAAAAATCCTTTCGCTAAAAGAATGGTGACCTCAGCTAACAGCATTTTATCCTCAGCTCCTTTATAAAACCGGCATAGAACGTGCTCCTTCTGGGCCCAGCCGGCCCCTTCCGCAACCAAGAGCCCCCAACCCGAGATTAACGCAAGGGTGAGGCTTAGAGAGCCCGTCCAGCTCTTGCCCCTTTGAGGGACCATCCCAGCTGGGGCCCACCTTGCGAATCGAGCGAGGCAAGTCGGGATCTGCAGCAACGTCCTCGGGGGTGACCAGGCCGCAGTCAAAGAGAAAGTCTACGCTGGGATGGATGTCCAGGGGGTCTGTGGAGGGACACAGGAGACGCCGTCCTGCCTGCACGCCAGCCCCCCACCCCAGGGAAATGCCACCTGCTCAAAGTTCTCACGCAGGGAGGTGGGGAGCCTAGCCGGGGGTCTCCCCCCAAGGAAGGGGATGAGACATCAGCAGCCCTTCCCTTCTTGCCCACTCCTGCCTGCCCCACCCTCCCTGGGGCTGCCCTCACTTTTAGGGAAGTCGGCCTCCAGGTCCTGTCCCGGCTCGTCCAGCACGTTTGCCATCTTGACTGCCATGGCCAGCACATCATCCCTGGCCGGCCCAAAGAGGTCACAGTCCTCCAGGAGCCCTTCGGCACTCTGGTTGCTCACCAGATCTGTGGAGACAGGGGAGAGGGCGGCGGCGGGGGGGGGGGGGATTTCAGGCCTGTGCTCCATCTTGGGACCCCTGCAAACATCTGAGTCATCCAGGTTCTTAAGACCACCGGATACTTGATGGAGGCAGGGAGGGAGGAGACAAGACCTTTCTTTCCCAGGTGTCCCTCAGCCTTCTTCCTCCGAGGTTCTTAAGAAGAGCCAGAATGTGTAGATAAAGTGGCAGGAGGGTCCAGGAAAAAGGCTCCATTCCACCTCTGCCTGCCTTCATCCACCACTTGCTGGCTGGACAGGAAGCAGGTCGGCAGCCACAAGGCCTCCCTGGGCCCCAGAAAGCCCCTTTCCTCCTCTCAGCCTCTCGCCCCGCTGCAAATGCTGGGGTGCAGCTGATCCGTCCCACACCCGGCTCGCCTTCTTGAGCCCAGGAGGGGTTCTGTTCCTGGCAGAGCAGACCAATTTTGCCCGGGATGCCCCTCCTAACGGCCTCTCGAGGCCCCCTGAGGAACCCACCGCACAGGTCTGATGAGGCTTTGTCTAACTCCTCGGCCTCCGCAATCATCTCCGCCATGGCCAGGATGTCGGCTTCCAGGGGATTGGAAGGGATCTTCACCTTCAGCTCCTCGATGGTCTCCACAATCTTCTCTGTGCTCTCCAAGGTGGTGGGCAGAAACATTGGCACAGGGACCTGGAAGAGGCGACAGGTCAGGATCCGGCCGCGCAGGGCGGAAGGCAGAGGCTCCAGAGAGAGAGTGTGTGTCATACTCACTGGGACCGGCATGGAGAAAGGCACAGGGACTTTCTGGCAATACATGTTCATGGGCACGGGCACAAAGACTGGCACCGGGATGGGCAGCACAATCAGCTGAGGCTTCCAGTCGTCTGTCAGGAAGGAAGGAAGCAACTAGCAGCTCTTCACCCACCTGCCCAACCCCACCTCCCATCCCGGGACGAGGTGATGCCTCCCTCTTTCCTTCCTCTCAAAGCTGCAAGGGAGAGGGTGAGCTCAACCCCCCTCCCCAATCAGGGATCAAGGTGGTTCCAGGAAGGGGGAAACCCACCGGCAGCTCCCTCCCAACCATCCCCTCACCTGTCTGGCAGCCCTTGGACTTCATCTCCGTCTTGCAGGAAACCCCTCGGTTCTGCATGAGGGGCTTGCACATGGCTGCCTTGTTCTTCCGGGGGGTGACCGGCTGAGGGGGTGCGGGGGGAGCTGATGCTGGCGAGGGGGGGGCAGCCTTGGCAGTCTCCTATAGAGATCCAGACAGGACAGGGCTCAGCAGCCAGCATGGAAATCCTTCTTCTGCTATTTTCCCCTGCCCTCCAGGCCTCGGCATGGCACAGAAGCCGGCCCCTTCCCCCAGGCTGCGCAGGGCCTCCTGAGCCAAGCCTGAGCCTCAGAAGCACCCCCCCACACACACACACACTCCTAACCCCGAGCAGTGAGCCTGAGAGACTCACCGCATTGGGCTCTGCTTTTTGGGCAGTGGCAGAGGGCTGCTTGGGCTCCGGGGCCTGACCTGTGCGGAGAAAGAGTTTCCGGGCTGAGGGCTGCCGCTTTCTCCACACCTGCCCTGCCCAGAACGTCAGAGACAGCTGCATGAGCGCAAGGTTGACCGAGGCGCTCATTTATCCAAGTGGGCAGCAGGAAGAGAAGCCACCAATGTCCTCATCGAGAAACACGCTGGTGCCCGGGAGACACAGGTCTAAATCTTGGTGGGTATATGAAACCGCAAGCAGGGGAGGGTTCCCCTAACTAAAGGAAAACGCTGTGATGCAGCCGTTGGATGGACTCCAGAGCTATCCACGGATCATTGAAGCAGGAAAAGATACAGCTTCTGCCAGCCCATTGGAGGGCCGGCAGCCGCCCGAACCAAGGCCCAAGAAGAGTTTATGTCTCTGCCCCATGAGTCTCCTTCCCTGGCGTAGCATGATAGCGTTTCTACTAACCTGTCACAAAGCAACCCACCAAAGCTCACATTCACTGAGGAACGTTCCTTTAGGCATTCAAAAACTAATTCTTAGCCTTAGGACAAATAAACATAACTATGCAGAGGCATATACTTTGTGTAATTCCTACACCTGCCATCGCTCACTTTCTTCTGGCAGAGGAACACAGCAGCCCTTCCTAACTTGGGCAGCCTCCAGATGTGCAGACTTCAACTCCATTGCTGGTTCTGAGAATTGTGGATGATAAAAATCCACACACCTGGGGGCAGGGGAGGGGGGAGACACACAGCCCTGGGGGAAAGTTGGTGAGAGAAGCCAGAACACTAAGCTTTGAGTATATGAAAGGAGCTACCCTTCTTAAAGGCTGTGACTAGCTATCAATCAAACTCCTTAATAATAATGTATTATTATGGCTAGAAACCCCCAACCCTTGCAAGGTGCCTTCCTCCTAGAAGAGATGGAAAGTCGTCTTTCAGCTCCCCCCCCCGAACCCCAGGATTGCAAGGGGAGATGAGCTCCAAAGTGCAGGGATCGCGGTCAAAGCTACTTTCCCCAGTCCCATCGGATGACGAGCGGAGGGAACCAGGACAAATGGTCCATTTCATAGACAAGCAGAGAAAGGAACTTATTGTCCACTTAATTTTTCCAGCTGAAATAACATTTGCCCAACACTGGAAAGTGTTACATACGTTAGCTGCTGAGATGTGGATAAACAAGAGCTTTTCAACTGCTACTTTAGAAAATATTACAAATAAAGTTAAAATTAAAAAGCATTGGAGGCAAGAACCACAGTTCATCAAATTTGGATGGATTTTCTATTTTATCTCAGTTATAACAGACTTCTATCAATAGCATTTTAGACACGTGGTAAACATATGAGTATGTTATGCCACTATCTACTTTCAACCATTTTTAACTCCGTATACCTTTTCTCCATCTCTCTCCCTCCCCCCCCTCTCTCTCATGTATTAATACCACTCAGTTATTATGTGTGTTAACTACAGTTCAATAAATAGAAGTTAAAAAACAATTAGGTGAACGATGAAGGAAGGGAGAAAGGGCCTTGGAGATCACAGGAGACACCCAGTGCCTTAAAGGTGACAACCAGCACCTTTTCCCAGCACCTACCAGGAAGCCAAATGGCAAACATGGGGTCACCCAGATACCCCATCCCTGCCCATTGCTGTAGACAATAAGAGAGATGACCTGGGTGGAGATAGGCAAGCTCGGCTGCCAAGGCGAGGAGGGGTAAAATATATTTTAGGTCCGCAGCAGACAGATAAATTCGGAAGAGGCTCAGACACCTCTCTACTTCATTGGTCTGTGAGGAGGAGGAGAAGGAGGAGGAGGAGGAAGAACGTAAGCAGACCTGCAAGAATCCGTTACATAGCCAATCTCAATAAAAGTACTGTAGTTTTCCTGTGGTCTCCCCAGACGCTTCGAAATGCTTTTTAAGAGCAAGCCAAACCAAACCAGTGTGATCAAATAAACGCCACGCAGAACCTAGGAATGGGCACAGCGGGCACACAAAACGCACCACGGAAGAGCCCGCCTGGCCACCTGCCTCTTCAGCAGGAGCGGTGAGTCCTGGAGCCCCAAAGGGTGGACCAGTTCTGAGCAAGGGAGGACAAGAGACACGCTGCCCACCCGCCTTCACCCGGGATCCTCTGGTCCACTTTGGAGGAACTCAACTGGGTCTGTTTCTCCCTAGGGATACTTTGCCACACAGCCTATTTGATGTGGGGGATGCCTTTGGCCGCACCCCTCCCGGCAGGTCAGAACCAGAGAGGTGAGCGAGAAAGGGGAGGGCCCCTGGGGGAGTGCCAGCTCACAACCCACCCGCCACGGGGCCAGTGCAGGATCCTTCCTTAGCCCCATTTCCACTCATGCGCCTTCCGAGTCTTGGCTGGCTGAAGCGCCGGCTACTCACTGTTCAGCAGACTCTCGGGCCCTGTCTGGGTGTCCAGGTTGGGCTGGTTCTGTTGGTTGTAAAACCTCAACAGACACTGCTGGTTGCAGAAATGTTTGGTTTGGCCTCGCCAGTGAATTGTCTCCAGCAGCTTCCCCTGCCGCTTGCAAGCGTGGCACCGAGCTGCCTGCCATGCACCAGAGAGGGAGAGGGGGAGTTAGGCAAAGCCACCAGGCGCAAGGTCTGATCCTCACTGCACCTCCCCACATCTGGCAGAGCTTTCGGCTTTCCTATTATAAAGCGAACTTTACTGACATGTTTAGATCCTGAACTGGGCTGAGATACTAACTTGATCCAGATCACCTGGGGGGCTTCCAGGGCTAGGCTGTCTCGCTCCTGTCCGAGGCCACCAGCCACACCAATGCAATGTGTGGATAGGCAGCAGTCCAACAAATGGCAGTGTGTGTGTGTGTGTGTGTGCGCGCGCGTGCGTGTCACATCTACCAGCGCTGGCTTAGGTGGCACAGAGGGTCCACATAAAGGGGAGATTCAAAGGACCGAACGAGTGCCTTAAGCACCTGTGAAACCCCCCCCCCATGGAAGAAGAAGGCCTAATTCTCTGGCCCATCCGCCTGGGGGAGAGCAGGGATGCGGCTATTGCTCTGTGAAAGGGAATCGGAGACCAGCTGCCGACTGTCATCTCCCAAAGCGGGGAGAGGATGGACTTGATGCTTTGAAGCTGGCAGAACAATTCTATGGCTCACTGGCAAGTGGGGGCTTTGGGCCTGGAGAGTGACAGCAGCCTCCCTTCCCTCTGGAACCCCCAAGGCCAGATCCGCCCCCCCCTCCGAGCTTTCCTTCAGGAAAGTTCGGGAGAGTTCCAGACAGGAAGCTCAGCCTATTCATAGCCACAGTCCTTACTGCACCTTTTACTTATAAGAATGCTTTATGGATTTACCCACTTAAGTCTTCTCAGGGACATTTTAGCCTTTACTGCAAGAAGAGGCAACTACATTTGCCTGACCAAGAGCCTCCTCCCAGGGGCGATGGACTGGCAGGCCCCCACCCCAAAGAGGGAGCGGGCAGAAGGGCTGCACTAACCTTGTAGTACCAGAGCAGGTATTTGCTTTTGCAGTCATCGCTGCAGAAGTCCCAGGTGCTGCCCTCCAGCTGCTCAGTGACAGCTCGCTGGCAGGTCTGGGAGCAATAGGTGCAGGTGACGCAGCAAAGGCCCAGGTTCTTGGTGAAATCCTGTTTGTAAAGAAGCACACACCCTGCGGAGAAACAACATGGATGAAAACCTCCCGGGGGGCGGCCGAGCGGCAACAGGAGCCCATAGCAGGCAGCCACAGAGAGACCAAGCACGACACAGACACACACGCACACCTGACACAGCCCTTCCTGCACTGGCCCCGGACAACCTAGGGGGTCCCCGTCGCTCACCTCTCCGATCCTAAGGCCGACGTGGCCTCTGGCCCCTGCCCACCGCATGCAACGACCGGCCCCGAGGAGACGGCGGCCGGGGGGACTCCTGCCCTCGGCAACGATCGAGCTCCCCGCCCGGGTACCTTCGCTGCAAAAATTCTTCTCCACTCCTGAGAAGCGGATCTTCTCGTGCAGCAGCTTCTCCTGCTTGCAGTGCTCGCACTGGGACACCACCCCCCGCAGCCGTTTGAAGTCTTCGCAGCAGTCACGGCAGCAGAACTGGTAGACCTGGTCCTGGCAAAGAGAGTGGGCACCACGCGGGTGTCAGGCGGGCACAGGCCCCCGTGGGGCAACTGCAGGTCTCTGAGCCACAGAAGGCCCAATGAATGGAGAGCCCCCCAAATCACCTCTCCCCCTGGGGCAACGTCTCTCGCCTCCTCCCTCCTGCGGCCCCCTCACCTGCCAATCCAGGATCTCGGGCTTCCCAGTGAAGAGGTTGTGGCAGGAATGGCAGGTCAAGTGGATCCCACCTTCCGGGCTGGAGCGCTGCATTTTGAGGAAGGGGACAGATTCAGAAGGGGCACAAGGACCCTGCCCACCGTGGCGGTCCTGCTGTTCCTTGCTATGCCCCAGGACTGCCGATCCCAGCGCCTCCCGGCCTCTCGCCTGCACCCTGCCCTTCTTACCGCTCAGTTTGTCCCCACTCCCCCCGACCCGCATCCCCCCTCAGCCCTCCCCTTCCCCTCCCAATCCCGTGGCACCAAGAAGGGGCCCCACCAGCAGGCCCCCCTGTGCTGCTGCTGCTGCTGCTCCCGGGAGGGACAGGCTTTGGCCAGGGAGAATGGCAGCCCAAGACCAACTTTCTGCGAGTGGAATAAATTATGCAAATCACACAGGAGGTTAATTTCACTGATTTATTGGATAGCAGACACAAACTCTCTTCGTCATCGGCAGAAGCAAAAACAGTTTTATTTGAGACAAAGACCCCCACGAGAGATTCAACATCATAGATATAGAAAGATCAGTAACCTACGAATGAAATGTGCAGCCTTGCCCCCCCCCACTGCCGCTCCCCCGCCCCGGTCATTGGCTAGGCTTCTGTGATGTCAGCGGGATCCTGAATGTCTCCACTTTGAGAAGAAGATTCACTCATGCAAGGCTGCAACGGAGAACAACAGCTGGGACGACGAGGGGAAAAATGAACTCAGAAAAGGGGAGAGGGGAAGCGTGTGGAAGGCGATGGCAGAGTGTGGAGAGGGGTGCGCGCCAAGAACCCAGAAAGCAAGATGGGGAACCTCACGCACACAGCCTGGGAGGGGGGGCGGGCCCAGAGGCCCAGGCGGAGGCTCTTTTCCAAGCAGCACCAGAATTTGAGAAGGCAAATCAACACACAGGTAGATTATTCACAATTATCCACTCTGGCGATTCAGACGGAAAGAGGGCTGATGTAAGAAAGGGGGGGAAGCGCAAAGAGCGAGGGGCCTCTGCATAGCCTCAGCAGTCCCTAGCCCTTCTGAGTCTTACAGCTATTAGCAGACATCGCCTTCCCTACTCAAAGCTGTCCTCAGCAAACAATGAGAGCTAGAAGCCTTTTTCTTTTCTTTTTAAAGAAATACAACAGCAGAGAGACTTCAGAAGTCTGACAGACGCCCCAGACGGCAGCCGTGCAGAGCACCGAGGCTCCTGGGTCTGGTCCCATCACTGTGACGGCGGCAGAGCCTCCGTATGTACCTGGAATTTGGTCCAGCAACTGGGACTGCAGAACTGGTACACCACCTGCTTGTTCTTGTTGTAATAGCAGGGCTCAGATAGGCTCTTCCGGCAAAAACTGCAAGGCCGAAGGGGTCCTAGGGAGAGGGAAGTATGTGGCAGGGTCAGGCTGGACTCCAGAAGACCCCCCCGAGTCCGGGGAGGCTTGAGCCTAGACCGGGGAGGAGGAGTCTGCGCTGCAGGGCTGGTCCTCTCTTCCCCCATGTCCCCCAGCACGTACCCATCCTGGGGGCACGAAATGCATCACCTGGGGCAAAAGAGGGCCCTCCGGGTACCTGTCAGTCCGGCCTGCTTGACCTTGTATGAAGTGGTGCAGCAGACAGAGCAGAAGAGACCCAGCTTGCCGTTCCGGTCTTTGTGGGACAGCATGTCGAAGTTCTTGCAGAGCGTCTTGCACCACATGCACGGGTAGACCCGGGTGTGCTTCTGCAGAGACCCAAGGCAGAGGGGCTGCTGGGCAACTTGCTGGCAGGCCAAGGATCTTTCCTCCCCCTCCCCTTTAATCAACATCAACCCCCTGAGGAACTTCCCTGCAAGGCCACCACCTCGCAGCCGGGGGGGGGGGGGAGGCAGGACTAAGTGGCCACAGGGCACTGGAGGATGCGCGCAACCCTCAGGGCCCTCCCTAGAGAGCTTGGCCAGGGGCCCTGCCCCCACTTCCGCTGTCCTTACCTTCTTGTAGCTGTTGAGGCAGGTGGGGTTGCAGAAGCGCTTCTGCTGCCCCTCGTGGAAGAGGTACTCCAAGGGAACCCCCTTGTTGTACAGGTAAAGGCCGCAGCTGTCGCAGCAGTTGGTCTTCAGCCCTTTGGTGGCCCGGAACTTAGTAAAGCAGGCGTCACTGCAGATGCGGTGAACGACGCTGCCATTGCTCACTTCATGCTGGATCTGAAGGGGAAGCGGCACTGTCGCAGGCTCGCCAGGTGCCCCCCCCTCCAGCACCAGGGTGGGGAGTACAGCTAACGGGGGGTGGGGGAACTACTGCAGCAGCCTTCCCCGGCAAGCTGGCCTCAGAAAGAGGCCTTTGCTCACCTCTCCGGTCTTGTAGCACACGCTGCACCGGACGGAGTCCGAGGTTTCAGCCGCCTGCGGGGTCGGCCGCTGCTGCTGTGCTTCGTACAGCGAGAGGCAAACCGACGTGCAGAACTCGTAGAAGGAGCTGCCCGAGCCGATCTGGGCCACCACCGAGTCCTTGGTGTTCCAAATCTCCCTGAAGGGAGGAGGAAGGCTGTCGTCAGGCCAGGGCCGGGAAGGTTGCTCCCCGCCCCCCGTAGGGGACAGAGCAGGCCAGGAGGCTCCCCCCCACTATCCGGGGGCGGGGGGAGGAGGCACGGCAGCCCCAGCCAAGGGCAGAAGTGGGGGAACACCTACTTTTTGCAGAAAGTGCAACTCTTCCGGCTGAGGGGGCGCTTGGAGAAGGTGGTGAGGCAGGTGCTGGAGCAGAAGAGCTGGGGGAGGCCCTTGCGCTGGTAGGCCGTCTGGCCTTTCTGCAGCGGTGTGCGGCAATTGGCGCAGGTCATTTTGGTGACGGTGGAGCGGGCTGCCCGCTGGGCCATCTGACTGCGCAGAGACAGGCGGGTGGGGCGACGGGTGCGGAAGGGGACGAAGTCCTCATCGTTAGGGTCGTCCACCATGGCATCCGAGTCCTCATCGGAGACGGGGACTGTGAGTCGGGAGAGAGGAAGCAGGCGCTCAGTGCTCTCAGCCGGCTGGAAGGGCAGCGTCTCCCCTCCCTTCTGAAACTGAAGCTCTAGGGAGACCCCCAGCGCCCCAAAGAGGCCCCCAGAACGGATCGGTCTGATTCCCCCCTCTTAATGTGTCCTCAGGCAGAGGCAGGATAGAAATGGAAATAAAGGTAACCTAGTGACATCCTTTGGTCTGGTGTACCTCTAGTTGGATATAAGGAAATCTGAGAAAAATGAGGTTTTATTTCTTTGTAGTAATTCACTTAAATGCTTTTCTATTGGCTTCAGGCTGAAGAAAGTGTCCATTCTCACCTTCAGAGTTAGTCCTTTGTTGACGAGACGGAAAGACCGATCGAGGTCTAATTTGTTGTTCAAAAAATTGAACTGCATTTACCTATTGATCCAACGATATGGTTTAATTGGGCTAAATTGATTTAACTGGTTTGTTTGTTGGGGTGTTGTTGTTTTTTTATCTAGCTATGATTTGTCTTTCTGGTGTTTCCCTGTATATCACAGCAATGGAAATGCTAAACAATATCTCAGCAACTTCCAAGGAGATTCCAAGTGTTTATTGAATTGGTGGGGAACAGAGAAGACCTGAACCGCATCTCTGCCCCCCAGCCCCTCTCTGGCAGTTGCCTTCCCTGTCTCAAAGGGGTGCAGTTCTGAAAGAAAACCTGCCTGCCCCTCACAGAATCTGCCTCTAGCCTGCAAGGCTCCTGCTGGGTCAGCCTTTCTCTCTCACATGAAGCTATTCTGAGCCAAGCAGCCAGTCTCAGCTGGAAGACGGCCTCCTTTTTCACACTTGGTCTGTTCCCCAGTGACCTGCTGTCCCATTTGAGAGCCCCCCCCGTTAGGATGGACTTACTGCTCTCCGAAGAGTTGACTGTTTCTGGCCGAGACACCTCTGCCCTCCTGGCTCGCTCGCTCCTCTTCTGTTCCTGGAAGGCAGCAGGGAATGGTCACTGCAGCCACGGGGGCCAAGCCCAGCCTCCCCATGGAAGGCGACCCACCAGCCCAAGTTGGCCCGTTCACAGGCTCTGAGCTGGGAAGGGGACACGCAGGCCTGGGGACTTCCAATCCCTGCCCCCAAACACAGCCAAGGCCTGAAGGGAGAGACCCAGGCAGGAAGACCAACGCCCAGCTGGACTCCACCAGCCCTGTCTTACCCTTCCAGCAGGCGCCTCGGCTCCCTTCCCACCAGCACCTTCCCCTGCAAGAGAAGCACAATGGCCACCTGTGATCCTCAAGGAAGACCCACTACAGGACACGCCACAGCCATGGCAAAAAAAAAAAAAAAAAAACCCTGGGGAGGGTGATGTGGGCCAAAGGACGGGGTTTTAGAAGGGGCCCAGTATTCAGAGAAGAAGCTAGGAGGATCTCTGGATCTGGTCAGCAGGGCATGCAGGAAGAGAAGATCCTGCAAGACCAGATCCTGTAGATCTACCTGGCCAGTTGTGGCCCGCCACAAGGCAGCAGAGCAGAGGCCGCCGTAACCCTGGGAGAAGGCTGACCCACCTGCAAGGGAGGGCGGCCCCCCCGTTTCTCGTCCTTTCTCGGCTTCTCTGGGGCCGCTTTCTTTCTTGGCTGCACTCAGACTTCCCTCTGCTCCTTCCAGAGGAGGCAGCGGGGGCGGCACAGACTCAGGAACGCTGTTCGGAGTGGGATCCTTCTCCTCCTCTGCGGGTGTCAAAGCGTTCTCCTTTTGCTCCAGATAGATCTTCCTGGGGGATTTCAGCCGGGGCTTCTTCGCCAGCTGTGGGCTCGGTAGGGGGCTGCCAGGTGAGGCGGTGGCTTCTTGGGAAGGTGGCACGCTGCTCACCTCAACCACTTCAGGGTCCTCCTCGGCAGAGCTGCGTGGAGCGCAGCCTGCGTGCTTGCCGTGGCTCTCCTCCTCCATGCCTGCTTTGGACCCCCCTTCTTTCAAAGCTTCGGGAGCCAGGTGTTCAGTTCCCGGCACAGGGGGGGCTTCGGTCCCATTCTCTGGGTCCCCAGTTCCACGTGCCCTGAACAAGCCATCAGGATCCACCGACTTCTCTAGGACCTCCCGGTCCCCTCCTTTGCTCAAGCCATCCAGGAGGCCAGGCGTCTCCAGAATATCAAGAGTGCTGGGCTTACTGAGGGCCAAACTATTTGACTTGCTTAGGGTGGACAGGTCACCGGCTTTCCCCATGCCAAAGTCCAAGCTACCATCGGAAGTTGCTTGCTTAGACACCTCCCACTCCATCTCTTGGGACTGGACAATCGCTGCTTGTGGGATGGAGGCTGTTTGGGAGGCCAGAAGATCCTCTCCAAACTCCGAGCCCGCAGGGAGATCCCCAATTAGTGGTTTATTGCGCAGAGACAGGGGCCCCAAAGAGGCAGGAAATTCACTGGAATCCATTCAGAGATGTCTAACAACTGAGAATCAGGAAAGGAAAGAGGTCAGTCCTTCTTCACTGGCCTGCAAATCAGCAGTGGGCACAACAAAAAGATTCAACCCAGCACTCTATTTCACGGGGACCTCCCCACCTTCCTTAATTGATACTGAACCCCAGCTGATCTGAAACAACCTAATGTTCCAAAGCAACTGATCCATGACAAAAACAGCCACAGGCTGACTCATGCAGAACATTAACTTTGGAAAAAGCAAGGCTGGGACCAACATGGAGTATCACTTGGAAAAACATTAAAAATACTTTTGTGTCGATACAATACACTTAATTGAAGTATTGTATTAATCTTTTTTCTCAGGCTTACAATGCACTGGACTGCAAACCCACCAGAAGAACTAAAACCAATGTTAAGGCCAACCAAGTTTAATGTGTTTCACAAATGCAGTTGTTAGATCGTGGTTTATGAAGCTGTAAGAATAAGCAATAGAATTAAGCCCATGTTCTATCAGCGGCCCAGCATTAAGCATACCTTTCAAAATAATAGTGTTCATACAATGAACAGGCAGCATTACTCAGTTACTGAACGCCATCCTAGTGCAAAACCAACCCAGGATCTGCCTGATGACCTACTTCCCCAACCAACACAGAAAAGAGCACCCATGCTACATTAATGCTCTAGACCAGCTTGGCTGGCTCAGGAATTCTGGGAATTGAAGTCCACGAGTCATAAAAGAGCCAAGGCTGCCTACCTCTGCACTAGACCAAGTGGAGAATTTCCATCATGATCATCTATGACAAATTTCACACAAAAGGCAAAGGGGTCTGATGACTTTGTATGTGAATGGGCCACAGACCATCAACATAGCTACTTTTCAGTCAGAAAAATCTTCACGGGCCCACAGCTATCCAACTGAGCCTCTGCCCTCCTTCACTTTTAAATTGAGACCTGAGGTTAGGTGGCTTGGAACAGTCACTTTTTCACAGCTAAATGTAAAAAGCTGCAACTATTTGCAGCTACACACTGCTGTAAGCTGAACTAATGCTTATCTCAAACCATCCAACTTTGGGGTTAGTAGCACTCACAAAAGGCCAAACGTTTTTGGAGATTACCACAGGAGTGTTTGGTAAGCAATACAGTCACACAAAGGGAGATCTTGCTGGCTGGTCTCTGGCGGATGGCGCTGGCCATAAGCAGCTATGGGGCAGCTTGGAGGCCGTTCAGAGGACTAGTGTCTGTCTGGCCACAATTCCTTGATCTGCACCATGAGACCCAGAGGAAACCTGCCTATAGGGCCAGCCTGGGCAGAGTTAGAGGTGTGTGGCTTTCATGGCTGAATGTGCAGCAAACATCCGTGTCAAAGACATCCAATTGTCTTTGTCCTTAGCTTTCCATAGCATCCATCATGTCTGGGGTGGGGTGGGAGAGGTTGGCTTGCAGTGCTTCTGCTCCCTCCTAAGTGGGCAGTTCCAATCAAGCTTGTTAGGGGAGGAGAGTTTGCCCTCAGGCAATCCAAATGTGATGTCCACAACCACTGAGGGATGTCACAGGTGGCCTTGGGGTCAGGCACCATCCATATGCTGATCGTATCCAGCTTCACATTTACCTCTCTACCCAGGTGAACTAGGACTTTTACCCAGTGCCCGGAGACTGTGAGGGTCTGAAATCTCAGCAATATGGCATTATTATCAATCCAGAAGCCTCTGATCTTCCATAGACATTCATCTATTACTCCACTTGAGGCCTCAATTCTCCTGAAAGAGCAGGTGTACAATCTGGAGAGTTCTCCTGGACTTGTGGTTCCAAAAAGAACAGCAAATAGAGGCTGTGGCCAGGACCTTTGACCAGCTGTAGCTGGTCCACCAGTTACATCCACGCCTGGAACAGGCGGTGCTGAGGACAGTGGTTTGTCCTCTTGCCCTCTTTCTTACGCTACTGTAATCTGCTTTACCTGGGGCTGCCCTTGAAGGTAACGTGGAAGTGGCAGCTGCTCATTCATTGATTGGCCCTAGGCAGGCCCACCTCTATTTTAAGGGAATTGTGCTGGTTGTTTAGGCTTCTGTCTTAATGCAAGGCCCTGGTGGTTACTTATAAAGCCCCTTATGGCCTCCAGGACCGTCTTTTCCCAGCAGAATCTGTCTGCCACCTGTGGACTGAGACAGGAGGCTATAGCTTCCCATTCTCGGAGGGATCAAGAGGATTGGGCTGCCAAGAGGACCAGCAGCAGCCCCTCCCTGGGAAGCAGCTTCCCTCCACGGACTGGCTAACTCCCACCCTTTGGATATTCCAGCAGCCCTGTTGGCAGAAGAGAACGAGGGGGGGCATTTTTCATATGATGATTTCTTATACACTGCAAGCTGCCTCATGTTTGACAGGCAGACAACACACTTTTTCTAAAATACGGCCTGTACCCCTCCCCATCCACTCCTCCCCCCTTTCTTCCCTTCAAGAGGGGAAGGCGCTCCAGAGCAGGTCCTGCGGGGGCCCAGCCAGGGAGCGGGATCTTTAGGAATCGACCAAGGCGAAGCCCTCCTGCAGCCCAACACGGGACCCCCGGCTCCCCCTCTGGGGGCCTCGAGGCAGGACGCGGCCTCCCCTCCTCCAGGGACCCCAAATCTTCCTGCCGCAATCCCGTTTCCGGTCGGACTTGAAGACACCCCCCCAGCCCCTCCTCAACAGGCCGGAGGGATCCCGCTTTGGGGCAGAACGGACCCCCGCCAGGGCTACCCACGCCCCTCCGCCGACCACCAAGACCCGAAGTCGCCTCGAACGTTGTGCCAAGTCATGGGCTGCTGAAGCCCGGCTTGTTGCACGAGCCGCGACCGGCTGGCTGGACCTGAGCGGGGAGCGCGAGACCTCCCGGGGAAGCATCTGAGGGACCGTCCGTCGCTCCAGGCCTTCGACGTCCCCGCCCTGATCGCTCCGCGGCTCAGCCCCGCCGAAGCCCTGACCGGGCCTGCGGGGGGGGGGCGGGGAGAGGCGAGGCCCAAACCTCGGGCGGGACCACCAGCAGATCCGCCTCGCCGACGCCCGGGACACCCCTGCAGGGTAGGCCGGCCGGATCCGCCCCCGCCCCCATTCCAGGGAGGCCATCCCGGCTCCCCTCGCCCCCTGCAGTGCAGGCCGATCCCGCCCCGCTGCGACGACGCTGGCCCGGGGGTGGGGGCGCCCCCCCCGGAGTACCTGCAGGATCCCTCCCGCCGGCGCGGACCGACCGCGCGCCCCTCCCCCGAGACGTGGCTCCGCCTTTCCCGCGCCCCACCCCCTCCCCTCACGATGTGTTGCGTCCCCCCCCCGCCCCGCGGCGGTCTCCCTCACCTGCCGCTTCCCGACTCCGCCACGGCGCTCGCCCCGCCGCGCCCGTCCCCGCCGCAGGCGCTGCCGGAGCCCCTGAGGAGAGTGCGCAGGCGGCGGTCCCTTTAAATGGAGGCGCGCTCGGAGCTCTCCGCGCGCCGCAGCCCGAGTAAGGGGGAGGTCGGGGAGGCCGCCCATTGGTCGGGACCCAGCCAGCACTGCGACCTGATTGGCTGCCGACTCCCGGGCAGATTGACTGTATCTTCATCGGAGCTCGCGAGACTGGCCGCGGCAGCTTGGCGGCGCTCAAAACCCGGCGCGGATCACCCTCCTCGCTCGGATCGAGCGGGCAAGGCGGAAAACCCGGAGCGGCAGAACACGGGGCGGAGTCGGGGGGAAGGCGAGCGGGGGGGGGCCTGAAGGGGATCTGCCCCTCACTCCCGCCGCTTCTGCCGCCCCCTTCAGAACTGCCCCCAATGCCGGGGGAAGCCGGGTGGGGAGAGCCGGCGATGCCTCCAGGCGCCCCCGCCCCCCAGGCGCTGCTCTCACCTCTTCCCTCCGGGCGGGGGCCCCGAGCCGGGGCTCCCTCGGCGTTCGCAGCGGGCGGCCAGCGGCGGGACGGGCCGGCGGCAACCAGCGAGCGCGGAGCGCGGTCAGGGTGAGGCGGTGTCGGGCCAGCGGGGACCGCCCCCGGGATGGACAAGGGGCGCCTGGAGACCCCCCGCCCCCTCCTCGCGCCGGCCCGCCCCCTCCGCCCTCCGGAAGGCGAGGCGCCCCCGTCAAGCAGCAGCCCGGCTCCCTCCTGCGGTCCCCAACCCCCGCCCCCTCAGCAGTACCCGCCGTTTCTCCCCAGCCCGCCAGGGCCCCCTCCCCACTTCCGCAGTTGCCCCAAAGGGGAGGGGGAGGGGAAGAGTCGAAGAGGGGGCTCCCACCAAGGCTTCCCCTTTGGGGAGGGGCAGGAAGACCCTTGCTCTGCACCCCCTCTATCTGGCGTATGCTGATCTCAATGGCACGGGAACAATTGGACCCCCTATACCCCCTTTCCTGATTGCTCCCCCCCCCCCAGAAGGCAAGGGGCATCGAGTAGAGAAGCCCTTGGCATAAATTGTCCTTGCCGCACGGAAGCTCTGGCCCATAGCTGAGGTGGGTCCAAGGGCCCCCTTGCTGGAAAACCTCCACTGAAGAGCAGTTTCCAAGGTCTCCCAACTCTTGGGCAGCTGCAGGTGTGCTTGGACACAGCCAAGGACCCCTGAGGCGCTCAGCCTGTTCCTGAGGGAGGGAGGGAGAGGCTTTCAGTTGGAAAAGATTCTGGGGGCCTGAGAACATCCCCGTCATGCTTTGCCCTGGCACTTCAGAATCCAGTTAAACATTCCTCAAGCTTCCAAAGAGGATTTATTTTTAAACTTATCAAGTTTGGCCTCCGCTCTGGGCCTGTTGCCACCACTGGGGGCTACACACGGCTTCTTGAAGGAGGACCCCAGTCTGCAAGCCTTTATTCTTGAGCCTCTGCTGGAACCAATGAAGTGTTCCACGTTCCGTGCTGGCTCATCAGATGGAGACCATAAGCTGGGTTCTACGCCTGTAACAAAGCGCCCTAGCAATCGCTCCCAGTTGCTCTGTGGTATGTTCACACGCCATGGCTAGCCAGGTCAATTGCAAGCTCCTGCTTAATTTTGGCTTTGATTGCTTTTTATTTTGGCTTCAGCTTGTATGAATCCAGCATGTTATAAATATGGATTAAGTCGATAGCCATGCAACATGCACTGTAGGAACCTGTTCTCGTATATCCCTCAGTCACATAGGGTATATCCATCTACCTTCGAGTTGCTTGAAAGGGAAGCAAGATTATTTTGATTAGTGCCAATCTTAGTTGGGCAGTATGGCGGAGATGACAGAGGCTTGTCACCATGTGCTCACTCCTCACAGGTGCTGCAACTGTGTTTCCCATCTTGCATTTTTCTCTGAAAAGATAGCAGTGGCAGGCCACTTTCAGTTCTACACAGCTTGACTGGAGCTGCAGCCAACATTAGAAAGTGCCCCTTCTTCCCCAGGCCAGCATGCAGAGACCTGGCAGACCCAACCCCGACTACGTTCTCTGTGATGCCCCATGAGATGCGCAGGGTGGTCCCTGTGGGAGAGGCAGACGTTGAAGAGCACCCTTGTAATCAAGCTGGGGGATGCCTCAGGGAGGCTCTTCCCTGGTTGCCACGAGACCGGCTGGTCCGGACCCTCCCTGGACCTCAGCAGAGTCCTGTTTTCTGCACTCCTGGCCCCTTCAGGAGAAATGATGGTCTGGATGAGGCTCCCCAGAAGGTCAAGCTGCCTGGTAGGCGGAGCAGGAAGCCCTGGCTTTGCTGCCCGAAAGGCTGAGATGGCTGAGGAGCTAGAGAACGCCTGCTGTGATTCACGGTAGGCACAAGCCCACTTGCACGGGCCCATCTTGTACGAGGAGCAGCTCCACCCCAAAACATTTCTCAGCAGTCCTCCAGCCTCCCCTCACCAATCTCAGTGCGCAGGCTAGGAATGGCATATCTGAGGGCCAAGGGTGAACAACTGCACAGTGCACAACTGCCGCAAAGGCCTCCAGGCACATGGCATTTCCTCCTGCTTTCCCAGGGAGGCCAGGCAGCCAGAAGCAGAAGCAGCCAGAAGGTCAAAGCGCAGCATCTGGTGTGGCAACTACACACACAATGTAGCTCAGGGAGGACAGTTCCAGCGTTGTGGGAGCTGCAGAGCTCTGGCAAGGGGGGCTCTGTAATGGGGCCCAGGAGCCGCAAAGATGGGAGGGGCTGCAGTGATCAGCCCCTGCTTTTGGCAGGGCAGCCCCAAGCTATGGCCTCTCCCTGGCAGGAGAACAGGTGGGCACAAAAGTGATGCCAAACATAGCTGGGAGGGATCAGAGAGGGACCAGTGTCAACACTGAAAGCCAAGGACAGAGCAGAGCAGGGAGTAAAGAGACCATTTTGCAAGCGTGTGGCATAATGCATGTAGGCAAAATGGCACCTACTATTCAAAGAGGCTGAGACTGCCAGACCCAATTTGGGACCTGTCAAAAGATTCTTGAATAGAGATCTTGTCCGGCCTAGCAAAAGGGTGAAAAAGTCTTGAGCTATTTCTTCATTTTGCTCTATAGGCTTGGAAGGTTATGTGAGCAGGTTAAACTGCTGAAGCGTGGGGCAAAGGGAATCAGCTTCTGTCTAGGTGGTGGTCTCGACCAAAAGGCCTGACCTGTTCCATTGCCCAATATTGCTGGGCTGGCTCAGATCAGGCAAAGGGCACCCACTCGCATTGGCACCTCTGGTCTACCCACCTGGCACCTGGTCTTTCTGGCAAGACTTGATCTTTGTGTGGTCCTTATAGACTTGAAATTGCCACCTCCTTTCACCTGTCACCTTCTCCAGTGTGGCTTACGCACCTTAAGAGGGCAACCTTGGGGCAGAGGGCCAGTGAGAGAAAGCTGGCCCCATTGTTGCAGCCAGGGAAAGGGAATAGCTAGAGCTGATCTAAGGATGGGGAGACCAGAGCTTAAAGAATCAGTCAGCCATTAACCATGGTTTGCCCACCAGGATGATCTGGGCAAGTGGATCCTGGATTGGAAGGAGGGTATGACCTCTCAGTTTCATCCTCTTCTCCCCCCAGGTCCTAAACCCTCCAAGGCCTATTACCTGTAGGGCTTCGTGAACTTGTAAAACGATGGGCTTTGTGATCCCAACCGCTGCCCACCTGCAGTGCAGCTTTGTTGCCTTCCCTTCCTGCTGAAAACTCCCAGACCTCTCTTGTTAGACGCCCCCCCACTCACCCCCTTGGTGGGGCAGTTGGAAGGCTGGCTTGTGTTCTGGCCAGCTGGTTTCTTCCCAGCACAGCAGGCTCCCTAGAAGGGGGTTCCAGAGCAAAGTTGTGCTCCTCACCTTCCCCCTTAACAGCTGGAAACAACTGCATTGAATTCATGGATCTTCTTCGCCAACCCCAGCGATCCTGCATAGAATTTTGCTGCAACATGCCTGGAAATCTTAGCTGTGACCGTTAATGGAAAAAGGTGGGGGGGAATAGTGTAGGATCGCCCTGCGTGGCTTGTCCTTTTTTTTTTTTTGCAAGTCACTGGCTACAAGCTGGATCGGGAGCAAAGTTCTGCGCGTAATTTGCATATACTTGAACAAGTATTAATTCCGACCCGCCCTCGACCACTCTCTACGGCCCTGGAAAGGTGCCTTGCCCCAGCGCCCCCGCAGGCAGACCGCTATACGTTCGGCTCCGCCCGTACGGAGGCGCGGTCCCTTTAAGAAGCTGCACGGTTCTTTATGCGCCTGCGCGGGCCTCACGTCACTTTCTCTTCGCCCCCTCCCTTTTCCTGCCCCTTTGTCCCTTTTTCACCACTCACTCAAACATGACTGGAAAGCACCTCGAGTGCTGATTGGCTAAGCTTTGCGCGGGCTGGAGGAGCAGAGAGCCGGACCAATCGGAAAGCCCTCGGCCTGCTCGTTTACCTTCGCCTTTAGATCGGCAAGCGTAGCGGCCATTTAGCGGAAGAATAGGAGCGGCCTTTCAGCCAGTTGGGCCCACCAAAACGCGAGAAGGGCGGGACAGGGCCAGCACGCACCATAGAACGGTTTCCGGCCTCGCGCGCCCCCATTTTTTCCTCCTTCCTTTACCCCCCCCGCCTTTTCGTCGGCTCGCCTGAGGTGAGGAGGCCGCGGGAGGCTCGGCGGCGGCGGGGGGGGGCCGGGAACCGGCAGGCGTCGCGAAGCGCCTCTTCCGGCGGAGGGGGGAGCTCGAGGGGGAGCCCGCCCTGCCTCGCTCCTTTCTGCCGGCTTCTGGCAAGCGCGCCGCGGCCCTGAGGCTCCCCGGAGAGCGTGGGGACGGCGCGTTGGGACGCTCTTGACTCCTCCGCCGGCCGCGATCGCGGAGGGCCCTGGGAGTTGTAGTCCGCCGGGGGCCTCGAGCCGGGAGCGGCGGTGCCGGGGGGGGGGCGACTGGGAGCGGCCAGATCCCTCCCTGAGCGGCGCCCGCGCGCTGTCCTCCGCTCCTCGCCCGCAGGGATCCGGCCCTCCGCGCCAGGCGAGGAGCCATGCAGGGCAACAAGGGCTTCGCCATGGAGAAGCAGAATCACACCCCGCGGAAGCCGCCGCCGCCGCCGTCGCACCACCAGCCGCAGGCCGCCCCCGCCAACGGGCAGCAGGTCAACAGCCAGAGTGAGTGGCCGGGACGGGACGGGACGGGACGGGGGAGCGGCTTGGGGAGCCGCGCGATCCCTTCGGGATGGGCCCGAGGGAGGGCTGGAAGATCTGTGCTGGGAGCAGCCGCTCGCGGGCTGAGCGGCAGAAGGAAGGGAGCGTCGGCCGAAGGCTGGGCCAAAACAGCTGTGCCCAGCTGTCCGGTGGGGCCCCTGCGGCTTCCGGAGAGGCCAAATGCTGCTGGCCGGAGGCGGCTTAGATCGGCTGTCCCTTCGCTTGCCCCCCATCCCCCCCCTCCCAAACACGGGTGTAAAAGTGGGAATTGTTTCTGCCAGGCAGAGTTGCCCCTGTTTCAGTTCATTAACACAGTCTAGATTGGCTTGGGCTGCTCTTGCTGCAAAAAGAAATTACACTCTACAGTCTGCAACATTAGAGAGGGAACCCTGAGGCTTCTTTGGCTGATACTGCAAGTTATAATCACCGTTAAAACAGTTGCTTTCTCTGGTTCATCCTTCCCTTGGACTTAGATGTTCCTATGGTACTTTTTCTGATTTTAAGATTAGAACCTTTATCTCCATTTCAAGAACATATAGATCCCTTAAAGCTTTTAGTAAAACTGGTTTTGGCCCATGAGATTGGTTTATGAGCCATGTAATGTCTTTGTCAGCTAGTTTTTAAGCAATGTTATTATTAAGACATGGCCTATCTTCAGGAGAGAGCTGAAAAGTTTTCCCACATGCATCCTCTTGCAGATAAAATGTAACTACTCTAGACCTGACCTTGCAGTTGTTGTGATCTGTGGTTGTTGCATTTGAATCAGAACAGAGCTGGAAGGGACCTTGGGGGTCTTCTAGTCCAGCCTCCTGCTCAAGCAGGAAATCCTATACCATTTCAGATAAATGACTGTCCAGTCTCTTCTTAAAAACCTCCAGTGATGGAGCACCCACAACTTCTGGAGGCAACTTCTATTCCACTGGTTAATTGTCTTCACTGCTAGGAAGTTTCTACTTAATTCCAGGTTGCTTCTCTCCTTGATTAGTTTCCATCCATTGTTCCTCGTCCTCTGGTGCTATGGAAAATAATTTGAATAAATTAAATAAATTTGTAATCTTCTGATGCATAAGATGAAGTTTACAGTGAGAATCCTCTTTCTGGTTGCATGGAGAGGCAGTGATAATTTAGGTCAGTACTTTCCTGTGGCTGTAAGCTGGAAGTACTGTTAATGTTCAGATCATCATATTCTGGAATGTGTTAATAGTCACTATTTGTTCCCCAATTTTGTAGAACGAATTTATATCTCCTTCCCCTCAGATGAAGGCCTGACGATTGACTTGAAGAATTTCCGAAAACCTGGAGAAAAGACCTTCACCCAAAGGAGTCGCCTCTTTGTGGGAAACCTACCACCTGACATCACTGAGGAGGAGATGAGAAAGATGTTTGAAAAATATGGAAAAGCTGGTGAAGTCTTCATTCACAAGGACAAAGGCTTTGGCTTCATCAGGCTGGTGAGAGACCAGAGCTATTTCTTGTGTGTCCTGGGTTTTGGGGTGACACTTGAGTTTGAAGGGCATGAGCGTTATTCTTTGAGCAGCATACAACCCACATGTCGTATTTTGGATGCAAGCAAATTTTAGGCTGTTGGCCCTCCAGAAGGTATTTATCACTTCTGTTACTGGCATTTATCCCAACTGTCTATGCACGAAAGAGAGCTGAAAATGCTGGGAAATAGTATTGCCAATCTGGCTGCTGAGGACTTCTTTCCTGTGAGAGCCAGGCAAATGTTGGGGCTTTTTCTGCGGCTGGTTACTTTTGAAGTAGAATCTTACATGTTTAATTTGTACCTCATTTTAACCCACCTAACAATTGTTCTTTGGGCTACAATACAAATACTCTTGAGATAACTGTAATGCAATTCCTCCCAGAAGCGCCTTTCATTTAGTCTGCTTGCATGTCTGTCTTGCCCTCAGGAAACTCGGACCCTGGCTGAGATTGCAAAGGTGGAGCTGGACAACATGCCTCTGCGTGGGAAGCAGCTGCGTGTGCGCTTCGCTTGCCATAGCGCATCATTGACCGTCAGGAACCTGCCGCAGTTTGTGTCTAATGAGCTCCTGGAAGAGGCTTTTTCCATGTTTGGCCAAGTTGAGAGGGCTGTGGTCATTGTGGACGACAGAGGCCGGCCTTCTGGAAAAGGCATTGTAGAGTTCTCGGGAAAACCAGCTGCCAGAAAAGCCCTGGACAGATGCAGCGAGGGATCCTTCTTGCTGACTACGTAAGCACAGGCGAGGCTGCTCTGGGTCACTGGGGTAGGCTTGCAGCTAGAGGGCAGATCTTCTGTCCTTGTGTTTGCAACCATAAATGGGGACTTTGGCGGTCCCTGTTAGTGAATGTCTCTGCCTCTGGTGAGAGGGCTGACAAAGTGGAGAGAATATGCACACAGCATCTGCGTTCTCCTCTTTTAGAGATACTCATTTTTGAAAGGCGTTGCAGCCTACAACTGTTGTGTGTGTGTGCTCAGGTCAGCGACCTAGGAAGCTGATTCCTCCTTCCACGTGCCTGAGCGTGGCAGATGCTGCTTCTGAGATAAGCCACTGAGGAGCTGAAGAGAATGGTTGCCAAAGCAGGATGTTAGGATCTGTACTGGGTAACTTGGTGCTTTGATCCTGATAATTGATTTTCTTCAGATCCTTCATTCTGAAAAGGGAATTAAGGGAAAATTTGATACTAAAGGCTGTTGCTAACTTTCTGGTTTTTGCCCGATGTTGGCTTATTCTCAATTTTTTTTTCAAGGTTCCCTCGGCCTGTGACGGTGGAGCCCATGGACCAGTATGATGATGAGGAAGGACTGCCAGAAAAGCTGGTCATCAAAAACCAGCAATATCACAAGTAGGTGCTGGGGAGATATCAAGCGGCACCTTTGTGATGGAAACAGGTGTTTTAAAAAGCTGTTCTGCCCAGCATGCAATCATGGAGGGAAATACCTTTGGGCTAGGCTTATGTCTGTTAAAGCAGATGCGAAAATTGAAGTATTGTCCTCTGCATCCAGACTGTAGTTCGGGTGTCTTTAATTGGTGATATTGGTGGGTTGGAGCTGCAGGCTCTGCTAATTCAGCAGGTACCGGCTGAGAGGATCGCTCTATTTCCTCTGCAAGATTCTCGGTCTCAGTGTTTCCAGCCTTAGTCCCAGCTCACGGCTTGCAGTTCTTGAGTGAGTGGATTTCTGTCTTCTGCCCCCGCAGGGAGCGCGAGCAACCTCCCCGCTTTGCACAGCCAGGCTCCTTTGAGTATGAGTACGCCATGCGCTGGAAGGCCTTAATCGAAATGGAGAAGCAGCAGCAAGAGCAAGTGGACCGCAACATTAAAGAGGCCCGGGAGAAGCTGGAGATGGAGATGGAGGCGGCTCGTCATGAGCACCAGGTCATGCTCATGCGTCAAGGTGGGCACTGGAATTTATGGGTACTCGCTGTGGGGATCGTTTCTGGCAGCCCCGCCTGGATTCCAAACTGTCATCCTGCTCCTTTCAGATTTGATGAGGCGCCAGGAGGAGCTCAGGCGCATGGAAGAGCTGCACAATCAGGAGGTGCAGAAGCGCAAACAGCTGGAACTCAGGTGAGCGTTGGATTGACAAAGGCAGTTCCGGTACAGATTGCAGAATAAATGGTAAAGCAGGTCGAAAATTGATTAATAAATAAGAGCTGAAAAACAAAATTCTTTAATCATGGAAAACTTCCCTAGGAGCTCTTGGCTCCAGCCTCCCTGCTAAGCGATCTCTGGCTTAATTGATGCCCCCCCCCCTGGTCCTTTTGGAGGGGGCTAGTGGATGTGGCCCGCAAAGCAGAGAGGCAAAAAGGCCGAAGGGCCTGATCCTTGGGCAGGCTGCCCAGACCGAGAGCCAAGCCCGGACTTCTCTGGCAGGCAAGAAGAGGAGCGCCGGCGCCGGGAGGAGGAGATGAGGCGCCAGCAGGAGGAGATGATGAGGCGGCAGCAGCAGCAGGAGGGCTTCAAGGGCGCCTTCCCTGACACGGTAATGGGGGGGGTGAGGGGCAGGACCGGGAGGGAGGCGGCTGCTGCACCTGACCACCAGGACACCCAGTCACCTTGGGCCTGTCTGTCTGTTTCAGAGAGAGCCTCCCGACATGCGCATGGGGCAGATGGGGATGGGAGGTAAGTGAGAGGGGTGCCCAGGCCCTCCGCGGTCAAGAGAGGGTGCCCTTCCAGGTCTCGGCCTGTAGCTGAGCAGGGTCTGTGGGCAAGGGGGCTGGCTCGGGGGCAACCACGGGGGATTCTGAAGGGGGAGGGAGTTGGGTTACATCTCAGGAGGGGTCCCTGCTTTGCCTTTCAGGTGCAATAGGAATGAACAACAGGGGGGCCATGGGGGGCACCAGTGTCCCTGCAGGACCCCCACCTGCGACTGGCCCTGGACCAATGATCCCTGATGGAGCCATGGGAATGGTGAGGTCAACTGAGCTCTCGTCTTGGGTGGGGGGGTTGGCGGAAGAGCCAAGATGGGACAGTATTATCAGTTAACTTCTTAGCTATTTGGGGGGGGGGGGTTATCTGCTGCAACATTCAAAGCAAGGTCCATTGGGTAATTTTGATTTGTTAAGGACATAAACTGGGTTTAGGATTCTTGCCTTCTGTTTCGACAAACTTAAGGAAGGCTAGCAGCTTAAACATCCGAGGCTTGCAGGATATAGAATCTCTTTCAGGAGCTATTACTCTTAGAGTTCTGATGGGTTTTAGGATCCCAGCTGGGCTTTCTGTCTTTCTTAAGCAGGTTCTTTGAAGAAAGTGCTACCCCTGGGCTTAGGCTTAGACCTGCCTCTGAGCCCCCTTGTAGGTCTTCAAAAAGCAGGAAAGAACCCTTGGATCTCTGGGCCTCTGGCTGTTTCTGACCAAAATCATTCCTTTCTCTCTGCACAAGACCCCTCCACCACCAGCTGATCGCTTCGGACAGAGCGGGGCCATGGAAGGCCTGGGCACCATGGCAGGAAGCACACCGGGATTCAACCGGGGAGCTCCCGGTGGAGATTTTGGGCCCAACAAGCGTCGCCGGTACTAACAGGAAAGGGTCCAGTGCTTGGCTCTCCTCTCAAGAAGACCCCTAGCTCCTTCTTGAGGCCAGGAGTTTGGCCAAGGCAAGAGGCATGTGATCATATTTCTAAATGGTGCAGCTGACACCAGGAGGGTTGCATTCCTGCAAGCACGCAATGTGAACATGGATCCCAGGAGGCTTCAGTAGCTGTGTAGTGTATGGGCCAAGCTAGGACCCCTGGCCCTTTTTCTTCCCTCCCCCAAGCCCCTGGCCATAGGCTGTCCTTGGACGCCACCAGCTCTCCCCCAGGCCTCGGAGAGCCCTTCTGAGCATTGGGGCAAGGCCCGTGGTTCTGTACGTGGCTACAGCCACAAATGGCAGATCATGTAAGGGGAGGGGGGAATAGTTTTTTAAACTTGTAGCTTTTTATTTTTTCCTCTGGACCATTTTTTTCTTTCCTGTAGTTCTCTGGGGCAGCCAAGAGGGCTCGATAGTGGTGGTGGTTCTGGGATGAATTATTCAGTGTTGTACCATTCTTTCTTTTTTATTGGTAGAAAAGTACAATCTATTGGACATAGTAAAACACAAAAGTTTCCTGTTTAAAAAAAAAACTCAGCTGAAGCAATTGTTTGTATAACCCTAACTTTACCTGTCTTGTGTAGAAGTAAATGTGTGAATCTGAGCTGTAATCGTCGACTAACAGGTTGAGTTTGTCTCAAGATTGTTACAGGAATGCATTATTAAAAGGGATTTTAAGACTTTTTCACCTTGTGTCCACCTCTGGTGTCTGCTGGGTTTCTGATTACTAGACGAAAAATCTGCCTCTGGGAAACGGCAACAGGCCGGCATCCTCAGCCTTTTCCTGCTGCTGGGAAGCCATTCTTCAGCTCTGCCCAAGGGGTGGCTGGGAATTCTGGGAGTTGCTGTTCTAACACATTTGGGAAACGGCAGTCGTGTGAGCCAAGTGGTGCAGTGACTGAGCTGGGTAGCTCGGGGTCGCTTGCTTTCTGGGAAAATAGCCCTGCAGCCACTTGTCTGGAGCCCCTTAGAGTAGAGGTCTGTGGAACCGCCTATAAATTGGGGGGGGGAGCTAGAGTTAGGGTGAAGGAAAGGGAATGGTCATGCTGCTCAACGGAAACTGATCTGTCCTGGCTGGTCAGTTGGAAGAATTCCCCAAGCCATTCTGAGTGGGACTGATCGCTTGTAGTGTGCAAATATCTGGCTGCAAACAGCCAGTAAAGAAGGATGATTTGGGGTCAGGCAAAGAGCAAAATTGTCACGTGATGTACACAAATTGGGATGGATTAAGGGGGACAAAAAGGGAAGTGGGCGTGCCACACACAAAGAGCAGGTCTAGCTGAAAGGGTTCAGGGCAGAACTGGACCGCTGGCTTCTCAGCAGCTGGCTGGAACAGTTTTAGGCATGAATATATTGGCAACTTCCTTGGCACCTCCACTTTGGGCTTCCAGCCGGAGGCGCCCCACATCACTGGCGGTGGGATCTGACCGAGTTTTACAGGTACTGCTGGGCTTCCTTCAAGGTGCCAGGTAGTCCCCCGTAAGCTGACACTGTCGGGTCACTCCCGGTCGCTCAAGGATGGGCTTGACCAGCAAGGACTCCCGATCCTGGGCAGCCACTTCTTTACCTGGGCTTCAGGCCAGCTCCTCTTGGAAAGGTGAAGAGGGACAAAAGACGTGCTTAACTTAAGCTGGGCCTGCTGGGAGGTGGGGAATGGCCTTGCAACTGAGTCTGCCCTTGGGGTCTTCTGCAGTCAAGACAGGGAAGAAGAGGCAGCCTCAGCTCTCCCCTCCTTTGCAACTGAGAAAGAAGAGGCAAAGGATTGGGAGGGGGCTTTCTGGCGACACCTGGATGTGCTGGGACCTCGCTGGCCAGGATAAACTGAGTTTCCAGAGCCTTTTTTCTTTATGGGGCTGCCGATTTGCTGCTTCTTTTCCTGTTCGTCATTGGCATGATGGGGGGGGAGCAAGCAAGGGAACATGTAGCTCTACATCTGAGCAGGAGCAACAGCTGGAGGCAAACCAGGGAGCTTCTGCCAAGGGCCTTGTGTTTTTGGCTGGCAGCTGAACCTCAGGCAGAGGGGACCCTCCCAGCCCACCCCTCCCTTTGGTGATCTTGAGTGGTGGAGCAGCTGCTGCCCTTTTCTGGGCTGCCCCCTTTGCAGCCCTCGCTACTAAAGATAGCTGAGCCTTCTGGTCTTGTAGCCGCCCAGGCTCCATCCCAGACTCCGCAATGGCCTTGCTGTGCTACAGGAAAGGCTGCGGGCAGAGCTTTGACCCAGAGAGGAACAGCCAGGGTAGGTGGGCAGGGAGGGCGGTGGGCACAAGAGCGATTGCAGCAGAGGAGCTGCAGCTGGATGAAGGGCCTTGCTGGTCCACATCTGTGTGCTGGCTGGGATGCTCAGCACACCCCTTTCTCCTGACCTGTGCCTGCCAGGCAGTCCCACTGGTGCTGATGTTCTGAAAGTGGGGGGCTTGCACCAAATCCCCATGCGGGGCCTTTATAAGGGGGAGGGGCTGCAGCCTTGGCCGGTGGGTGCCACATTCTAGGAGCTGCAGCTCCATACATTGGGAGGAGGGCACAGTGTGGCTTCCATCCCCCCCCCCGCCACCTTTGAGCTGGGAACTGATCAGGAGTGCCAGTTTAACTTTGGGCTGCCTGAAATCACAGTCTTGGAGAACTTGCAGGTCTTCCATTCCCAGAACAGTCTGGAAATGGAACAGGATGGAAGGATGGGGGTGCAGATCAAGCTGGTTGCTGGAAGAAAACCCTCTTTTCCTCCCTCCCTCTCTCAGATGCCTGCCTCTACCACCAGGGCTTTCCCATCTTCCATGATGCCTTGAAGGTGAGTGGGTCTTACTGGACAGGGCAGGTGGGGGAGCTCAACCGCATTTCCCTGCAGTCAGCCACGGGTGGAACTGCAGCAATGGGGCAGGGAGTGTCCAGGAGAAGAAGGGCCATTGTACAGGTTGACATCCCCATCGAGTGGAGGTCTGCTGCTTTGTCCCCCTCCCTCCATGTCAAGGCACCTGTTCTGCCCTTATTGCTCTTTGGATGGGGGCCATGCCCACCCACCCCCAAGCAGGAAGCAGTGTATAGATAGGAGGAACGCAACACCTCTGGTACTGGCGCTGTTCCTCCCCATCAGCAAGCGGGGGAATGGCCTGCTTGGGGGTGCTGGGCTTGGAGGAGGGGGCACTTACTCCTGGTTGTTCTTCCAGGGCTGGTCTTGCTGCAAGAAACGGACGACCGACTTCTCTGAATTCCTCTCCATAAAGGTAGATGATGCTTACAAACCATAGGGTGCGAGTGCCCATTTCCCCATCAGCATATTTATCCCGTGGATTGATGGACAAGGCCGGCACAGCTTATGACCCTCTTAGCTTTTGCTGCACAGTTGACTTTTTTAGCTATTCTTTTTCCAGTGGCCTTTTCCCAAACATCACAACCTTACACATCTGGAAAAGGTTGGTGGGGGTTGGTGGGGAAGGAGGGAGTGACAGCAGGGCATGGCAGAAGGGTCCCGTTGCCATCCAAGCTCAGGGCTGAGCTAGAGGTCCGCAGTTCAGTGTCTCAGTTGCAGACTGCACCCTCAATGTGAGAAAAAGGCCTGTCTCGCAAGGCCGGCAGACCAGACGGGCCTGTGAAATAACTAAGAACCGTTTCTCTCTTTCCAAAGGGCTGCACGAAAGGCTACCACAGCCACGAGAAGCCTCCAGAGCCAGAGGAGGCCTCCGCCAAGCACAAGCCCTGCACTGAAGACCTTGTTCTGGAGTCAAAGTCTGCTGAGGTGCTGCAGCGGGAGAGGCCCAGGTGAGGAAGGGCTTGATAAGGACCCTCCCGGAGGTCCTAAGCCTGATGGTGCTGACAGCTTTGGACTGGGGATGGGAAGCAGCAGAGATCTCCCTTGAGTTTTACAGGTATACTTCCTCTGCACGAGGAGGTTCCATTTATCTGCTTTCCTTCCCAACCCCATCAGTGAATTGTGCACCAAAGGAAGGACGCGGTCCGTGAGGCGGGAGTGGCAGAAGAACAGGAGTTACACCCCTTTTGTCCAAATTTAATGTAAATCGGCTCCTCCGTGCATACATTCTGCCCTCTCCTTTGGCCCCCAGTTCTGATGAGCCCAAGCAGCCGCTGCTGGTGAAGGTGGCCCAGGCACTGCAACAAGTCCTGGAGAAGCTGGACTCATCCACGGCCGCGCAACCTGCCCCGCACGGCTTGGCCAGCCCTGGTGGGAAACACGATGAGGCTTGCTGGGGGAAAGATGAAGCCAGAACGAAGGGGGGGAGCTGAGCGGCTAAGTGGCTGCTCTGTTCCCAGTTGACCGGGGATGGGGGGGGAGTACAAGCACCACAGGTGGCCCCACTGTGCCTCTGTGAGGCCGTGGGAGGCTGTGTGGAGAGCCAGTTGAGAATGCTGGAAGCTGCAGCCCTCTAAACCTCGCTTGGGGAAGATCCCGAGCCTCTGGCCAGTTGATAAGAGGCTATGGGGCAGGGCAGGATCCCTTGCAAGCAGATGTGGTTGGCCTTGGGGGCAGCTGCAGTGCTGTGCTCCAGCAGACCTGCAAGGCCCCAAATTGCTGTTTTCTGGCTTTCTCTTAGGGGACAGCTCAGAGGTGAGCACCGGCACGGCCTGCAAAAACACCGGCTGCCAGGCGGTGAGTTGCCTTTGGGGCTACTCGGCTTCTAACATCCCCCCTTGGACCCAATGAATGGCCCAGCCTTGGCTGGTCGGAAAAGAGCCTGCCTCCCCAGTGCAGGGTAGCATTGGCCAAGAAGAGAGGGAGGGAAGCACTGGGCCGAAAGAGCTGGTTGCCCCTGGCGGCTCCAGAGCGGGCTCTTCCTGACCACTTGGCTGACCCTTCCTGTCTCCTGCCCGGCTCCTCTTTCAGGTTTTCCAGGGAGAGGAGAGCAAGAGGGAGACCTGCCTGCTTCACCCAGGGGTGCCCGTCTTCCACGAGGGGTAAGCATCACGGGCATCTCGGATGCCCTTCTTCCTCAAAGTCCCTGCCTTCAGCTGTGATGCCTACAGTGGGGGATGGTCTGCCGTGGGACCCGGCATCTTCCACTCCCCTCCTGCCCACCACACACTGGCCCGTCTGGGGCCTGCTGAGTCACCCAAGCCAGGTGCCTCCAGCTGTGCTCCCCTCTCTAAGACTCCCAGGGGGCAGAAGACAGACATCTGCAGTTCCTGTCCTCTTCATCAAGTGGATGCTTCACCCGCTTGTGGTGAGCCATCTGTAACTGGGGGGGGGGGATTCCTATCCTAACTACCGAAATAAATATCCGCCCAAGCTCTCTGCTTGTCTCACGCCTCCATCTGTGATCCATCCAGCATGAAATACTGGAGCTGTTGCAGGATCAAAACCACGGATTTTGCCGCATTCTTGGAGCAGAAGGGCTGCAGCAGAGGGAAGCACACCTGGGTGACGGGGCAGGTGAGGGTCTTCGGCCCAACCCCTGCCCTGTCCGGGGCTTGGTCTGCAGCTGAAGGGAAGCCAGAGGCCAGCCCTGCCTGGACAGCAAGGGACTGGACCAGCCTTGCTGGTTGTGGCTACCTGCAAAGTATGTGCTTTAAAGCGGGGGGGGGAGCTTCTTGCCAACAAAGCTCTTTCAGATCCCAGAAAAACAGCTTCCGCTTTCTCACGGGGAGCCACCTCAGCATCATCTGCCCTCTCCCCGCCCGCCCCAAGCACAACCTTCTAGCAACGAGATCTCCTTGGGGAAGAGGAGGAGGCCTCCCTTAGAAAAAGAGGAGGGAGAAAAGGGATGCCCTTGAACGGGAACCCGTCCTGCAACTTAGAAGGAGGGAAATGGGCTGACGCTTCCCATCCCGTTCGGGGTCCCTGGGGAGGTTTTCTGTCTGTTGGGGGACCTGCAAGGCTGCAGTCCGGAAGGCCAGTCCTCGGAATTGGGGTTCCCTGCGTAAGAGGGGGCAGGAATGTTGACCAGCTATTTTTCTATGGCTACCACAGGAGGACAAGAAGCTGGTCTCTTGTCGACAGGATTGGCACCAGACCAGCAGCCAAGTGGTGGTGACCCTCTATGCCAGGACCCCCCTGCCCCACCTCAGCTCCATCAAGGCCAACCGCACTGTGGTAAGGAAGAAGGGCTGCTGGCGGGTGGGGTGGGAGGGCTGGGGCACAGCTGCTTCTCAGAGGCGGCCTGCTGAACGCTGCAACCAACCCCATCTTCCAGGGCAGGGCGGAGGTGCTGCGGCAGGACTTGGGACTGAGGAGGCTTCCTCTTTTCTTGCAGCTAGACATCCGGGTAGCCTTTGAGAGAGACAAGATTTTCCAGGCCCAGCTAGATCTCTGGGGGGTATGTTTGACTCGCTTGCCTGGCTTTCTTCTTTTGGGCCACCTTGGAAGAAAGATCTGCCTGGACTCCAAATGGTCTCTTCTTTCCAGAACTACCAATGAAAAGGCTGGGGGAGGGAGGTGGCCCCCGTTTGTGTGGCTTCAGGACATCTTCCCACCCTTATAGTGCCAGGACAGCCGCTGCAGACATTGGGGGGCTGCCCGATCCTGCTGGTCCTCCTGCTGGCTCTCTCCTTCCAGGTCATCAATGTGGAGAAGAGCTTTGCCAGTCTGTTGCCTTCCAAGGTGGAAATTGCCCTGAAGAAAGCGAGCCCCATTACCTGGGCTGGGCTCGAGCAGCCGCAGAGCCGAGTGGAGGCCTGTCAGCCACCGCCCCAGGAGGAGGCCACAAAAGGCAGTTCTCCAGAAGCCCCCTTGGATGAGTCAGATGACAGCCTGGGCTGGTCCGAGGATGAGGGCTGAGGGGGCAGCCCAGCAGGGGCAGGCAGGCAGCTGAGCCAGGCTGAGGAACAGGAGGGGGCCGGGCTGGCTCTGGGGCTCAGGTGGAGAGCACCACCACGGAGCCTAGGGACACCTCCCACCATCGACAGTTTCACCCCTGCGGGAGGATCCTCTTGGCCCTGTCTTATCTTGAAATAAAAGCAACTTCTTTAAGTGGGAGTAAGTCAGAGCCCTCTGGCCAGTGTGCCTGTGCATGATTGGTGTGTGTGTGTGTGTGTGTGTGTGTGTGTGTGTGTGTGTGTGTGTGTAAGGACGTGTATACTGTGCAGACCCTCCCTTCTTTGCAAGAGCTTTGTGCAGCCATGCTCTTGATCAGATTTCTTCCCAGTACAAACTGGTGATGAATGGGACCGCAGCCAGCCATGAGCTGCCCTGCCGTGTGCTAGCCCTCCTCCAAGCTCAGCCGCAAAAGCTGCTGGTCTCCATGTGTGCAGGTATGCCAAGCAAGGTGTCCAAGGCCACAGTCCGGGAGACCGGCATTAACCCACAGTAGTAAAAAAACAGAATAATTCTGGTAGCAACTTTTCAGGCATAAAGCCTCCTGAAAGATGCCCTGCTTTCCAACAAGAGAAGGAAGAGGCTCAGCTGGAAATCAGCACAGTTCCTCCTCTTTGTGGGAACTGATCACCAGCTGCTTGGGTACCACTTGTGTTGCCTAGAAACCCAGCCTCAGAGACTGCCACGATCGCCTCAGGCAACAGGGCCGCAGTTTGGGCTACTTTCCAGGCTCCTGTGCAGAAGCTGCCTCCGTGATTTAGCCCGTGCCGCCCCAGAGAGCGCTCCTTGTGCAAGGAACCTGCCCGGGCACCCCAGGGGAGGGGGGCGCAGCTCTCCCGGCCGTCAGGAAGCACAAACCCGGCCGAGTGCCGGGAATGCTGCTTGCAGAGCCAGGATGAGGGCGAGGAGTGTGGCTCTGTCACTGGGCAACGGCACAGAGCGGAGCTGCAGGCTCCTGGCGGCTACCGGGAAGAGTCATTTTCTTGGCAACGTTTCCTTCAATCCGCCGATGCCCCAAATTCACCCCGGGGCAGCTTTTCTCCCTCGCCAGAGGCAAATGCAGCATCACGCGGATGCAGAGCAAGGCAGTCGGGGGGGGGGGCGAAGCACTGGGCGGCTAGGGGGACCGGCCCAAACGAAGCAGGGCGCTCCCTCCTCCGCGGCCACCTGCAGGCGGAGCGCGCGAGCCCAGGGACCGCCCTCGAGCCTGGAAGTAGTCCCTTCGCGGCCGCCGTAGACGGACTACGCTTCCCAGTAGGCCCGGGCGGGCCGTGCCATTGGCCTTTCCCCCCCGATGGGGCGGGGTGTGAGGCCGCATGCGTAATGCGTGGGCCGGGCGCGGGGGCGCGGTTTTCCGCAGCCGCTTCCAGCTCGACTTTGACCGGCGGCGGCGGTGGCGGTGGCTGCGCGGGGACCCGCCCGGGGGGCAGCAAGGGAGGCGTGAGCGGCGCGGAGGTGAGCCCGGCCCGGGACCCAGATTGCCCGCCATGTTCGGGCACGGCCCTTCGCCAGCAGCCGCCGCCTCTTCCGGGCCCGCGGCGGCTTTCAGGGAGGCGGCCGGCCGGAGGGCGGGGCTCGGCCTCCGGGTCGCTTGGGACGACGGGCCCCTTTGCTTGGGGCGCCTGCCTGCCTGCCTGGACCACAAGCCCCATCGTCCGCAGCGGGTGGAGTCGGCCTCGGCCCGGCCAAGCCGCTCGGGTGCCGCCACCGGCGAGGTCGGGCGCGGCGCCGCTTGGGGACTGAGCGGCCCTGAGCCTCCGCGACAGCCCCGTCCACGGACAGGGGGGCGTCTCTAGCCTCGGGGCGCCACGGCTCCCTCCCCGGGAGGAGAAGGACGGCCCTTCCTGCGGGGCTGCCTGTGCCGAAACCCCGCGGGCGGAAGCCGTTTCCCACCGGCTGAAGTTGTGCGGAGGGGCCGGCAGCTGCCGGGCGAGGCGAAGAAGGGAGGAGGGGGAGAATTGCCCATGGGCAGCGGCGAGTCTGGAGCCCGGGAGGTCCGCCGGCCGCCGCCTTTAGGACAGCCGCATAACCTCGTTTGCTTTGTGGCTTAGCGCGCCACTTGAACCAGGCTGCTCCGTGTGTAAGCCATGGTTTCCTGCTTAATGTAGGTGTGGACTAAGCTACTATGCCTTATTCCTTAAACCGTGGTTAGCGGGACTCACGGGTGAACAGGATCCCAGGGAGATTTTCTCCCCCCTTGGGAAGGGGATAGAGATGGAAAAATTAGCACCCAGGGAAGGATTTGGAACTCGGGTTGCAAAGGGACATTTGAGTTTTTTTTCTTGCGGTCTTTTCCGGCTATCTCACTGCCCTGTTGGGCGGTCCTGGCTCTTTTGGGACAGGTGATCTTCTAGGCTGGTTTTGTGCCTGCGAGAAACAGTCATTTGAGAACTAAGTAGCACCTCCTGAAGAAAAGTCTGACAAGCCATTGCTTGTTTGAGCTAGTTTGGCAATCTTGGAAGTGCAAAATGGTTGGATTCACGTTGTGAGGGAGGATTAAGCTGTCCGTTTGTCTAATTGTTACAGGGACCTTTTTGTTTCTACTTCAAAAACCCTTCTGAGCAGCCTGATCTGCTTTCTTTCCGACTTCTCCTGTGGCCTCAGCAAGGTGGATTTTCTGTCCACAAGCCCAGTTCCTATTGCACATGACTTTTTGTGCTGTTTCTTTGTTTATTAGCAGGAGGCCTCCGGTGGTAGTGCCAAACAGGATGGTTCTGAGCTCCCACCATCCATGCTCTAAAGTCTAAAGTTTTTTTTGCCTCCGGCTGCTGGAACAAGTCCCAGTTCATGCTGGGGCAGCAAACTTTTGAAGACAGTAAAGTAAAAAGCTTTCAAGACAAGTTGTCTCTGCGCCTCTTGGAAGAGATCTGCCATGCTTCTCTCTAGTTGTGTAGGCCCAGTCAATATTCTTCTTGGCAGGGTGGGAAGAGAGATTTGTCTCTCTGGTGCCCCTGCAAATATACTCTTTCTGATGGGGATGCTGCTCACGGGAAACATGTGAACCCACTTGTTTCTCCTGCCCCATAGCAAAGAAGCTGCCCAGCCCCAATGACCCTTTCTGGTCGCCTGTATTTTAAAGTCTCCAGGTTGCTCTTTGTTCACAAAAGTTTTCCATACGTGAATTAGAGAATAGAATAACTTTATTGTCATTTTAAATGTACACTAATCAGCATACATTAAAATGAAATTTCATTGCATTCAGCTCTCAAAGGTTAACCACCTCCAATACACAGGCAATAATTGCCTTCCCTCTAATTTGAATCTCTGTTTGCACAGGGCTCTTCCAAGCCAAAGAATGCAGACGATAAAGTGTGCGGTGGTGGGAGATGGCGCTGTGGGAAAGACCTGCCTCCTCATCAGCTACACCACCAATGCCTTCCCGGAGGAATACATCCCCACGGTGTTTGATAACTACAGCGCTCAGATGACGGTGGACGGGAGGATGGTCAGCCTTAACCTCTGGGACACGGCCGGACAAGAGGAATATGACCGTCTGCGGACCCTCTCCTACCCGCAGACCAATGTCTTTGTGATTTGCTTTTCCATCTGCAGCCCCTCCTCTTATGCCAATGTGCGACACAAATGGCACCCTGAGGTCTCCCACCATTGTCCCAATGTGCCAATTCTTCTGGTGGGCACCAAAAGGGACTTGCGGAATAATGCAGAAGCCGTGAAAAAGCTGAAGGAGCAAAGCCTGAGTCCTACCACCCCCCAGCAGGGCACTTCGCTAGCCAAACAAATTGGGGCAGTTAAATACTTGGAGTGTTCAGCATTGAACCAGGAAGGGGTAAGGGAAGTATTTGCAGAAGCCGTGCGTGCCGTTCTCTATCCGGTAACAAAGAAGAACTCCAAGAAGTGCCTGCTGTTGTAGTCAGCAAGATGAGGGCAGCGCAGACTGAAAGCGTGGGGTGTTTGCAGTCCATCTCCTTAACTAATGGCCTCTTGCACTAATGGCTTTAAAGAGAACTTTCTTTCAGCAAGTCCTCCTGCAATCCAGCTGCCACTTTGAGCCAACAGAAATGAACATATTGGCTCTAGCCTTAAGGATCAGCTTCCAGGTGAACTCTCCGTGTCCCTACTTTACTCTCCACCTCTTCTGTGGAGGAGCTTTAGGCTATGGAATGCCTTCAAAGCCAAGGGTTTCTCTGCTGAACCAGGAGAGTCCTTTGGAAGGCGACCATCATCTGCTTTGCTTTCACATCAGTGTTGCTTTCTCTCCAATCTCATGTAGGGCAGGGCTGTGCCTTTCCAGTAGCAGTAGACTGTCAGAGTTTTCAAAAGCACCATACAAATTTTAAAATCTCTCCTTTATTGCAGGCAGGCATGCCAACAAGCCTTGCAAACTGAGGGAGGAGCAACCCCTGGGGGATCTTTATGAAATCATAATCAGGCTAGCTTCTTTGTGGAACACCTCTGATATCTGGCAGTTATTTGGCTTTCAAGGTTTGGAAAACTGAGCTATATAAAAATCTTCTGATTCCCACTTTGCGCCCTTCCCTCTCTCCTATCTCCTCCCCCCCGCACACACATCAGGCCTAGGTTAACTGTACTCTGTGCTGGCTGACATCAGGCACTCTGATGGTTTTTCTGGACTGGCATTTTTCCTGGCTTAAATGCCACGATTACCCTTCAGCCTTGCCAGTGAGTCTTGGGGTGAGAAATTGCCTGCTATGCAGGATAGAGTCTTGGGTTTTTTTTCTGCCATCAAACCTTTTAAAAGCTGTGCTGCTTCAAAGCAGCCTTTTTGTGTGTCTTCTGTTCCCCTTTCTCTCTTGCAGATAAAACTCAATAATTACTTTTAAACTTTCAGGCGTGAGTACTATTAAGCTGATGCACTGATTTAGTAGAAGCTGAAATCTTTCTAGGCCATTGGCCCCCATAGAGATGCATATGAGTAAGGTCTAACATTGCCTGAAATACTAACTTTGCCTTCTTTAGAATGAATTTTGCAAATTTTCTTTTAGAAACACAAATCTCTATTAAGTATCCTGCAATTTGTTTCCTTTTGCAACAGTAAAAAACTCTTATGTCCAATCTTTAGCTGATTAAGGAAAGCCTGATGCTCAACAGCATCTTTTTGGATAAAATGCTTTGAGCAACCTCTCCAGCATGCTCCTTAGAAAGAATGTTGAGATGCAGTGCTCTGTTCCCAGCCCCTTCCAAATAATTGTGTTCTGCATTCTGGCTGTGATCCTGATCTGCAATAGTGACCAGGAAATTTTGCCTGAATGTGGAATTGTGATATTGGGAACTGTCCTCTTTGCATGGATGCTGATGTTACAGCGAGATTGGTGGAGCAAATCCTGTGTAATTCTCATCCTCGGCATACAAATCTCACTAGAGTGCTGTAACATTGGCCATGCTGTGGTCCCCCTTTGCCCCAGCTGAGATTCTTGGCCGGGGTATTTGGCCTACATCTGACCATCCTCAGGGTATGTTGCGGTAACAAACTGTTTCCAACCAGGTTGTGATGTGAACAAGAACTTGGTCTCACTGGCACTGCCAAATGTCTCCTGAATGCCTTCCTGATGTTCCATGCTTCCTCCTGCCTGAGCTTGATGATGTGGGACTGGACTCTCCCTGGGGAAAGAGGCTTCTCCAGGCGGAGCTGGGGTGGTTTGAGTGACGGTTGAGGTTCAAAGAGCAGACAGACTCATCATGTGGTACTTCAATATACACTGGCAACTGATTTTATAGTTTGAAGTACATTTGTACGGCAACTAACAGTTATTTTTAAATTATGCTGAATGAAATTGTAATAAAGCAGTTTCCTGATTCTTTTGCTGTTGTTCCTTATTAGGGGAGGGAGGGGGATGAGGAGGGGGGCTCCTTCACGCAATCCTTCTGTAGCCCCAGGCTCTGGCTGGACCCCCAACCATGACTCTCAGCTTCTGGGTTCTGCATGCTTGCCTGGGACCATGGGGCAGCCGTGCTAGAAGAGAGGGATCGCATCACCCCCCCCCCATTGAGTCCAGTCTGGGATGTGTCTCATATTCAAGTGAAGCCCTAGTGGATGATTGCTTGAATACGTGCAGCACCTGCCAACCCAGTCCTAGGCTGCATTAATAGAGAGATAGACTCAACATCATGTGAAATGTTAGTATCGTTTTAGAATGCCTTGGTAAGAAAAGGCGTTGAAACTCTGGACAGAGCAACAAAGATGACCAGGGGACCAGAGGCTCGAATATACGAAGAACGGTTGCAGGAACCGGGCACGGCTAGTTTAACGAAGAGGAGGAGCGGAGGGAGACGCGGCAGCCGTGCTCCAATGTCTGAGGGGCTGCCGCAAAGGAGACAGGAGGGGGCTCGCCCCTTCCCCAAAGGCCGGGCAGGAAGCAGCGGGTGGAGGCTAATCAGGGAGAGAAGCAGCCTGGAACTAAGGAGGGATTTCCCGGCAGTGAGAGCGATCTAAGAGCTTCCTCCGGCGGCTATGGGCGCTCCATCGCTGGAGGCCTTCCAGAAGAGAAGACCGGGCAGCCTTGCGGGGCCTCCTGCCGGGGAGCGGGTCGCGCCCGCCTCCCGCTCAGCTCCGACCTTCGGCCTCCCAGCGCCAGGCCGCCATTCGCCCAGCCCCACGCGAGACAGGAAGTCAAGGCGGGGACCGCTCTAGGGCCGCCCTCGGTGGCCGCTGCTGCGACGGAAGTGGGAACCCCGCTTCCGGCTGCGGGGAGCTCAGGGCCGGCGCGATGTCGGACTCGGAGAGTGAGGAGGAGGCGGGCGGCGGGCGGAGAGCGGCGCCCTTCTCCCTGGCCGGCTTCCTCTTCGGGAACATCAACGAGCAGGGCCAGCTGGAGGGCGAGGGGCTGCTCGACCAGGTGGGCGCCGAGAAAGCTCTTTCCCCGGCGGGGTCCGAGGGAAGGAGGCGGAGGAGGGCCGGAGCAAACCTCCCTCTCTGCCCGCTTCCCCTAGGAGTCCAAGAAGCACCTGGCCGGGCTCGGGGCGCTGGGCCTGGGCAGCCTCATCACCGAAATCACCGCCAGCGAAGACGACGCTTCCGAGGCGGACGGAGCCCAGCTGGACGAGGAGGGTGAGGCGCTGCGGCTCCGGGCTGCTTCCTCGCGGGTCCGCGACGGGGTCGGCGGCTGAAACCGGGCCCGGGGGCTGCATGTCACCGGCCCCGGGGTTCAGACCTCCGCTGGTGCCGCCCCCGTCTGGGGCTTCGTTGCCTGGTTCGGGGTTTGGCACGAATGGGCTCTGTTGAGATCAGCGTTGCCATCCTCCGATACTGCCCGGAGAGAGGCGAGCCGGGCGGCTCAGCCAGCGGTAGACCGACCGTGAGAGGGCAGAGGCCAGTCCTTGCCGAAGGCGTTTATTAAGGCACCGATGGACGGAAGGTCAGACTCTTCTCTTCCTGGTGACTCCTCAACAGAGCTTCCACGGGAAATGCGCCAGGCAGAGGATGCGTCTCTTGTTTTTTGTGGGAAACAGTGTTTTCTTTCAGTACATCCAGAACAGGGGAGACCAAAGGGCTCCTCCCAACCCTGTGATTTCCAGATGTTTTTCCCTTGCAGGCTGGGTTAAGAGCACAGAGGATGCTGTGGATTATTCTGATATTACTGAGGTGGCTGAAGACGAGAGCCGCAGATACCGGCAGGCCATGGGTCATCTCCATCCAGTTCAGAGACCAGGTGGTTGATGGCGATGGTTTTTTCTGTTGTTTCTGAAGCGGAGGCTTGCGGAACTCTTATGATTGTGGGGAGGGGCGATCCAGTGACTTTCTTTGTTCTTCTCAGATGACAATGATGATGACTACGATGCTGACTCGGAAGACATTGATTCCAAGTTGATGCCTCCCCCTCCCCCTCCACCAGCGCCAATGAAAAGGGAAGATGAGAAGGAGGCAGCAGTCTCTGGTGTGTATGTACTTTAAGGCAATCAGGGGAGAGACCGAGCAGTCCAGTTAAGGGCCTGGGTCCGTTTTGGAGGAAGCGTCCTCTAGTTTCTGAAGCTCGGGTACTTATTTGGTGACATGAGCCTACCAGAGTTGACGAGGAAGGACCTTGGAAGCTGTAACTTACAAATGTTTGCTTAAGATTTGCATGTTTATATAGCCACAGCTGAAGATTTTAAAATCCTTTTTTCACCACCATGTTTCTCTAATATGAATCCACTTGGAGAGTTTTTTCTCCATGGATCCCCACAATGTTAGATTCTGTTTGCTGCATCCATGGCTGTGGCTCTCTTTCAGTCATCGGGGCCTTGGCAAGCAGGGCTCCCTTTTGCTGAGACGGCTGTTCCCTTCTTAGGGCCAGAAGAGGGGGATGGTATCATCTTGCCCTCCATCATTGCTCCTTCCTCTACTGCTTTGGAGAAGATGGACTTCAGCAGCTCTTCTGACTCTGAATCGGAGACGAGTTCCCAGGACTCGAGAAAGGCCGAATCGAAGGAAGGGAAGCTCACCCTGCCGCTTGCTGGGATCATGCAGCGAGATGCCACCAAACAGCTGCCCAGCGTGACCGCGCTTTTCCCTGAGTTCCGGCCTGGAAAGGTAGAGCCGGAGTGTGAGCCCCTGGGTGGAAGTTCTCTGACCTGCTCTATACTTTGGGCCTCAAGTGATCCTGCTAGAGTTGTGAGGTGACCAGTTTGCTCCTTTTCCTTAAGGATTCCCTTGTGGCTCCAAAGGATTCTGAAAGGTATCTGTGGTGATCTAGAAAAGCCAGAGGACATTTTCTTCTGGTCCAGCCTGGCTCTTTCGTGAAGCTTGTCTAGCCAGTGAGATGCTCTTGCTACAATCTCAGTAAAATGAGTGAGGAGGAGATAAGGGTACCCAGAATGTTTCTGGCAGACCGGCTGGTTAAGACTCTTTGGCTGATACTACCTGGGTTCTTTTTTTCCCGGCTTCTGTCAACTAGCATGGTGCTTCCACCCCACCCCGCCAAGGTTCTGCCAGCTGGCAATCTCCTCTTTGTATCTTTCAGACGGCTGAAATGCTGGAAGTCAGCTTCTTGCCAGTTCCATCTCTCTCTCTCTCTCAGGTGCTTCGCTTTCTACGCCTCTTTGGCCCTGGAAAAAACATCCCATCCGTCTGGCGAAGTGCACGGCGAAAGCGCAGGAAGAAACACCGGGAGTCAATTCCCGAAGCACAAATCCCAGAGGAGGAAGCCAGTTCTGAGCCAGGCTTGGAAGGCAAATCCCCCTGGGAATATGAATTTGCCCCTCCCCCTCCACCAGAGCAGTGTCTGTCAGATGATGAGGTGGGTCTGTGGAAATGGAGGGAAGGTGTTTCCTGGGGAGAAGGGGCCATTCTGGTTGCCTGAGAATATCTCTGATGGCTCCCTCCCTGAACTCTCTGACACCCACATATCCTTCAGATCACTATGATGGCTCCTGTGGAGTCCAAGTTCTCCCAGGCTACTGGAGATGCAGACAAAGTAGCTGACACCAGGCCCAAAGTGTCAGAATGGCGCTACGGTCCTGCCCAACTCTGGTATGACATGTTGGGCATCCCTGAAGATGGCAGCGGCTTTGACTATGGCTTCAAGCTGAAGGAAGCCGAGGAGGAAGAAGAAGTGAGTTGCAGAGAAGAGCAGTGCCTTGCTGACAGCAAGGAGGTGAGTCGGTTCCTGGTGAGCCTTTGTTTTCCCTTTGTAGAGTACAGCAGCTGAGAAGGATGAGCTGCTGGCCGACGAGCACTTCCTGATGGTAACGCAGTTGCAGTGGGAGGATGATGTGATCTGGAACGGAGAGGACATCAAGCACAAAGGAACCAAGACCCAGCGAGCCAGTCTGGCAGGCTGGCTGCCTTCCAGCATGACTAGAAACGCCACTGCCTACAATGCCCAGCAAGGTAGGCCGGCCTTTTTTCTGCTTGCGCTTGGCTCCGCGGCTTCTGTGTCTGCTGATGCTTTCCTCGCTTCTGTTGGCAGGGCTGAACCGAAGTGGCTCCCTGCTCAACTTGCCAGTTCCCCTGGTGCAAAAGCCCAGTGTGGCAGGAGTCTTGAGCATCGCTAAGGGCAAAGAGAAGCAGCTGCCTGAACAGCAAGGTAAGGAGAAAGGGTCTCGGGGCAGGAGCAGCTCTGCAGAAATTCACAGAAGGAACTGGACCAGCAAAGAGCCTCTTCCCGAATCATCCCTGCCTTGATTAGTTTTGCTAATTGGGTGTTACGTTCTCTGGCACAGTGGTTTACCTGGGCAGTGGGAGTCTGACCATCCAGGGGTTTGGCTTACTGAGTTGGCGTAAAGAAGAATTTGGGCAGTGATCAGTCAGTAGAGGTCTGATCCTCCCATTGCTCCTCTTTTTTCCCCCACCATTTTGCTTTGTCCCATAAATGTTATTTGTTTGTTTGAAATGTGGGCAGGTGAGGCAGAAATGTCTGCTTAACTCACAGAGCACAATGTCGCCTTGGCCTGGAGCACCGCCCTCTCTTTTCTGCAGTGGTACTAGAGCATATGGGGGGTGGGGGGGAGGAATTTGCCAGTATCCAGCTGTCTTCACTTTCACACTTTGTTGCCCCAGCAGCCCTGGATGAAGACAAGCCATGGTTCTCCATTTTCCCCATTGACAATGAAGAGCTGGTCTATGGCCGCTGGGAGGACAACATCATCTGGGATGACAAGGCGATGAACAGGGTATTGATGCCCCCAGTCCTGACCCTGGATCCCAACGATGAAAATATCATCCTAGGTAGCATCTACAAAGACACTTTCTTGTCTTCAGGCTGGGGGGTGCTGCTTTCTGGGGCCTTCTGGTTTCCTAAAGGGGAGAATGAGTAAACTGAGATGGGAAGCAGCCTCTCGGTTATTTTCCCAGAACACGGTTTTAGTTAACCTGATCCCCT